TCTCTTCACCCTTCTATTTCCATACATCTCTCGTAGGATTGACTTGCAAACTGTTTGGTAATTGGGATCAACTCGGCTTCTCAAAGAATATTACCCAGCGGATTTGATCTTTCACTACACAAATTTCCGTATCCAACATTCCTACACACGGTACCGTACTTTGAGGACTGCACACAATCACCATGTCAAAGCTTTCCCCAAGCCTCAAATCACTCATCAACGCTGCGCATTCACGGCCAGGTCCAGCTCCAGCTCCTCCTGGTATACAAGCACTGTATAGTAGAATAGCGGAGGATGCGACCGCGCACAGGCTGGGACGGCCGTCATGGCTGGCCATCACCACTGCTGCTACAATGACGATGAACTCACCAGAATCCATGGCTGTATTGTACACCACAGCAAGCCAGTCCAAGCCAGAAAGTGAGGGTGTTGCGATTGCCGAGTTCATGCGTGAGACTGGTCTCAAGTGCATAGGTTTCAATGGCGTATGCTGTTTGTGTTATTGTGTCTCAGCCAACCGCTAATCAAACATTTCAGATCCCACGCACTATAAACATGCTCAATGCCTTCCGTGCAGCGTTGCCGGCCTCCATCGCCTCCTCCCTCAATACCCAGCCAACCCGTTTTCCGGAACCTTCGAACATCGAGTCGATCAACAAGCGTGGGCGAGCATTGTGGAATGCTATATACAGACCTCTTGAGACCAAACTAGAGCAGAAGCTGGGCGATGCACACCCAGATTTACCCGTATTCATCATCAATAATGAGTATGGTGGTCTGTTCACGGATCCTCCACGCAAGAGTGGGGCTACTGTCGGTCGTATCTCCACCAGTTTAATCGCAATTACATGTCTGCGGGCGCAGCAAGGGGTCGGGCCCCAAGTCCTCAGCCACGTCTTTGGCTTAAGGAAGGCGTGGGAAGACGGCACATGGAAGCAAGAGCCCGAAGCGGGTGAAAAGGAGGGAATCAAATGGCTCGGGAGTGACGAGGGTTGCACTTGGGTTCTAGAATGGGTCGACCAACTCGTCGCGGCACTGGGGGTTGACCAAGGTAGTACGTTTGCACCTGTCAAGGCCAAACTGTGATGCTGTACACTCATTGTCTTTATGATACCCCCCTCGACAATAAGCCGAATTGAGTCCTGTATCAAATATGGGCTACATTAGTATACGACGTCATCAAAAACTTGCTGGGCTACTCTTACGTGGAGATGTTCTACGCTTCACGAATAACAGGCACATTCAATTGATCAAATCATTCTCACAGTGTCAGTTCTGAACGCTTAAGAGTACCTGTTATCACAGTTCTATCTTCAGAATATGACTGAGAACATCTGGATGAACGAACCCGATTTATTTGAGCCGCTGAACGACGCTGGATGAGCCACTCTAGAGGCGTCCTGAGGACGACCTCAAGCGTTTCATGGAGGGAAATCACAATCAAATGAGGAACTTATCAAGACTGCGCCCAGTCATATGTGGCATCAATCTTGCTGACGCCGCAAACGATGTTCACCCTTGACTTGGATATACATTGGGCAACCTTTTGCTATTTTTCATAAGTGCCTTAGATAGCCTCTCGCAGATCAAAACATTGTCAGGCAATGCTAACTGGGCCAATGTATACTCGACATGAGCTGGAGGACCCATGTGCGAAACCCTTGTTGCACCTCGCAAGCATGACTTCATGTCATCGACACAAATCTAACACTTTCAGCAACGCTGCCTTAGCTCATCGATTCTGATTCTGATTATTGTTATATTGTAAGTCCTCGTTGGGAGGAAGCATATATCGCGACTGCCCGTATGATGGGCAGCCATGTCTTTCCAGTTATCAGGAGAATCGGCTTACGCCATTAACCCGGTTTCGTGAACAACTGGACAGACAATGCGACAAAGAAGCTTTTCACAACGAATACGAGATTCTCAACGAACTCTTTTTCCAGCAACCTTAGGGACATGTTACAAAGAGCATTGTGAATGTGCATTGCGATAAATGCTCTGTGCAGGTGCCATGCTTTCACTGTCGACATGCATAAATAATTGCTCTTCTCCTTTCCCTCCAGACCAGAGCTTGGAGTATATTACACCATTCTACATCTTTCTTGTACTCATCTTTCCTGACACATTTGTCCTAACTTCTTTGTCTTGTACTCAACCCTCATTATCAAACCCAAAGATCGAGAACGACCATTGGAACATTTTTGACGTATGAAATTTTCGAAATCAGTCAACATGTCAGCTTCTAATAAACAAGAAGAGCCAGAGGAGACTGGCAAAGGATGGTCAATGCCCTATATGCAAGACCTGCTGCACAAAATGTGGCGCGTTGATAGCGAGTTTTCCGAGGCAAGACTGCAACAAATTCGTGGACAAAAGACAGACGGTAAGTTTGCAGAGATGCCATTCGATTTCGACTTTATGGTTGAACATATCGGGTCTGAGGGTCCAGAACCATTTGAGAAGCGTGGACCTGTCATCGACAATGAGATCCATCCAATGTTCACCAAATTTATGACATCTCTCCCTATGGAGGAGGTGCGTGAGCAAATGGAACCTTCTCTTCGCTTGGCTACTAATATGATCACAAATCCACGTGCCTTGGAATGGTTCTCCCACGTACGACATGCACACAAGGGTAGGTCTAGGAGCGGAAGACTTATGACGCTCAATCATGACCCGTACTCGACTACTGCTGAAGCTTTGGATATCGTTCGACGCGACCTGCTCAAGCTCGCGGATGCAATGACCCTTCAGTGGGTTGGCAAACTCATACCCTTCGAAGACATAGAAGGCAAATATCATGATCAACTCACTGTCATAGAAACAGTACTCAAGGATATCAAGGCACCTGAGTCGGAAGACGGCTATCAAACAGTACTCAAGCCTAAAGCAAGGAAGAACTTCTTGAAGGCGGTCACTGATGGTTGCTATCCGACCATTTGGTTCAACATGAAATTCTTTCACGAGTTTCTTCTTCAAAGCAACCAGGCGGATTACCCTGCCCGTCTCAAGCGTCTCAGTGACTTCAGGTTTTCTTCAATCCTTCTTCACGAAGTGGCGCATGCATGGACCACATTTTGTCACCGTAAATCTCCAGGCAATTTTGTTGAGCCTCTGATACTGCGTTCGGACCTATATTCGGAAGCTGGACAGTCCTGGGAGCAGTTCATGTACGGCGCGCAGATTTACCCTCGTAATTCTCATATCCATGGCCGCGAGATTGCAGATTCTTTGATGGCCAAATCCCGCAACGATGAAACCATTGACTTCTGTGCAAGTATTCCTCAAGCCTGGGTAGATCAATGGTTCCTCAAGAGCACATGGGACCAGTTTAGCGAGTTGCACCGCGAGGGTAAGCAGTTCAGTGACTCGAATCCACGGGACACATTGACCGCACCAGCACCTGCCTATCAGACCGAGCATTGGCGATTCAAGCGTTACTGCGGTAAACAGAATAGAGCAATGGACTTCCTTTCTTTCTCACAAAGGTAAGCTGGTAGGCCATCCCTGTGAACAGCCCAGCTGCGACATCACCCGTCGAGAGTTCGCGGGTCAACAGTCCATGAGTCCCCTGCAACTTCGGCAGGCTTATCTGCGAGTCCATGAGACGAAAGGTGGCGCCGAATATACGCCCCTGGATCATTATAAGTCTAAACGAGCACTCGCTCAGGGCTCTGAGCCTGCCGAGGGTGCTCTAGCTATACCGTTTTAGTCACGTTCGTTGAGCAGGCTAAAGAATGTGCATAGAACCACGAGGTAACAAATTTGCAGCATGCTTTGCGTTAACTCGCTTAATAATAATACGTTTTCAAGATTTTTTTGGATATCCTGTGGTATACCTTCTCCGTTCGGAACACGTAGGTGCTGGTTAGGAAGCGGACACGAGAACAATTAACACACATTGAACACTTGAAGTGAGCGATGGCTCAACCTAACTTTGAGACGCTTGGTCCTAATTCCCTTTGGAGCGAACAGCAACTTTCTAACATTCAGCCGATGGTCACACCGATGAATGATTTCTAAGCGCTTCGGTATCAGACCGTATGGTACTTCGTTGCACTGCTGCCTTGGTCAGTGATAGGCAAGTTACCTGATGCGCATGATAAGGTGGTGGGTAAGTTGTAAACATAAGAAATAATCAGTATCACAAGACATAAAGAGGCCAAAAAACGGGTAAGAGATCATGTAGGTGCGTTAGAGGAAAATGTATATAGTATAAGTAATATGGCGGGAATATCTCGCACACGCTATACAACAATGAACGGTGCTTGCAAAGTTATGTCTGCACTACCGTAAAACTGTTTCTGCATTGCCATAGATGTTCGCAATGAACGTCGGGTAGGCCTTTTCTCTGCTCTGTCGATGAAAAGTGGCGGTTTGTTGATCACAATTGCCGGATTAGTTTCCTCCGCCAGAGATGGTGGCGTCGAAAGGTTCAGCGATAGACGGTTGGCCGGCGTTCTCCTGGTCGGTGGCAATATTGTTGTTCAGCTTCGTTGTTTCTTCTGCGAGCTTATCGGCAACACTGTCGTCACCCTGGGCCTGCTCGGCCTCGAGCTGGATCTTGGTAGCCATGAGCTTGAGAACCTTGTTCTTGATCTTTCCGTTCTGTCGATTTGTTAGCAACGCGGAAGGATGATTCCAAGGGTGATTTGAGAATGGAACGCACCTGGATCTGATCGGCCTCGTCACCAGTCGCAGCCTCGACTGCAGGGTTGAAAGCTTCCTTCTCAGCATCATTGGCGACATTGTTGACTTGTTCCAAGAACTGCAGATCGGCAGGGTCGATGTTTTCTGGGTTCTCAAGGTCCAAGGCAGAGAATACAGCGAGGGCTTCGGACTCAGCGTTACCAGCCTCGCCACCAGCAATTGAAACATCGTTGAAGGTGGTATCCGCTAGCACGGGGCCGTTTTGGCGCTTCATAGAAGTGGGAGCACCGATGACGAGAGCCGCAAGGGAGAGGATGGCGATTGATTGATAACGCATACTGATGGTTGTGAGGGTACAAAGATTTATACACAAGAAGTGGGTGGTGAAGGACAATGATTACAGCACAGCTGGTAAATTTCAACAAAGAATGATAGAAACGAATATCCACAGCGTCAAGCTGGATGATTGTTTGAAGAGAATATCGGAGAGAATGATGACCGCTTGATGATAATAAGAAACTTAAGATGCAGGCTGTCATGCCTTCTTATACACAAACACATACATACAGTACATGCGTTTCTAAGCGCGCAAGTCGTAGGCTAGACTTGCCCTCTTGCACCAAATCTCCGCCTGGAGGTTTGGTCAATGCCATGTATGACACTGGAGCTCAATGCACCGATCACCAGCAGCGCGTAGCCATACCTCGCTGCCACGCTCAGGAGTTTCCCCACGAGTAAGAATGTCATGATGTGCGGTTACAGACGTTGCGTGTCGCCACGCGGTGGACTTTGTGGTTCATCAGGCCGTAAAGAGAACCTACGCCTCGATATGAAGAATTCTGAGACACTTGCGACGTTGGAAGTTGCAGATGTTGCATGAAATGGATGGAGGCTTGGCACGTCAGGAGCACGTTACATCGCCCAAAACAGTCTAGCGTAAGATTATGTAGACTACCACCACCGCGGATGAGCCTGAGTTTACTATGTAGCGATACAGGTATCTTGTGGTAGCGAGGCTGCCATAGGGGCAGAAGATGCTCAGCGTCTCAGGGACGGCGAACATCTTCAAACACTCCCAAAAGGCTGTATAGTTAGCTGCCACGTGCACTGAAGCTCGGTTCGAGGCAGCCTGCAGTGGCACATAAAGTTGATGATGTAGCGTAGCACCCTGCGATAGTGTATACTGATACTTTCGTACGTTATTCTGATTGACGGAAGCGGAACTGGAGACACTGCTAAGGCTTCAATGCTGCATTCAAAGTAGTATAATGAACAGTGCATCATTGAACCACACCATGGTGTGGTATGCAAACCATTCTCAGAGTTTAGTGTCATCATCCATCAATCACTCAGTGACATTCCCAAAAGTCTAAAAATATCTCAGCATGGAACAATTGTTTGACTGGAAAATCTCATTTTGCTACCAGTACATTACGGTAGCGAGCATGCCGCTGTTGATCGGCAAACAGCGCCCGCATCAACGCTGGACAACTAGTTATGAACCGATCGTCATTCATCCTCGGTATCCTACAATCACTGACTTTCCCTTTTGGTATCGGTACGTTGGCATTCCTGATTCTGCATCCTGCCCGCAGTGTGTTGCTCTGAAGATGCTTGTGTAAACACAGCAATGGTCAACAAGTGTTGGTCGATAGGGCTGGCAATAACTATGGCGGGCCGTAAGTATCTGCTTGGTGGCTCCTAATTCAAAGCTTCTCCATTGACAATGATTTCTTCTTTTCCCGTGACAGCTTGATCGCGACGGCTCTGGTATTATTGAGGGCGAGGAGCAGTGCTCACCTGATGCGTCCTTAGCAGCTACTGAGTGACATCGCTTTTCTGCAACTATATATTATTAAATCTGTTCACAATCTCCTCCAGCCAGCCGTAGCAAGACGCACCTTTATATCACATCTTCATCACTTCCAACGGCACGGTCCACACTTTCATTCAACGTGCAGATCAATCATCATCTTACTGACCACTATCTTAAGGAGCTTGTCTCATTTTGCTTCCTTGCTATCGTCTCTCCAGACTGCAAAAAGGAACTGGCAAGGGTATAAGCCCAATTTCCCTCAACACCTAATAAGCGCCAGTGAGAGCAGGAGATCCCTCAACGCCTCTTAATCTGCCCGAATCCGGGTCAAACAAATGAGACCTGCTCTCACAGAATACAAGCATTCACGCCACATCAATTAGTTCAAAAAAACCCCTCCTACGGCTCACAAACTAGCCCCCATCAACAAGGGATCCTGCTCCATGCTCCAAGTCTGCGCATCAAGCCTTATCCTTTTCTCCTCGCGCGTCTCGCCAAAAATTTCATCGGAATGACAGATACTGCGCTTCTTGCTCTTGCTTTTGCTCAACGGCTCCACCAGCTTGGGCGTGCTGACGCGGGATCCCGAAAGTGCAGGCGTGGGCATCGACGTATCGGTCAACGCGGGTGGAGATGTAGTCCTGACATCGTCGTCGTCGTCGTCATCGATGACAATGGGCTCGACGATGCGCGGAGGGCTTGCAACATGCTCGACGTTTCGGGAGAGGGCAACTACTGGCTCAAGAAGAGCAGCAACATCGTGTGCCTCGACTCTTTTTTGCGCCGCCTCACGCTCCCGCACCCATGTATTGTGCTGTTCCTTGTACGCATTCTCCATACTAGCCAGCCACTCTCTCTGCTCCTCATTCTCCTGTGAGTGCTCCACGCAATTGGGACACTTGACGTAGAAACCACCTGTTGCCGGTCCTTCGTCTATCAACTCAAACTCGGGAAGATTCTCACCAACTAGTTCAGCAGTGTCCCAGTCCAGACAGTCTTCGCAGAAGCCCTTGGGACACCAACGGCAGCGGTAGATGAGTCCACCCGCATCAGATGTCGACTTTCCGCAATCAAAGCACTTGTGCTGTGAGCAGTAAAATCCTCGGAAGCCAGTGACCTTCTCTGCCAGCTGACCATCGAGACAATCGTAGTGATATGCGCGAGGGCAGGACTTGCATTCGACCACATCTCCGACATCTGCATTCTCAAAGCAAACCAGACAGTGCTCTTCGTGATTGAACTCGCGCTTTTTTGCACGCACAGGCTCCGCAAGGCGGGGATCCTTGCCGGCGAATGTGGGAACAGCCTCCCAATCACCACAGGTCATAGATTCCTTGCTAATGGCATAGCCGTCGACCATGACAGTCGTGTTCTTGTTCTTGCGACGGTCCTCGCGCGTGATGCTGTCGGGTAGAATGTTGGCGGCCGACGTGGCGGATTTGGATTTCTTGTCGAATTGGCGCTGGTGGCGCTTCCCGTCAAAGACGGCACATTCCACGCGTTCCATGACGGAGAGCCATTTGTCCTCATCAATCTCGCTGTGTGGACCGGAGGCGGTGGTCAGATCTGCAGGCTTGTCTCTGCAATTCTCCAGCATCGTTTCCAAGTCCCACGAGACCATTTCCTTGACGTCGATCTCAGGGTGCGATAGGGTCTGCGCTCCCCGGCGGACGAGGGTCATCAGTTGCGACGTGTCCATTTGCGGCATGTCTTCATTGATTGAGGAATGACCTCGACCTTTCTTAGCCATGTCTTGCTTTCCATGAATGCTCTGCATAGACTCGGTGATCTTTGCTGACAGATAGAGCTTCTTGCGGATACGACCCATCATTTGCTCTTCGACTGTACCCTGAGTACACAGCTTGTAAATGGTGACTGGCTTTGTCTGACCAATACGATGGGCACGAGCCTCAGCTTGCAGCGTAATCTGCGGATTCCAGTCTTCGTCGAGGAATATGACATCTTGGGCACTCGTGAGATTGATACCTAGACCGCCTGCACGGGTGGATAACAGCATGACCTTGTAGTCCGATCCCTCCTGATTGAACAGCCGAATGTCTAGATTACGACGGGCTCTAGCAGAGCTACCGTCTAGACGAAGGTGCCTAAATTTCTCTCCACGGTTGCTGATGAGCGACAAAAGATCCTCACAGTAGTCCAACGTACGTGTAAAGCCGGAAAAGATGAGCACCTTCTTGCCCTGTTCAAAGACGGTATGCTTGAGCAACTTCTCCAACAGGATGAATTTACCCGAGCCTCGAATGATGTGATCGCCAAGGTAATAAGGATCTGGTGCGACACCGGGCAGGAGATAGGGATGTGAGCAGCACTTGCGCAGCTGCATAACGAGATTCATCAGCTTCATCCAGGCACCTTTGGTGGGGGCACTGTCGGAACTTTCTTGCTCTTTGGCAATGGTTGCGCGCATAATCTCGGCAGTCTCGTCCCATTCATCATGAGAGGTCTCTACCAGCTTCGCAGCTTCGCGAAGTAATTCGACATCTTGCTGGTCTTGTGCAATCGCAGCCCTTTCCTTGGTCTTGCCATCTGCAAACAGCTTATTCAACATGCCGTCGTCGATACGAGTAAGCAATCTGGTATACCAAAACTTCTGCATGGGGGTGAGGGGTACGTGGAGAAGAACCTCTTCCTTGGGTGGCAAGCCAAGATTGACACTTGGGCTGTCCTTCATACGCCGGAGCATGATGAGCTCGAGCAGACGTCGGGCGTCATCCATGGTCTTCCTAATGACCTTGCCCTTGTTGAGGTCGAAGGACTCTTTGAACAGCGTCTCAGTCTTGTCGACGAAGACGGTAGGATAGAGCCAGGCCAATAGCGCCCACATCTCCACCAGGTTGTTCTGAAGAGGTGTACCGGTCAGGATCAATCGGTACTCGGTACTGATGGTGCGGAGCGCAGTCGAAATCTGGGTGACGCTGCTCTTGATCTTGTGGCCTTCATCCAATACGACATAGCGCCAGACAAAGGCTGTCTTGAACCAGGATTGCTCGGATTGGAAAGTGTCGTACGTGGTAACGATGATCTTATACGAACCGTCTTGATCATTGCTCGATAGCTTGGACAACTTCCGGCCCGCCTTCTTGCTCGCCTTGCGATCCTTTGCACGCTTCGTCTCACGACCCTTCATGTCCTCCATGCCTTGTGCGACCTTTTTGAGGCGGGCACGCTCCGTCGAGGCGCCGTGAAAGCGAAGCACTTTGAGCTCGGGAACCCACTTCTCGGCCTCGGTGACCCAGGAGTTGAGAACACTGAGCGGGCAGATGATGAGGTAGGGACGCTGCTCCTCGCTGGATACGCCGTTCTTGCCGTCGAGCTCTTCAAGGTATTGGAAGAGCGACAGCGTCTGCAGCGTCTTTCCCAGGCCCATCTCATCACCGAGAATGCCAGAAAAGCCGTTGTTGTAGAGGTGGACGAGGTAGGACAGACCCGAGAGCTGGTAGGGCTTCATGGTCGCCCGGACACCCTTGGGCTGCTCCGTGAGCTCTTCATACTCGACAATTGGCCCAGCATCGCCCTTTGCAGCCAGTCTGGCTACCTGGTTGTTCGGGGGGAGGAGCGGGAGGAAGTAGTGCTTATTGGCCACGAGGAAGTTGTTCGCCTTGGTCTTGGATTGGTTCGCAATGTCGTCGCGTAGGCGCTGGCGGGCCGTGTCGAGTTTACGGGGTGGGGGTGCCTTTTTCCTGGGCGGGGACGGTGAGGGCACGGTATCTGATTCGAGGATGACGCTCTTGCGGTCGCGTCCACTGCGTCGCAAGCCTTGGACCTGTTCACGCTCCCTCTTGCGCTTCTCCATCTTGAGTTCCTCGCTGTAGGCCGAGATTCTGGCGCTGATTTTGCGCATTGGACGGGCCGATGGGGCCAGTTCGTCTACACTCTCGTCCTCGTTGGCCGTACCCTTGGACTGCCTCGTAGACGTGCGGCGAGAAGAGCGTACGGTCTGGGTTGGCTTGTTGGTAGCCTTGGTCTTGGTCGGCTTGGATTCGGGGCTACTGAAAAAGGAATCGGTCTCGTGGAAGTCGCGTAGTCGGTCGTCGGAGGACGAGGGGGAGGAAGCGGAAGCAGAAGCGGAGTTGAGCGGAGAAGATTGCCTCTGGCGGAGTTCGCTGTCGTCGCCGTCTTGTGCAGATGGTGGTGGAGGAGCGATTGCGCCTTCTGGTTGTGTTTTTTGCTGCGACGCTGTTCGCCGTTTCTTGGTCACGGATTCGGACGACTTTTGGGAACCGAATTGGGCAAGGAGGTCTTGTAAGTGGCCGCCGCGTCTCTTTGGAGGTGTCATGGGCAATGGGTCGGAGAGGAGAATAGGAGTTCGCGCCGCCATCTTCAACAAAGGCGCAGGGGCAGGATCAAGCAGCGTGGTCTTGTGCTACGACGGGCTGGGTACCGACCTGCGCTTTGTTCGCGATTTCTTTGGCGCAGAGATGTATGTGGTCAAAGACGCCCTCTACTCTCAGTTGAGATACAATAGGGAAGAGGGAAGGGGGAAAAAGAGAGAGACAAGAGTGCGAGAGTAGTGTGTCTATGTTTGTGTGTGTGGTGAAGTGAGGGTGAAGCCAAAAAAGAAAAAAAGGAACAAATCACACTGGACGGTCTTCTCACTTGGTCGTGTGTGGTGAACAAACGAGGGTGATATGAAGATGGTGAAGGAGCGCTGAAAGGGTGACTGCGACAGCGCGACAACTCTCTGTCTCTCTCTTTCTCTTCCTTCTCTGCCACCTTTGCTGCAATTTGGCCGCAAGTCGCAAGGCCCAAAGTCGCGTCTTTTTGTTTTCGGCGAACGCGGGCGCGGAGACAAGGCGCGTGCCCGGGCCTAAACTCCGTCCTATTCCGTCCCATCCATGCCTTGCCATGCCATGTCCAACCGTCGACTACTACTACTACTACTACTACTACTACTACTACTACTACTACTACTACTACTACTATCCACTGCTCACTCTTCACTCCTCCCTCCTCACTCTGCACTCCACCCAACGCCCTGGCGTCTGCTTGCCTGTCTGCCTGTCTGCCTGTCGGCCATGGCTCAACAGCCCATGACGCAGTTTTGGCCCATCTTCGCAACCAAATCCGACGGCCAGAGCATCGTCAATCAAAAAAACAAGCCCGTCAGAAATGGGCCCACCGAAGAGCAGCTCGACAAGAAGCCCAACGAACAAGGCCAATGCGACTTTTATCGGCTCATCGAAAAGGACGACCCCAAGCACATTGATTGGCGCAAGAAGCTGGGCGGCATGTTGCTGCGCGAGATTGGTGGCAAACAGCACGAAGGTGAGCGACGAGTGGGTGTTTCTACCAAGGCTACCTCTACGAAGGCCACCTGTCTAGACCGTCGGTAGTAGCAGAGCAGAGCTGACAGAATTCCCATGAAAAAAAAAACAGACAAATGGCAGCAATGTATCCTGTGGGAGCTTCCAGAAAACTATGTCCTCTACGAACATATCAAGACCAAAGCGGACGGCCAAGTCAAGACGGTCAAGAACCACTCGGGCGGCGGGCACGACAGACAAGACGCCTATCTGTACGGCTACCCGCGAGGGCCCAAGAAGCGCTTTCGCAGCCCCGTCGAGTTCTTCCCTCATTTGCTGTGGCTGTGCACCGACGAGGAGAGCAAGACGGACAACTGCACGTGCAAAATGTGCTCTCCCACGGGCGATGTCGACAAGGCCGCCTTCAAGGTCGAGCCCGCCAGTCCAGCCTTTTCCGTCGTCAGTGTCAAGCGAGAAGCCACGCCCAATGCTGCTGCTGCCGCTACTACTACTACTACCGCTGGTACCGTTGTCGGCCGCAATCCAACTGTACAGGTGCCCGCCGCACGACGCCCATCGACAGGCCTCTCTACACCCTCCACCCTACAGCATGCCCAACAACAACAACAATCACAATCGCAGCAACAACCACAGCAACAGCCCCAACAACAACACCAACAGCAACCCCAGCAAATAAGAGCACCACCACCCCTTCCGCAATCCACCCCACTACCCCAACCTCGATCCTACGAACAACAAACCGACCTGTCCTACCATCGATTCCTGTGCCGGACAGGAGAGGTGGTCTGGTTCTACCGTCCCAAGACATCCGCGTGGGGCCTCGGACTCGTCATTCGAAGATGGGCGTTGAAGGACACACCCAACAATCGCTCCTATCTCATCCAGCCCCTCTCACACCCATACGAGTCCCCTGCCCAGGAGCTCGTGACAACCGATGACCACGTTAAACCTTGGCTCGCCTGGTCGGCACCAAGTTGTACATTCCCTTATCTCCAACAAAACCCCCACCTCAGCTACGACCAAGTCGACTGGCGGGCTCTCGAGAGCGGTCAATATGGCGAGGGCATTGCGTCGGTCGATGCCTCCATCATGGCCGCCAAAGCCATTGACAGCACATATACCCTTTTCGAGCGCATCAAGACCTCGACCGAAGGCGGCCAGGAACTGCGACACTACAACGGCATGTATCTCGGCGCAGAGAAGATCTGGTGTGGCGAGGCAGTCCGGCTGCGACTGGGTACCGGAAGCGACCTGATCGTCATAACCGACATCATCGAGCGCATTTATCCTCCATCGAAACCCAATACCCCACCTCCAACCTCGGTCAGCATCGTCGGTGACATCTACAGCTACGCCACCCTCGAAGTAACGGACCCCGCCAACCCGCCCAAGCCCCCACAACAAAACGTAAACCTCCCCACACGCATGGCCTACGACATGGCCTGGCGCAACCGCACACTCGTGCCCCTTACCCGCTCCATGGCTTGGTGGAAGCTCATCTTCGCCGGCTCACGCCTCGACATCTCCGAGATCAAGGGACGCTGGTACGAAACCAGTCTCCTCTTCCAAGAGCCTTTTACCAAGGCCGTCAAGAATGGCGAAGGTGGCAATGGCATATGGATGAATAGCCGCGGCGACGCTACGGGCCTAGGCAAGAATGCAGGTATCGTACGACCAGATCGCGTCGCCGCCTTTGGGCAGAGCGTGCCCAAGGGTATTGCTTTGATTGAAGGCTTGGATCCACCGAATCAGCAGCTTCCTGCTCCACAACAGCAACAACAGCAGCAGCAACAACAACAACAAGATCACGGGATGGGCATGAGTGCTGGCGGAGATGCGCTCACCCTCGATGATCTGATCAATGTGGACCACCTAGGAGATGATACGGGCATGCAATTCGATGGCGCTTATTCATTCTGAAGCATGGCATGAGACTAAAGCGATTGCAGGGCGCGTGAGGAATCTGGATGAGAGCATGGCAGCAAGAAAAAACAATGGCGTTGATGTATGGAGAGATGTAAACTCATTCTTGTCTTGGTGGAAAAAGGCGATTAGATACCCAAAGATGATGTAGAGCTAACAGTATGGTTTTGAACTATTCCCATGTCTCATCGGGCTGTCTGCATGTGATTAGCTCCTCGCTTGTACCAAGTCATGATACAAGTAGGAGATGCACTGGCTTGTTTTACACTTTATCCGTTCCTCTCACACTTGAACACTTGAACACTTGATAATGGAAACAATCCTGACACTACAAATACTACTACCAATCTTACACTGTATATACATCCAACGATGGCACCTTACACAATCCTAAAAGTACACTTTACACGAGCCTAATTACGCACTTTACACACTTTACACAATCGCAACCACCATCCTACCCAAACATACTCCCCCCACCCCCACCCATCCTACCTCCCCTCTTCGCCTGCCTAACCAGCCATTCCCTCACCCTCTCCCCACCCATCTCCTCCACTCTCACTACCCGACTCTCAAACTGCGCCTCCATGCGCTCAAACGCCATGAGCGTCGGCAAGCTCCCAATCCGGTACTTGACACCCAAATCCCCAATCAACGCTCCATCCAGCACCACCTCTGCAAACGCCAGCCCGCCCTCGCGTTCACCGACCTTGTCCTCGCTGAGCAGGCGCATAAGGTGGGGTTTGATGGATGCGCAGGTGGAGCAGAAGGACGCGGTCCAGAGGGTAATGAGGGGCGTGTTGGATGCGGCGGTGAGGAGGAGGAGGGTATGCAGGTCGGATGGGGTGCGGATGGGGTCGTAGATTCGATTTTGGTGGGTTCGGGTGTTTGGGTTGAGGAGGGAGAAGGGCCGGGTGCTAGCCGTGGTGAGGAAGGCAGGTTTGAGAAGGTGGGGGGTACGGAGAGTAAGTGGACGGATCATTATTTTATCTTTCTCATGTGTCCCATTCGAGACTGTAGTGCGTGTGGGTTGTGGGTTGCGCAATCGAGAGGCTGAAGTGGATGTGGACATGGGGATGGAAACCTGTCGACGTCATCTTCTGCCAAGGCGCCAGTCGAACGTCGCCTCGCACCCCGAGGTCCTATTCTCGTTGCGAGGCGCATGTTTCATTCATATATGGTGTGGAGTACTTGTACATAGTGGTCGAAATATGTCTAGAAAAGGAGATTCTTATTATAATCAAGTATGAAATACCCGCAAAATACCAATACAACCGTGCTCTAGCCAACTCGAATAATATGAAACGCGATATCAACACAATTAACTGCACCAAAGAGCTTCTGCATAAAAGAAAAATGCTCGCCATCCATACAGCAGGTAAAGAGAACAACCCAAACTAGGAATATCCGTCCAGAAACATGAGCTTATCTGGCTTACTTCTGACTACAACGGAGCGAACCTCGAGAGTATTGCTCATGTCAGTGTCATCAGCATCCCCCTCGAATTCAGAAAGGAAATGCAGCGCATCGTCACTCCCCATTTCCTCCTTCATATTGCGTGCATTCTCATCTGCATACTTCCAGTCCATATCATCATCGTCGTCGTACTCCCTATTCAGTCCAGAAAACTTGCGCAGTATATCCCGCAATTGCTGAACTGCTGCAGGGGCCGTTGATGACACACGTATGGTGGGACGTAAATTGTTTGAGAAGTCATACGGCAGTTGTGTCTCTGTGTATCCCAACAGTGGTTGGTCCTCTGTTTCCGTAATCTCAAGTATTCTCTCTTTCAAGTCCATCTCGGAGCGCCAAACATTGGTGAATTCAAAACGACGATTCGGGGCAACATCTCCGAGACGTTTTTGCGTGATGAGCTTGCGGCAGCGCAGCCAATTAACAAGGACCATCCAGGTCAAAAGTCCACTACAGGCAGCACCCGCGAGTGTGTGAAGTTCCTCGTAGACTGGGGTTGGGTAGCTGATCTGTGGCGCGGGCGTCAAACCCAATGCCAGGATCCAAGCGTTGATGATGGTATGCGCACCGCACATCCATCCATTGGGTTGTTTTGGAACCGTGACCGATTGCTGCAGGAATCTGTAATCAACTGTGCTTCCCATGGCCTCCACGCCGCCTTCCCTGCCTATGTTTCTTGGTGATAGCCACCCTAGAACGCTCATAGCCTCCTTCAATTTACTCGTCAGGAATGGATATGCATCCCGCAACCGTTCCGGAGAGCTATCGTAGTAATATACGTTTACTGTCATGTCCTCTTCACTGTGTCGCTCAACGACAGCAAGAATGTGATGTCCTCCTGGCCCAGATTGAACTCGGAGCCCCTTTGTCTGTCGCCATTGGTTGACTTCTTCAAGCAAATGTCCGGACACTGTCAACGGCACAAGGAAGCACCTCCAAGGGCGTGATACCCGGCCGATTGGCTGCCCCCCCATGGCCAACTGCATCTGAGTAGTAGTGGCTAGGGTGAAGCCACCTGTAAACGGTACCGTCGTATTAACATTGGCATGTTGTTCAGATTGTGTTCGGTCGATTGCCTCGACTACTGCAGCAATCGCAATATTGACCGCGTCAGAATAGAGCATGTTAGCCCGGGGGGGCTTAGCCTGAAAGTCAGGGATACATCCACTCTTCAGCTTTGTACCTAACGCGTCTGGCCGCAAAATGGAGTGGTAAAATTGAAGGATGTCGCGAGACGTTGCGCATGCCCGGGCTTCATGCTGCAATGTATGCCCGGCATGCCAGTTTCTCATGTATTCCCTTGTTACATGCAGGAGCACTCTCGCATTTGCTTCCTGAGGGTTGATGTTGCGCTTCTGTAGCTGTCGTCGTACTTGTTGCCCTCTATAGTTTTTGGAAGCTTTGTGTGCTTTCTCAATGTCAGACTCCGTAGATAGATTCTTGTACGATATTTCTTTCCGGATCAGTTCACTAGCCTTTACTCTAGTGTCTTGACTCCAATTGTCCCAGGGAAAGGCTCCAGGTTGCGTATGGGGCATGCCTGCGGGTAAATTGCATCGATTTGTAGCTTTTATGTTTTCTATACTCAACGCCGGAGTGGTAGAATCATAATCGGCAAAGAACTGTAACTGTTCATCCTCATCTTGCTCTTCCAAGAATTGACCCAAGTACTGGTGCCCTTCCGTCCGGAGCTCATACGATGTGTCGAATCGACGATCGATAGGTACTTCGCCACGGAGCGCAAGACGCCTACACCGGAGGAACGCATAGATCAGGGCCCAATCAGCTTTTCCGATCCGCGTTAGATGTATGAGATTGATCAAATCCTCGAAGAATTCATCACTCCAGTCCACTCTTACGCTGGAATCTGGCTGAAGCCCAAGAGCCAAGATCCACGCGTTAATAATAACGTAGTATCCACACTCCGATTGGGTAGGCTGTTGAGAGACAGGTATGTAGGTAGTGAAGTCTGGAAGTTCCAAGGTAGGATTCCTGAGCATTGGTCCCCCCATCCAGCCATGTCGAATCACTATGGTCCGTGCCCATTTATGTATATTTTGCCGCGAACGTGAATCCAGATGATGGTTCATCGAATTCAGTATCGCAAACGTAACCCTGGCCTGGTCGTCTAGCTGGATTACCAAAAGAATGAAATGGTTTCCGTAATGCAGAGGGACGATCAACGGTCGGGCTGCCCGTAGTACGTTGGACTCTGTTTCAACCTTGTCTACTTTCTCGCAGAGTTGAACTTGACTTGGCATCAGATACGCGAACCCGCCAATAACATTGGAGGATTGTTTCTGTTGGTACCTGGTGATACCAAGAGTTACAGCGCCAATAGACAGCGAGACCTCTGTGTCATCAAGCCAAGCGTCAAATGCTTGAGTTGGTTTGCATCTGTCCCGAAAGTCTCTCAAATCACTTGCGATTTTTGGGTCTTCTAGTCGCTCATTCATTCTCCGGCGAAAGTCGGCGCATGGATGAGCATATCTCCGCCTGACCTCATTACGGGTGAGCTGAGGGTTGTAGTCAAGCAGTGTAGGAATACGAGTCTTGATATCGGTATCATCCATGTCCCAAGGCAATTCATCGCGATGTGAATACCCCGATTGTGCATCAAAATGCCGATAAAGTAAAGCTTGTTTTGTAAGGTCCAGAGAAGGCCCTGGCCTCTGGTTCATTCTTTCTTCGTGCTTGGACACCAGGCTATCAGGGCTGGTCCTCATGAATCTCCGGTCTGGAGCAGGCGGTTCATCAGAAGAAAGATACCCTCTGCAGCGCAGGAACGCCCAAATGAGTTTCCAGCTCGCTCTTCCACGTTGTACAACATGCATGAGCTGGTGTGCGTCGTCATAGAAAGACGCATCCGGGGCAAAATCAGTAAGGCTTAATGGTAGATCGAGTAGGATAGCCCAGGCATTGAGCACAGTGATGCATCCAGAGTGTTGTACAGCTCCTCTTCCAGATCCGAAAATCCATCTTATCGATTCTGGCATCAGTGCGCCTCCGGGTGATAGAGCCTCCACGTACCTGTGCACTGCCTGGCGCCGTTGCACTGTAGATAACCACGGTGCAGGATCCACAGCATATACCGCAGGCTGACCATCGTATTGACCGCTATTCCGAATGACGATAAGGATGAAGTGTTCGCCGAGCGAGACATATCTCAATATGAATTGATCGGTAGGAGACTCTGCATTCTTTATTCCCGAGGTTATAAAACACTGGGGTTGCTGACTGTAGATTGAGAAACCCTTTGAAATAGGCCTGATTTCGTTGATGCTTCTCGCCACAGCTGTAATACTAGCATACGTCTGTTCTTCCGACGAAAGTTCTGGCCACGTCGTGAACTCTTGATTATGATGTTCTGCTACAAGTCTGCTCATTTCCGACCTGAAATATTGACATGCATCGAACTCCGATTCTAGTTCAGAGGTATCGATCTGAGGGTCTCTCGGAGCACTGCCAGGGAGAATGTCTGCTAATGTGTTGGCATCATTTTTTGACGTTGCGGGGTTGTCAGATCCACTTGTAGGCCGAGGAGAATTGGGTTCTGTTTCCAGACTCAGGCGCTGCTTCAACTGCGGCCATGTTTCCGTCAAATTCCAACCACCAGGCCTTCGAATGAGCTCTTTTAGTTTGACCAAGTGCTCCTCTGGTAAATGATCCGAAGGAAAGTCCCTGGTATGAGCGACTCCAGTCTCAACTCTGACAGGAACAGGCACCGTGGCAAGACGCTCCTCGACAGCATCCGCTAAAGTCTGTACCTCCATCAGACGTTCGAAGGAATGTTTGCTTAAATCAAAGCGATGACTCCGGGATGGATCGATATGTCTGTACTCCAAACTCGGTCCACGTCCAGTATCCCCTTGGCCTTGCTTGCTTGACCTCACAAACCCGATGCATCTCAGGAACGACACCAATACCTTCCAGTTCATGGTGTCATTGAGAACCATCTGGAATACAGCATGGGCGCGACTGAAGAAGCTCTCGTTGTCTAGCCTAAAATTCGGGTCAGGCGATAGGCCCAAAGCAAGTGTCCAAGCCGAGAGAACCACCAAAGTGAGACTCTCTATAGCTTCGGGGTGCTGGACAGACGGACTCCAAGATAACTCTGCCGGGAGGTTTTTCCGCATTTCTTCCTGGCTTTCGTATGCTTTCTTCCACCACTGGGTCTCTGATAAGACTCTTCGTACATCATTGAATAGGTCATCGCGAGCTTGCCGGGTGCTTCTCCAAGTCAAAGGGTCCATAACTTGGAGCGTGATCCTGCGATCCTCCTGGACCTGCACTATGAGCAGAACAAAGTGATTAGAATTTCCCGCGTGTCCCATAATATGGAGCCAGGTTCTGCCAGGTCGGTTAACGCGGTTGTCATGGTAAACGCTGAAGCCAGCTGCCTCTGGTTGGCGAGCATTAATTGCAGCGAGCACTCTGGGGACGAGAGTTTGGAGGCGATCACGCTGTGAATCTAACGAATAACGCTGTAGATATGAACACGGACTAGGTTCATCATCCGTCCACTCGTCAGAGTAAACAGCCTCATCTCCGTTACCGAGCCTGGCAGAGTCAGGCTCGGTTGAGAGTGGACCAAGCAGTGTCCACGCGATTTCGACATGATCAACAGGCACATTGCCATGAGTTGATCGTCTTTGGCGTTCAAGTTCGGAGGGCTTAGTACGGGACTCCGTCTCAATGCTCTTTGCATCCTTGAAGTCTAAATCTTCTGGCGCACGGAAGAAGAAGATTGGCTGAGCTAGAAGCTCTATGATTGCAAATCGTTCGAGTGGACCGATAATAAACGGTTTCACAGATTCTTCGTCTGAATTTTCGCCCTGTAGCGTTGGCTCGTTGACATAGGTAAGGCCATTGACGGTGACACGCATTCCATGGGGAAGCTGGATGAAATACCCGAAGTCATCAGCTGCAGTTCCCGTATCTGAATCTGCATGAGGTGATTTCCGAAGTAGTATCAGATGCGCGCTTTCTTCTTCGCCGTCTGGGCGTACAGTTCTAAATGTTCGGTCAGCAGAGCTCCTGGACCCTTATCATACTTGAACCTACACTTCAACCTGATACTCTGTGGCTAATGCAAGTATAGCATTTGCGTGAGAGCCCGAAGCAACGACTGCATTGCCTTGGTTCTCTCCCGAGAACGCCTCTTCTAAGGCCTCGCGGGTATATAGATCACCTTCTTGCGGCTCGAATGTACTGGCCTTGATAAGGTTGAAGAAATCACACAAGGCCTTGCTGAGCTCACGCTTCCCACCCGTGGCAATATCTTTGCCCTTTGCCTGAAAGACCGGTGTCCGTACGTGTGGGAACCGGAAAGCCGATTCTTGAACTCTCAGTTCACTCCACGGTCTTCCAAACAAACGCTGTGAGTATCGCGTGATGGTTTCGCTCGTACTAGACGCATCACTGCCTCTGGCTGTTGTAGGTAATGCCCAGTGGACTTTGACTTGCTCAGCCTTTTCATCAGCGCTTAGTGCCGGCCTGCTCTTCTTCGGTGGCCTCCCACTGCCCTCCGTCTCCTTCCGCTTCGAAGGCATGGTTTTGTGGTAAGATTTCTCAGCTGTACAGATGTGCTTCAAGTAAAACAGGCGGATAGCAGGGACAATTTAGTGACTTGTGCAATTACTGTAGCTTCGCAGTGAGAATTTGTTTGTCTGAACTATATAGATCATTCTTTGTTCATGTAGCACAATGGGGCCCGCCGGATTCATACAATCGTCCGGAATCATGCAGACAAAGGACTGTGAGGCTGAGGACCTCTATTGGGCGCCAATTGATGCAAGAGGTTTATCGTGCCGCTAATATGACAAAAAGGGACGCGAAAGGAAATTAGACGAGTGTTACATACATTTCGGGTACGAAGACTGCGAAAGTGAATGGCTATGATTTGAGCATGATGTGGTGGTGCGACGGTGCTACTTCTTTGTTCGCATTGGGTAAAGCAGTGCGCCATGTAAGCTGGTCAGTCACTAGACGCACCGTGCGATTATCTCCTAGTAAGAGGGATTGTATGTGACGAGTCTACGAGCTTTGCACGGGGGCTTTGCTATGCACTATGCTCAAGCTGATTGGTGACGTACCTGCAACGACGCTTCCAACTAGGCGGGTCAATTTGTGTTCCAGTGGACTTTTCGGGATACAGTTCATATGGATGCGTTTTGATTCGAGTACTTGTCCATCATGCTGAAAACGACGTTATTATTGACGTAGCAGTGCTGGCCTGGGGCTCGGCAGCCAAGATCGGCCTCCAGTTCAGGTCCCGCATTTGCGCGCATAGTCCGGATGATATTGGCAGCATCCACACAAGATGATGTGCTGTAGGAAGAGACTGGGTCGGTTTCCAAGTTGTAGTCGCTTGGCAAGGTCCAATTATTGCTGTAAGACTGGTCGAATGGATAGCTGTAGGCATCTTCTGTCTTTACCTCTGCGGCCGATGAAGTCATGGAAGTTGCGTAGTACGCCGAAGAGTAAGATGGAGGTGATGTGCTCGTACTGGAGATCATTGAGCCTGGATTTTGCGAGTCTTTGCGGCTCACTGCGTTCAATCGAGCTGCTGGAATACTGATTGGCTGAACTGAGGATCTGTGTCCAGACAGGCAGGCCGCTCTCATGGGTGTTTGTGAGGGAGCAGGATAACTTATTGATGGCAGTTCATTAGTCGTAATCCTCCGCTCCAACATTGCATTGAGTATCGGCGTTGCTGAGATCTGCTCATAAGGCTGATCCGGTGGCCCGCCGAGAGCTGCTACAATTTCTGGTTCTGATGCACCTCGCTCGTATAAGAGGCTCCGCAGCTTCCGATTTTCATCGAGGACTCGTCTGGCTGCAGATTGGATCTTGGACGATGCTTCGATGCCGGCCTGCTCGCAACTTCGCAACTTGGCTTCAAGTTCTTGCAGATATTCCTTGCGTCGAGCACGTGATCGTCCTGTTTGAACATGGACCTGTCGTTAGCACTCACGTAGACTTGTATAGAGACGTCGAAAAGGTAGAGCTAGAGGCTTACGCTGATTGTCCCTGATTCGAGCAAGATTTTGAGTCTTGTGCTATTCGGGATCAATACATGGTCTATCAAGGATCGAGTAAAGTCAGTCCTACCGAAACGCCGAGATCGCTCATTGTGAGCTCGCTATGTCGTGTTGAGAAGCAAAGGGCGGAAGATAAGGCAGTACAGGGTTCGCTGATGTATCATGTACGGGTGGGTAACTTTGAGTTCATGCTCGGTACCTATGTAGGGCCCTGTCGGTCTGGTGGCATCGAGCCGATCTTTAAAAGTTAAAGGACATGGGAGACGGGCGGGAGGATAAAGCCCACTGGACAAGCCCGGAATGGTGTTAGGAGAAATGAACCCTGTATGTATGTCTGTGCGAGAGAAAGAGAGTGTAAGGGTGTGGCTTGGTTGCAGTCGACATGGGGATGTGAGCCATTGTGAGGAAATTTGGGTCAATGGTGGCTTTGAAAGACGCTAACGTATTGTTACACGTATTACACCTAAAGGGGTTAGGCTCCCGCTAGTATGTCGTTTCACCTCAAGTGCTCCAGCACCGGCTAGTGCACGAATGCACGTGACGACGCGGTGAGCTAGGCCTCCTGAACGAGCTTTTCATCGCACGTTTCGAAATCTGGGAGTCTTCATGGACGGCTCCCGAGGTCTCGACTTTCCTTGGTATCAACACGTTGCAGCGCCATATCGCCGGCATTCACTCGACTTGCAGGCTTTCTATAAGTTCAAGTACCGCAGCTGCTCGCTTGTGCGTGCCCGTGCCATTCTTTCGCCCCGTACCTGGGACTTTGATCTTTTCGTCGGCCCGTCGCTGACATGGCTTTCGGCAAACGCATCACAGCGCCTTACAGCGGCCCTTTCGACCCTGAGAACCGATTTGTGACATCCTGGATCTTGCCACCCGGCCTCCTGTTTGCTGTTCGAGCTCTCCTGTCCCTCTACGCCTTTATCACGCTCTTCACCATCTTCGGTTGGAACGGGAGCCATGATATGTCAGAGGCTTCACGGCGTTCATTCTCCTACTTTACGCACCTGACGTATTGGGGACTGGCGTTCTATCACGCATTCAGCGCTGCCCATACTGGAAGCTACTGGCTTACTGGCACTTCATTCCTAGCCCGTTGGCCCAAGTCACTGCAAGTTGCTCACAGCATGTTCTACTCTACCGTTGTGATCTACCCTTGGATCGTCACTGCTGTCTACTGGGCTATTCTCTTGCCTGGCAGGTTCCCATCAACGTTTGAACTCTGGTCGAATGTCTCTCAACACGCCCTCAACTCGTTCTACGCATTATTCGAAATTGTTGTGCCAAGGACGGAACCATTACCATGGCTGGATCTAATTCCAATCGTCATACTCTTGGCTCTATACCTTTCACTAGCATATCTCACTTACGCAACCCAAGGCTTCTACACTTACAGTTTTCTCAACCTCCAGGAGCACTCTTCCGGTATCGTCGCGGCCTACATCGTTGGTATATTGGTAGCTGCAATTATCCTCTTCCTCATTGTGAAGTGTGCTATCTTACTGCGGATTTGGATTACCGAAAAATTACTGCACATGTCTGGGAAATTCTCCAGTGGTGGACGCCCGAGACTGCCGGATCACGGACCTGAAAAGGGCCTGCCACTGCACCAACTGGGCCTGAAGTGAGCGAAAATGGGTCGCAGAGTCTTATCAAGTTCGATGCATACAGCAATATCAGCTGTATCTGTAATATTCAATAATATTTGCAGTGTTACATTCGCTGATCTACTTTATTGTACAACGCCAACCTGGTATATGCGTCATGTCCTTGTCTGTCTCCCACCATGATCTTGGATCCCAACATCATTGGCGTACAGCCACCACTTTGATATGATGCTCGACTTCTGGCAGCGCATGGATGTTGCTCACGCTTTGGAACAGTGCGGTTTCTGCGTGATGATCTCTTTTCGTCGGCTACAGATGCAGTTTTCCGCGTTGTGATCCCACGCCATCTTTTGGTTAACTTTGAGCGGTAACTAATTCAATGTCCCCAGAAGTTTTGCTCATTCATGAAGCGAGACAATAATCTCATCACAGTTTCTGTGTCTATCACGGAGAGCAGTGGCCAAATATACGCCTTGTGCCATGCGCAGCCTTCACATGATAGAGTCTCGTCTAGCGAGATATGGCTGCTTATATAGGAGCAAGCGATTCAACCGCCATTCATCTCCGCCATGCGAACAACAATTGCGTCGCTAGAGGACTCATTCAAGCCAGTACTCATGGGGAGACCAAGTTCGACATGCTACTCTCCAATTGCTCCCATCAATGATCACACTTAAAGCAGCAGCAGTCATTATATATTCATGCAGGTTGGACGCATACTGGGGGTAGTAACTTGGTGGGCTACTTTACTGCACGTGAGGAGAGCATGCTGAATCATCGAAACAGTGGATAAATGACGACCACTGACCGCATCTTATCGAACAAGCACTCGCGACAAGCCTCCGCGCACGACCAGATCTTGGAGGTGACTCAAGGAAAGCAGGGATGAGCTTCTAGAAGCAGCCGACCCACTCTCCAGGCCGCCATGACGCTGCTTATTGCTCGATGAGCCATACTTCTCTCGTTGCTGGTAATGCGGCCATTGGCCTTGTTCACAAAGAATGTTACATTTCTCATCAGATTACTTAGATCGACAGATAATCAGTCCTCAACACTTTCCAGAAGGTGGCGTGGTCAGGAGTGTTACATAACTCACATGCTAACATGAAGTTAGGTGCTTTTGAGCCAGCTCGACGGGAGTCAGATAGTGCCTGCATTGTCCGGATCCTATGGCTCGCTCCGCACCATCTCTACCAAAGGTATCTCACTCCAGGGCCGATCATCTTAGTTACCGGTAGTACCCGACAGGATTGTTATGTACAAAATCTGATTCTACTAGGTTGTACGCATCGCAAGCCGAGCGATTGTGTACCTCATGGTACGTCAACCACCTAACCGACTCCTGAGCGAGTAGGTAGCGGTATCATCGGTTCAAGATACTCACCATAGCAATATCACCGAATGCCATCCCGTTTTCTCTGCACCCTGTTCGCAAGTGGGTTTGACGTCCCTACAGGGCAGGTTGGAAGTTCACAAGCCTCGGCTTACCCTACCTGCAGTTGCTTTTCAGCGTTTGTCGACCGTCAAAACTAACTGATCAAATGTTGATGCTGGACGTCGATCATTCTCTACATGATGGTCGCGCTCAGCTCGAACACAGCAGGGCACTGCAGCGTCACAAGACTAACTACGCTGGAATTTTGCGACCGTACAAGGTCCACATGAGGATACCGGTATTGCCAGGGCCCTGAGGAGTCTCTCGAAGACTGAGACATATTGTCGATCGATGCTAGCTATAATAAAGCGGACCAGCACATTTGGATTAATTCCGGGTGACGGTGCCTTTGCGGTGCTCCTGGTACCGGTAACGCCCAGGCTCCCATCCCTGCTCTAGAAGCCCGGCCTGTGGCTGCACAGGCCCTTGTCCTCGACGAACAGCCCTACCGGGGTTCCCCCTACTGCCAAAGCTGGACAGATCCCTGCGACTAAGAATGTTTCCTGAACGCCTTCTCTCGAGGAAATCCCAAGATCTTGAGCGACTTCCCACGACTGAAGAAGCCACCAGCCTACAAGAAAGACAATCGGTCGGGACTATGCGACATCAGAAACATGGCGTCCATCAAGAAGCTTGTCAGAGTGCGCATGTTTCAAGTGATTTACAGTGGTAGACAAGACGAGTACACGATATATTGACACCGTGGAATAATTGACAGTACATAGCTCTCGCTGATCGTCACGATGGATGTGAAGGAAGTACTAGTAGACTGAACGGGCCGATGACAAGCATGTGGTGACCCGGATGACGAGATTCTACCGGTACATGGACATGTAGAGTCGCATACGAGGTGCACTCTGTCCATTGAAATCAGTTTGCGTATTGTAATCCACTAACCAGCCAGCCCCGCGTTTACAAGAGTGGTCATGTCTGCCACATTGACCTATGGTCCAACTGCGCTACAAAACACCACCCGTCGGCTATCCATGGTTCATCCGCAAAGTTGACCCGCACGGCAGACCAGATCCACAGGGTTCAGAATACCACGTCCAACAGTGTTATCCTCGTCACTCTGAAGGTGAGCCTTCTTGTAGCATGTGTGAGGCCAGCCCGATAGAGATTCACGTAACCTCGTCATGATCGAAGAAACCATCTCGAGTTTTTACCATTCACTCTCATGATCCCGTCCAAGCTTGTTGGGGTTGTTGCATCAAGCTAGCAGCCGATTTATGGAACGCAGAATAGGGTACGAGCAAACCCTGCATGTGCCTATGGAAACTCGACGGCTCGCAAGGCACCTAGTGATACGCTCTGTTTGACCAATGGCTCAGCTAATTTACTAGTGATGCATTTCCCTGCATCCTGCAGGAAGATTGCATGGAAAGCCACAATCCATGACCCTCAGAGCGAAGACACGCACGGCTCTGGACACGGAAGCTTCACCGATGGCAGGAAGATTCCATGAGCGGGCCAAGGTCGGGTCGATGGGTATGGCTGATGAGTGATGGGTACCGATAGATAGTTCGAACGAAGGAGGGACGCGCGACTGGTCAGCACTCATACTACTTGCACACGATGGATAGTCAGGCTACTGTAGGTCCTATTTTGGTTCCATTTTTCCATGATGAAGGAGAAATTCTGTCTATGCGCCGCGCCGTGGTGGGAGGGCTCTACTCACACCCACAGATGCACCATCACTTGCAGGGCTGAAGCCCCTGAACTTATTCCTGGTGCATGTAGAAGCTCTATGAGTGTGTGGATTCGATACGGTGAGACACGAACGCGATGCAGAAAGATGAGCGAAAGGAGAATCTAGCCGAGGTCTGCCTGTGCCTACCGATGCCATATCGGACCGTGTCGGACTAAGGTACAAGACCTAGCTGCCGTCCCATGTCTCCACCGCGTCACCAGCAGATTCGTATTCGCGAGAACACCACAGACTTGTCTAAAAGTCCGATCGTCCACGCCAACTGTGGAGGAGCCTTGGGATCCACCAGATTGCAGAAACGATGATAGAGGTCATTTACATTGTGCGGCACGCGGTATGTCTCTACCGTATTGTATGAATTCAAGCCGCCGTCTCCACCATGGCATTTGCGCAATCTTCCCCCCACCACATACCGGGTGACTAGGTATCGCTCGTAGATTTGGATTAGCATCCTGGAGCCACAGCATAGCCTCTCCCGTTCTTCCATTGCCTACACTCTTCCGTACAGCCTCGCTTGTCCGTTACCGTACAGTCCACGCACGTCATGTCAAACTCTGTTTCTAATCGTAGGCTGGCTGGCTGGCTATGTAGTTTCGCTCCAACTGGGCGGTGGATCCGCAGACGGGCACATACACGGCATTGATGGTCAAGACGCCAACTGGCATACCAACAGATCCACCATTAACGTCCAAGGGGGTCCAACAGTCGAAAGAGCTAGCAGAGCATTTGTGCAAGATACAACCCCCGATTGAACGCATCTACTCAAGCCCCTTCTATCGATGTCTACAGACATTACAGCCTACCACAGCCAGACTTTTCGCAGAGGGCAAGGTGAAGGGCAAGATCAGAGTCGATCGAGGCATTGGGTGTGTGACATTCAAGACTGGCCGATAGTCGCGTGACGCACATATCTAAGAAACGAAAGCTGATGCTAATGTAGAGAATTCTTTGGCCGCGCCAACTGGGAGCATCCTTCACCGCCTACCCTTCAGATCTTGACTGCTCATTTCGACAACCTGGATCAAGAGTATGTCTCCGTGCATATGCCTCCCGCCAAGGGTGAAATGATTGTGGAGCTTCATGAACGTGTCAGGAGAGCGCTGGATCACATCATTACGACACTTGACAATGACCCGGAGCAGCCAAAGACAGTAATTCTATGCACTCATGCGGCTACAATGATCGCAGCTGGCCGGGTGCTGACCGGTCAGATGCCAGATGACCCAGACGAAGAGGATTTCCACTGCTACACAGCAGGCCTATCCAAATTCATACGGAGGACTGACGGTCCTGGCAAAAGTGTTGTTGGGAACTGGGGTTGCGAGCTCAACTCAGATACCTCGTACCTTTCCGGTGGAGCAGAGAGAGGCTGGTATGTCACATCATTCTCTCTTCCATTACCACGAAGGCTTTGATGCGAGTTTCGTCCACCAGGAGGCGTCGATTCTGTTCCTTCCTTCTCAGTGTGTCGCATCACGAGTGCCTACACGGAGACTGTCTATTCAGTCACATGACACTAACAACTCAACAGGCATTTCAATGGCGAAGAAAGTTTTGTAGACTTTTCTGAAGCGTCGTCATCAATGGACGGGACAACAAAGTTGTGAAACTATGTCGTCCTGAAAGGCTGGCTTGCTCTTCCTCAGATGGGCTCATAGTAGCCAGCGCAGAACGAGCAAACCGATACAAGCATAGCAAAGCGGTGGAATCAAGATACCCTATTTGAATAGATATGATACATGCCACAGAAGCATACGCTGTTCAGGCAGATAATCGACTGCATAGTCCACGTCTACAAAGCCATGAGCTTTCCACATCGCTCCAAAGGTTAAGACTACGTCCAAATAAGCTCATCCACATCCCCCGTAATTTCCTCGTAACTCATGCGAAACCCACAAAGTCTAGGCCACAGATTTTGTGCCCATATAACACATATCCTGCGGCCCAACTGCAGGCCAATCGGGTGTGCATTCCCTACCAAATATGCGAGCGAGCTTCACAACGTCCAGTTGCCTGAACAAACAGTCTTGCACAGAACGTTCAGTTTGCCATTGACACCAGGAAATTTCGTCTCGGCGCTGTTCATGTAGTTTTCCCTTTTTTCCAACCTCCTTTTGGCTCAGCGTTGAGTTGACTTGCTGGCTGATCGTCAGGCACCCAGCCAGCTGCACGGCACTGAATCCCAGCCATCGGTCGGATGGTTGCTGGCAACGGGCGCGGCAACGTGGGAATAGTGCCGATGAAGGGGTTCCGTATTCCGGGAGAAAGGTGAGTTCCCGTAGAGCGGGTGCTGGCATGATGCTGATTTGTGCAATGTCGGCGTGGATTACCGGGCGGGTGGGACTGGGGTTATGATGATACGCATGGATGCGATGAGGATGGCCGATGGCGTAACACCGCTGCGATGCGTTGACGGTTGTCAGCTGGAGAGATCTTGGACTGCTTCTGACCTCTTTCTCTAGTCCGTAGTTTGGATGCATACATTGGGTACTGCAAAACACCAAGGGAAGCATATTACCTACCAGTCGCCCCAACTCACGATCAACCACTTGCCGTACCGGTACCGCTACCGCTACCGCACCCAAGACCTCCTGAGCTCTCTTACGGCCACAACCTCCCCATCGCAAGTACCTCATCAAATCGACGATTATTGCGCAACCATGTCCACGAGACGCGGAATTTAATCATCCCTATTTGACAGCGACCATAACACACTCCAACCTCTACGGCGCCGAGGGCCCCAGTTCCCCAGCGCCGCGACAAATCACAACACGACAACACACGGTGATCTCCCATCACGACAACACACTCTCAACCTCCATCGCTTTACTTCACCGCCAGCCATGAGCATAAAATCTCCTTTCATAAGTCAGACTCAAGGTCTGGGAAACAAGCTTCGAGCTCTCACAAACTGGTCACCATTCTCCTTCTCTCGCTAGCCTTTGACCATTTCCCCTCTTGGGTTATTTGTACGGTGGATCCCGGGGGGCTTGACTTGACCCACATCGAAATAACAACGAGGGCTGGCTCCCACAAAGCAATCTACCAACCCCTGGCTCACCGAGTTACCATCCTCTCACAATGCCACACTACGCAATTCACCACGCCACCCAGCTCACGCCGTCCCAAACCTCTGCGCTTGCAACGACAATCACACACCTCCACACAAGCCTCTTCTCCGTCCCTTCCATCTTCGTAAACATAACCTTCCATCCGACAACACCCACCTCGCAAACAACCTATGTCGGCGGTCTCGCGGCCCAGACAAACTATATTAATGCCTTTCTGCAACCCCGAGGCCCCAAAAGCGCATCCAAATTCAGAATCTTGATCGAAGAAATCTCAAAGGCGTGGGAAGATATTGTCGTCAGCCCAGCCCTTCTTTCCCTCTCCTCCTCGTCCTCCACCGTATCCTCGTCCTCCTCGTCCTCGTCTTCCTCATCCTCGTCCTCCTCCTTTCTCTTTCCGCCCTCGGAACCCCTGACAGTAAATCTTCAACAACGACGAAGAAACCCTTCGGACTCGTCTTCTTCGACCTCCCTCATCCAGGCATCCAGCAACAGTAATAATGGTACCGACGCCGGGAGACTGGACAATCCATTCACGCTGCACAATATCTTCATCCATGAAACTATCATCGCGGGCGCAGAACAGGGCTTCATGCTTCCCGCCACAGGGCAGGAGAGGGGCTGGCTGGAAGAGAACATGGAGGAGTTCAGACGCAGGGCCGAGAGGGGTGATCAGAGCATGAGGGCGCTGGTCGGCGAGGTTAGGGTGAGGAGTAAACTGTAACTCATCTTCTGGAAAGGGGAGCAGTTGAAAACGATGGGGGCAAAGATCCGTGGCGTTGTTGTTTTGTTTGCATTGGCGAATTTTTGTGGGTTATTTCTTAATTTGGGACCGGTGCAGTGAATGGCGCCATCTAGAATGTAACTCGCAGGGATCCTGGGGGAGTTTGGGGGAACGGCAAAGAGCCGAATGAGTTTTCAAATGTTTCCATTCTATGGGTCTAGCTAGACCAACATGGGTATAGAAGTGAAGAGGTTTGTAAGTGGCCTGTACAATCCAAGCAGACGTTTCTCCTTTCGTATAATACTTCATTTCACATGGCGTATTTTCATCTTTTTTACAACGGCACATGCTCCATCATCTGCACAGCCCCTTCCCTCCCCACCGTAATGATCACATCCCCCAACGTCTTGGTCGAGAATCCGGCTTCCGAGTACCTGAAGTAGTAATCCCACTTTCTCTTGAATATTTCTGCGCCCTCATCATCCATGCCCGAGTCCTTTTTCTCCTTGATGAGCTGCGGCTTGATCTTGTCTTGCCAGTTCTCTAAAAACGCCTCCCGCCACAATCGCAGTGCTTTGGCGTAATGTGGGCCAATGTTTTCTATGCTGTCAACAACCAGCGTACCGTTGGATGCAGTGTTAATCGAGCTGACGAGCTCAGAGACAGCGGGAAGATGGCCACCGGGGAAAATGTACCGGCGTATGAAATCATCGGATTTGGCATAGGCCTCGTAGCGCGCGTCGGGCATGGTGATGCACTGGAAGCATGCTATTCCCCCCTCTTTTTTGAGCAGCTTATCAATGCATTTGAAGTATGTGACGAGGTATTCTTTGCCAACGGCTTCGAGCATTTCAATGGATACAATCTTGTCAAATGCGCCGGTTTCGGGTATCTCCAAACTTCGGTAGTCGCAAAGGAGAACCGTGATTTTGTCTGACATGCCGGCTTCTTGTATCCGCTCTTCTGCAAGCACTTTCTGTTCGATGGAGAGGGTCAGAGATGTCACTCTGCAGCCTGTTCGCCCAACTGCTCTCATAGCGAAGCTACCCCAACCAGTGCCAATCTCCAGGACATGATCAGACCCCTTGATATGTGTGTTGTCGATGAATCGATCGAGCTTTCGCATCTGCGCATCCGAGAGGCTCTCCAGCTCGGATTTGGGGTTCGATTTTGGGAGCCATATTGGACTTGAATAAGTCATGTCTGGCGAGAGGAAGGCTGCGAACATTTCGTTTGAGATGTCGTAATGTGCAGAAATATTGAGGCGCGCATTCTTAAGGTTGTTACTGCCTCGGACAAGGCCAGCGAGGCCAGTCGATATCGCGGATGTAAGATTCGAGCCATTGGAGAGGTAGTTCCGGTTCAGAATGAAGAGCTGTACAGGTAAGCCAGCTGCCGTAAGCTAGCAGGACAGTCAGGTGGACTCACCTCGAAGAACTTGGTCAAATCTGGGGATGTGAACTCCCCCAGCATATAGCTTTCTGCGAATCCCTACAACAGTCAGCCAGATCTTTGGAAACAGCATCTCCAAATACTGCATAGCACCTGGGGACATCAGACGCACCATGTCAGCGAAAAGCGCAAGTCGCACCCAAAACTTCTCGTCATGGACATCCAAGAAGGCAATTGGCAGGCCTTCTTTATCATTGCCAAATACGGCGGAAGCCTCGCTCGAGCCACCTTCAAACAAAACAAGCTTCCCGAGCTTCAAGTTCTGCAATTGAGAGATTGTGCCATTTCTGCATAGATTGACGAGCGGATTCCACGCCTGCGTTGTGATTGTGCTCAGGACAGACGAGGCAGCGCCTGTCAGCGGACTGAATATTGTCATGATAATTGGGTAATTGCCTGACGTCGAATTTCGGAACCGAAAAAAAAAATTATTTCGAGAGAAGACTGGTCGCAATTGACCAACAGAAATCGGCCCTTGAAGATTGAGAAATTCTGGGGCCTATCGTGACGCAAGCGGCCAGTTCTTTGATCATGGAGCGGGAAAATAACAACAGGCTTCCAATCGCGTACAGCCTCGCCAGGACAATCAGAAGCGGGCACGATGAGCTCAGCGGGGAGGGGTGTTGGTGTCCAAAAGCCGTGGATATAGATAACGGTAGCAGGATGTCGCGGAATGAATGTCTAGACGGTAGCGTCTCGGTGGGTGGGGAGAGGAAGATGCAGGCAAACTGCATGTCCGACAACACATGGCGCAAAAGTTTATCTGGCATAAATGTCCACTTCGACGGTCGCCGACGGGGCGGAAGACGGACAGCCGACGGGGTACCTCTGGACTCTGGTTGCGCCGTGTCGACCAAATTCGTGTCGCATTCGTTTGAAGCGCAGGGTCGGCGTGGGTACTTTGCCTGTTCCAGCAATCTATGACGACTTGGATTGTGCCAGACATCGACGGCAGACATCCTCTTGGGAGATGCTCGGCTGACATGTTTGGAGAGAGAGCCAAGAAAGTATGTGTGAACAGATTGCAAGAAGAGGCAAGAAGGAGAGTCGAGCTGTAGCCATTGGACTATCAGATGCCTGTGTGTGTGTGTGTGTCCATGTCTCCATGGCGGCCACTTCTCCTACCGGTAACACAAGTACGGTAGAGTAGTCTGTGAGCGAGACTCTCTAGGGGGAAGTGCTAATTGTCCTCGCCACAATAGACTAATCGTCCTCGCCCTTACCACTTAGCGCCAGGTACCCCGGCCGCCTAGCAAATTAGTAGCAAGCTAAGGTAGCACTAACTGTATCGTGCTTTTAAAACGTATTAGATAGAAAATATCTAGTAAGGAAAAATTCTAGGTGTACGTGTAAAGTGGACTAGTAGTAAAAAATAAGTAGTAGTAAGGCTGTTTAACCTAATATATAAATATTATATAGTAATAGGATCCTACTAAAACACGCCTAAATATCTAATTTCTTGTCGCTTAAATATATCGCCCCTAACCTAACTAATATTACCTACTACTATAGAGTTAGTAGGCTCTATTAAGCCTATAGAGCTACTATTACCTGCTACCTTAGAGGACTTACTAGAGTCCTCTACTAAGGATTCTAATATTAAGGAGCCTAATCTATCTTACTAATATAAGTAGGAAGATAAGGAGTCTAATTTAGAAGTCCTATTAGATACTAAGCCTAAATCTAAGTTAGAATCTAAGCTAGATATTCTAGTTAAAGCTATAGTTATTTAGCCTAGCCCTTAATAAGGCCCTTACCTACGCTATAAGTAATACTAGCCTTGCTAGATTAAGTATAGAGTACTGTGTAGTAAGGTTAGTAAAGGAGTCTATAATCTTACTAACCTCTAGGAGCTATTAAATCGCGAGCGTAACTATCTCCTGCTGCTAGAAGCTATATATAATAGCTTTAATAAGGCTATCTAAGCTATAAATAAGTAGGTAAAGTCCTATAGGGTAGCCTATAATAAGTAGTAGTAGTAGAAGAAGGGGCGTTATTAGCTTCTTATAGTGTGTAATTAGTAAGGAGGCAAGCCTAAGGTAGGTGTAGTAAGGGTTTAGGTAAGGGCAGGCGCTAGTACTATATAGTGTAACTATAAAATAAAGTTTTAGATTATAGTAGATAACTATTAGGATCTTAGTAGTTAGTAGCAAGTTAAATAGGCAGAGGATAAGCTAAGTATTACCTATAATTACCTACTAGTTTCTAACCTATATATAATAGCGCAGTACTAATAGGTAACGTGTTTAGCTAAAATAGGTGCTAAACTCTAGAGCGTATTTAAGATAGCGCGCGGTTCTAAACAAGCGCTTCTATTAATATAGGAAAGGTATCCTAACACGTATTTTTTACGTAAAGATATTTAGAATAAGTATTATAAGTTCTAGGTAGCTAGAATAAGTAGCTAGACGCAGGTAGAGGCGTTAGTAGAGGAGATAGATAAGGGAAACTATTAGTATTAGTAAGTAGTATTTTAATATTTCTTATAGTGTTGTAATCTATAAAAAATATTTCCCTCTAAGCTAGGCTTCTTTAGGGATATACTAGTCTTACTAAGGTTAGACTGCGTCTATACTTTAGAATTTCTACTACTAATTTAGAATACTAAAACTTTTAGTTATAGTATTAACGCGGATAGCTATATTACCTCTATTATATTTTTCTATCCTAACTCTATTTAGCTATTCTAGGAGTTACCTAATATCCTCCTTATTAACTACACCTTTAAGACAAATAAATACTACTTTCCTCTTATTAATTTTATTAGCTTAGGTAGTAATAACAAGATAATCTAGCTTAGGGTAGTAATAATCTATAACTAAGATAAGGCTATATTCTTATAGGTGCTCTAAAACCTCTATAAGCTCCTTAACTCCTATAGTATTGTAGTATAATTTTAGGCTATTAATTGTAATCTAGCATTTCTAAATACGTTAGATTAGGTATTTAACACGCCTAGAGTTATTATCTACTACTAGCATATAAATAAGGACGTTCTATTATATCTATAGTTAAAAGTTTTAGTAGAGTTTAGGCAGTGTTATAAGGGTCGCACCTAGGTTAATAATAATAGCACTACTAAATATTTATAGCTATACTATAACCTTATTGCCTTACCTACTAAAGCTAACTATTTAGCTAATCTACTATTATGCGAGCGAAGATCTGCTGCTATAACTACCTACCTCTAGCAGTATTAGCTTAATAACTACTCTACTAAGATTGTAAGTTATTATATTAATAAGCACCCTTATTTCTAGCTTACTATAACAAGTAAAGTTAAGGGAGCGCACTACGTTATTAAGGAGTAGCTACAAGGTAGTTAAGCTAACCTCCTTATGCTATTTTAAAGGCTCTGCCTATTCTATAAGGAGTACGTAAAGCACGTAAGGTTAATAAATAGTATTAAGAACTTCTAGCTTTAATTTAACTATTACGACCTAATATTTTTAGTAGTATTTAGGTGTATAACCTAGTATACACTTATAATAATAGCAAATAACCTAGCTTGCGCGCGCACTAAGCTACGCAAGCAGCAGCTTAATAGTGCCTACAAGTTCTTGCAGTATACTAACTAATATAGTAGGACGCTTAGTATACTATATTAGTATTTTTTAGTAGATCTAGAGCTTTATTTAAAGGTACTATAGGTAGTAGATTACTACCTATATTAGTAGGTTAATTATAGCTAGGCTCCTTACCTTAAAGTTACTGCTACTCCTTGCAAGCTATAGATAATTATTACTAAACCACGCGCTAAAAAATCTCACTATAAGGGCGCAGGCTAGTCTAGCAACTAGCGCGACCCTACTTTAGCTAAGTAGATTAATAATAACTACCTAGCCTTACTACCTACTACAATACTAGCTTATATAAGGTAATAGTAGCCTACTAAGCATATATATATTATCCCTCGCCTACCCTAATTGTAGCCCTAACCTCTACCTATACTATAACCCTTACCCTGCCTACTATAGCTACCCTACCTGTAGCAGGTAATTTACCTAGCTCCTTATCCTTACTAGGCTCTAATAGCTTAACTATAGCCCTTACTATAGTTAGCTATATAGTAGTACTATTACTAGCCTTAATATTAGTAGTTAGGTTAATATATTAACCTACCTACTAGTTATAACTACTAAAATTAGCTCCTAGGTAGGTAATTTAGTAATCTAATAGGCGGGCGGGCAGGTAGGTAATAGGCCTACCTATAGTCGCTAGTATCCTAATATATTAAGCACCTGTTACTAGCTTAACTACTTACTCTATAGTAACTAGCTTGTACGCTAAATCCCTATACTATTACTAGTACTTTACTAGAGCTAGAGTACTATAGTAGCTTATAGCTAACCTAGGCATTATATTACGTGTTATAAACTTTTAAGTATAAGAGCTAAAATATAGCTATATAGTTAATATAATTACGTAGTATATCCTTTACTCCTACCCTAGGTTTGCTAGCGAAAGCTGCGACTTTACTACTAGCAATAGCTGCAAAGCGAATTAGGTAGGTATTATATCTCCTTGTATTATAGAAAATTACATACAACGCTAAGACAGAGTACTTAGGCGATTACCCCTTGGCGCTTCCCTATTAGGAAGGGCGAGGACGATTAGTCTATTGTGGCGAGGACAATTAGCACTTCCCCTCTCTAGGTCTGTGAGGAGGGGTAGCGGTAACGTACATCGCTGTTATGCAAGGCACAAATCCGAGCTTTTCTCGGCGGGTTCGGGTCCTTTTCGGCCTGTATAGCAGTGGCAAGGCAAGTAAGTGCAGGTACCTAGTCCGGTATTGTCGATGGGTAGCTGTTGTACGGAGTGGCTGTGAAGGCAACGTTCATCTGATGCCATTTGGGAATACGGTAATGACATGGACCTGCATTCCCGCTCCACCAGAGTTTCATTCAAGGTTTCGGTCCAAAGCGCGGACAGTCGCGCCGGTCAAATGACGAAAAAGGAGGAGGAGGAGAAGAAGAAGGAGAAGAGCACGCAGCCATCAAAGCAGCGATTCAAGCATGCTGGCGTCATCGCAAGCGTCGTGAAGTGTAACAGTATTGACAGCACGCTGTTGTGGGAGGAGGGAGCACGGCTGGGTTTTGTGCGCGAGAGCAATAGGTGGATGGAGTGATGGTAGATAGAGTGTATTATCTACAGAGTTTGGGGCCAACCCATCAGTCCTTTTCGAAATCAACAAATATATACATGAACAGCATGTTGCTTCATAGTAGCGTCATGATGGCAGAAACAGGAGAGGAGCTGGGGCGTCCGTGCCCCGCAGACACACACACACACACACACAGCTTACCTTCACGCTCTTGGCGCGTCGGCGCGTCAACAACCTCTTGGTCTTCTTTCTTCCCTTCTCCGCCACATCAAAACCACCCTCAACCTCAACCCTTACCAAAACATACAAAACACACCCAACATGTTGTCAATACAGTCCTCCCAACCGCAAAAAGTCACTCCCAACCTTCTCCCACTACGCATCTCCCACAACGGCCCCATCCACTCCGCCTCGCGCTTCTTCACCCCCTCCACAGACCCTTCCAGTCCTTCCAACAACACACAACACGCCCACTTTCGCGGTCGCCATTTACACGGCACGCCAGTCGCGCTGCCAGAGGGCTACACGGGTGCTGTCTTGCACCTCACCGGCAGACAACTCCCCCCCACACGGCGGCAGCCTCAGGAGCAGCGCCATGGCGACGAGAGCGGTGGCGAAGATGCCGAGGAAGAGGACATGGACGTCCAACTGGGCGTTGCGGACCAAGTGGGCGAGTTTGACGAGCTAGTCGTGTGGGGCCATGGAGCACCTGTGGAGGAGAGTCGGGATGCCTACGTCAGGGGTCTGGAGGAATGGGTGGGCTTCGCCGAGAGTATGCATTGCGACGAAGACGAGCAAGAGACACAGGAGAAGAAGACTTGAATACTGCATCACTGGATCACTGTGCGGCGGGACAAGACAATAGTAGCCACGACACCCAAGACATCGGTCAAAAATCCTGTCAAGAGGGTGAATCGCCAAGGCATCGATACAAAGGAAATCAATCCTTCAGTGCAAAAGCCTCGCTGATGTCCTGTCTCCCTTCAAGATACGTGTGACACGCACTCATGGCGGGCAGCAACAACATGACCACACTCAGCGTCTGCCAAAGCCCCACACGTTCTCTTCACTGTGCTGCGGCCCACAGAACTGCTCTGCATTACGTGGTACTGAGACTTTCTGGCTTAGGATCAAAATGACAGACAGTACAGCAAGCAGTATTTGGACTGCAAAGGCGATGATTGGGTTCTGGAAGAGATAGTAAATCACTTTGAGGCTGACTTGTGCTGGGGAGAATGGCTTTGCGGCTCGTCGGATCAGGCCTTGCTTGGAAGTGATGGACGACGCCGATGCGCGGACTAAAACCGGATGGCCTCTGGGGTTGTGGAAGATGCACACAAGGGCTGTAGAAAAGCCAATCAAGATCAGCATGAGCGATATGAGAAATGACAACCGCTAGGCCCGGCTTTCTCTTGTACCGCCGCCATATTCATATCCTGTGGGTGGCCTGCAGATGGCAGCAATCATGGATGTGAGGAGAAACACAGCAAACACAATGACTGCCGTAAGACGAGTCTTTGCAACCATGCGGTATTTGCGAAAGTATTTGCGTAGTGTAATGAGCGCGGCGAGTTGAGAGGACGAGGAGAGTGCGCAAATGTATAGGATGAGGACAAAATGAGCGCCTTGGACTTCGAACGTGTTTTGCGCCACCTGCGCATGACTGATCAGCACGACACCTAAATACAGAGGGCGGCGGTCACGTACCTTGATCCAGCCGCTGGGCAGCACAGCATATCCCGTGACGAGTTGCTGATCACCAAACCTAATGATGAGGGGGTCAAGGAAGGGCCGCCACGCATATTCCTTCTTCCATTCTGTATCCACAAACCGCTCTCGAATGTACTTGACAGTCGCGCTTGGTGTGAACTGGCCCTTTGAATCGTAGGCTTGGTCGAGGATCATGGCGAAGATGCTGGCCGCCGTGGTCATGATGCTTGCGATGACAAAGGAGAGGACGACCTGCGTAAGGCTCCGTCAACTGGGAGTCCTATACTGCGGCTGATACGCACCCCAACACCACCAATATCTGGCTCAGCGCCATTGGCGTAGTCACCACCGCACGCCGTAATGCTGTCAAAAGTTACCCAAGGCGGGGTCATTCACCGGTAAACCGCTCGGCCGACGCTGAAACTCAGTAGAGTTGGGTGATGCTGAAGGACGACTCAAGAGTGCTCGAAGAATGCATGCACGAGTGACGCACAAGGAATAAATACTGCGTTAGTGAGCAGCCGAGAAAGGAGAGGAGAGGGGAGATACAGTCAGAAAACGAGAGAAAAGAGCGAGGCATGATAAGAGATGATGACTACGCCACAACGTTGGTAGGACATGAGGCTATTGTGATGTAACTATCGAGCGCTTCGAGTGCTGAGAGGAAAGAGCCAAGGGCCTTAGAAACAAGGCAGCGCATTACGCCGACCTCGACGTGCGACATTAACACCACGGGAATCTAGTCACGAATGGGGGAATAAATGATGGATTGACGGCACGCCTGCACATCATTTCGCCCTACTCTTCGCCTTCACACGTGCGGCCAACTTCATAACGTCATCCTCCACCCCAGCGGCCTGCTGCTTTGACTTCTTGTTAATCCTGTCAGTCTCAGCATCATCTTCACCCTTGCCTTGCTTCCGCTTCTTGCGGCCCTCCTCTAGCAACTTCTTCATACCCGCTGTCTCCTTGAACTTTGGGTTCGTCGGATCAATAGCAAACTCATGGCTTTCATAGAGCTTCGCGAATCGTGGATCGCCAGTATTGAGATCGAAGTTGTCCTCCGCAACCACCGCATCCTTCTTCGCCTTCTTACCCTTCTTCTTCAGCTTCTCCGCCTTGACGATTTCGTTCATGTTGAAGTGCCGCATCGTATCGTTATTCTCGTCTGCCATAAGAAGTTCGAGATTCGCACGTTCAGCTGCATTAGCTTCGTCTTGGGCGTCTTGCTCTTCGCGCTTCTTGGCTCTCTTTGACTTCTTCGCCTGCTTGATTTCTTTCGCGGCCTCCTCAGGGTCCGATGCGAAGAAGGGGTCATCGAATGGATCATCAGTGGTGGCCTTTCCTGGTACATTGCCTTCGTTTGAGCCTTCAGCGCCCAGCTCTATTCCCTTCTTCTTGGCTTCGTACTTTTCCTTTCGCTTTTGTTTCCTTTCCTTTTCTTTACGAATGTACCTCTCCATAGTAGTCTCCTGCAAAGGAATGTCATTCTCGAATACCGAGTCTTTGCTGGCACTGTTCAACAGGCCCCCAGTAAATGTGATCTGCATCTCATTGTCCGGCTTTGGAAAGTCACGGTCTCGTTTCGCTGATGGCTTGACTTTAGGTTTGGAGGATCTGGCAGAAGCTTCCAGACCCAAGGCCTTTCGTAAACTTGCTGCTTTTTCTGCCTTTGCGGCCTCTGCCTCGTCTTCGGATGATGATGAGTCCGTGCCTAAGTAAGCTTGCAATTCATTCTCGTCAATCTCCTTGCGTGAAAAGGCACGCTTCTGCACCTCTTGTCGTGTTGTATCATCCGCATCCCATGTCAGTTTGACCTTGGAATGTGTGAGGGCGCCGGTGGTGAATTCATTGGGCTTATAGCCATCGGGTAGTCTTGTACACTCATCATGAATGTCCTGGTCAAATTCCGTCCCATCAGGTACAAATCTGAGGTCGAAAAAGTTGGCGCTTGTAAGGTACTCGCGTCCGTCCAGGTTGTCATAAATAGCCTTCGCGACGTTGGCAGACGAGCAGGTTATGATGGCATAGTAGTATCGAAGGCGGTCAAGTTGGTAGGTGCGCAGCGCAGTCGAGTCGAATTCCTCAGCCGTGTCGTCTCCTTGCAACTCTTGCTTAATCCTGTCCTCGTGTTCTGAATCCGAAGTGTTTGATTCGTCCAGTGCAGCAATGTTGTCCTTGTTTTTCTTCGCGGTGGATGCAAAAATCTCGCGAGGTGGCCCTTCGATTTCCTCCCGTTGCATACGTTCCATGCCGAACTCGCTGGGATAGATAGAAACGCTTACTATCCGCCCGTCCACTGGAACGAACGAGTTTGCAACTGCCATAATGTCGCTAGCTCTTATGTTGTCCCAGTCCATGTTCACGGCCGCCAGTCTCGCGGAGATGTCACCAGTGGGCACATCATGATTCCCCCCAGCAAGTTCAGTCTGTGCCTCAACCTCGTCTTCTCCTTCGTCGCTTGAACTTTCATCCGAGGAAGACTCCAGCCCTCCGTCTCGTATTGGATCGAATCCTTGCTTTTCTACCCGCTGTAGCTCCTTTAGCACTGCTCTGTCTCGTTTCTTCTCTGCTGGTCGCTCCAACCTTGGCTCGTCATCGTCTTCTAGGTCGTAGAGCTTTTCGAGAACCTTTTTCCCAGCGTCTCTGTCAATCTTTCGGCCATACTTGTCAACGGTAGCCTTGTTGTAAAAGTCTGGATCACTTCGTAGTCTTGAGAATCGCGTATCGAGTTTGGTCTTGGTGTGTTTCTTCGATGGCAGTCGGAATTTGGGGTCGGTCTCGAAATTTGAGAATCGAGAGTCGCCTGAGTGAGTGGCGCGTCAGCGTACAATCTCGAGCGTCAAGAGCTGGTGCATGAAACATTTTCATATGCACACTTGCGATGCCTGGAGTCGCCGACTATACTGTCTGTTCTTGCTTGTACTCTTGTTTTTGAGGGCACAACGACTTACCAGCAGCCGGCGCAGTTTTTCCGTTCTTTCCTGTTATCGTTTGACGTTTGGGCAGAGGCATCCTGACGATTAGTACTTGTTTGTTTGGTCGTGGGTCGTGTTGCGTCGCGAAATGTCAATGTGCGAGACTTTTCTGCCGGGCGGTGAGCTGCGGCGCTAACAGACTCTGATTGGCCACCTACCCGGAAGTCGCTATCACGGGCATCTTGATGACTACTTGCAACACCACGCTGGCTGCAACCATAGCTGCTATCAGAAAATTTGATGCGCTTTCACAGACCTATTGAACACGATTTTATATACCGTGGCTTGGTTAGTAAGATATATAGAGTATTGCTTTACTAGATGTGATCAAGTGTTGCAACTTCGATACAACGCCATGGTACCGTACTACCTACGGTAGGTACCGTATCTGCAGGGAGGCACATATCGGAAACCCTCATTACATGTGGCAAGACTCAGACGCATACGACATGTTTGCGAAATACTAAATTACATTACTTCTACAGAGAGTATGATTGATCTTTTGATCGAATTCTCTCATGTACCTACAATAAGAGAAAAACTTCATTATGTCGCATCAATTAGTCATTCGCTGAGGAGGAGGCTTTGCGTGTTGGACTAGCTAGATGATTTGTGACGCCTCGCTCATCGCGGTCCAATCGCTGAGCGATGGTAGTGTAATCGCCAATATTGTGAGCAAGCCGCTTGTGTGTGGTGGGATCAAGGCCGGGTTTAGATCTGACCAGCCCTCAGACTAAAGGGAAGTTGTGAAATTGTGAAATTCTATGCCTTGAGGCGCTGTGGAGTTTGCATCGTTGATGATGCGAGTTCCTGTTGTTATTGAGATGCTCGTTAAGACTACCCCCAACATATCAGGGATACCATTTTACTAGGGGGGCTGGGCACTATAATTTCGACCCGATATATATATAGTGGCAAAGAATTATAAGCATTCTGATTGCCTGCACCGTACTGGCCTTAGAATATTGCTACCTGTTTCGCTTGTTGTCTTACAAATAGATCAGAGAGTAATCGTGAATCTTCTGAATAAAATGAATGTTGTCGCTGCTGCCTCTGATCAAGCATCTTGTGGATGGGATTCTGAGAATCTTACTGGAACAACTTGACGGGCCAGCAGCACACATGATGATGATGATGATGATGATGATGATGATGATGATGATGATGATGATGATGATGATGATGACAGTACAGTTAGAGGTAGATGCACACTGCCTATATAGGTGCCAAAGAATTATAAATACTTACACGGTACAGCGTTTCATACAGCCGCCCGACTCCTACGGCCGTACTGTACCGTTGGAGTCGGACCAGTGCGCTCTTGAGAGGGCGTTGGCAAGGGTTGTAACATTTTAGGACATGCTTTGTTGATCGTCTTGTCCTTGTTTTGAATTGTCCAAAGATGGCCTCTTGGTTTGGGTGGGCAACGTGGGCAGGTACGAGAGGCTACCTACATGATAATGTATGATGTGTGGTATTAATGAACTTAAAGTCACGTGTGCTCTTTCGGATAAACATACTTCCGCGACAGGCCGCCTACCGAAACCATACAGTATGTAGCTGTGATGTCATGCCCGCCTCTCACTTCGTTCCAACTTCCAAGGCAGCTGGCAGCATTCAATTTCTCGCCTTCTACACAGTAACAGTAACCATCACCACTATACAAGCCTACAAGCTACATAGCATCTCTTTGCGACACCGGCTACTCCGCTCCCTCTGCTCATAACCGCCAGCATGCACAACTACCTCGTTTCCATCCTCCTCCAGCTCTCGCTGTTCATACTTGCGGAAGCGGCTCCCATGTCGGCTCAGTCAGCAAAGCCATGGCAAGCAGGCACCGGCGGTGGCATCGTCGGTTTCATCGTGCTAGTTCTTGATATCATCGCCTGGAGTAGGTTCAGCAGCAGCTTCCCTCTCGCCCTCTACACCCCCTCCACGCTCCCGAGGTCGCCACCTACTCAAAGGACATGCAGATGTCAGCTGACACGGTCTAACAGTTGAGATCTTCAAGTCCAACCGCCCAGTACCCAACAAGGTACTCTGGGCCCTCGTTGTTTTCCTCTTCCCAGTTGTCGGCATGATCATTTACTACCTCTTCTCCAATCGTCAAGCACACAACACCTACGAGCCCATCCAGGCTTAAATTGTGAAGCTGTAGGTTTAGGCGTCGTGAGCCGTGGCCTGCGACAGTTGTGCGCGGACCAGTTGTACATTGCAGAAACGTTGGCCTGCCTTCAATTTGGGCGGTCTCGCGCCATTCTAGGATGGCCCAGCCAATTCATACAGGAAAGCGGTGGCATGGGCAGTTTTCGAGTTCCTGGTGATGTTTGTCTGTTTGATCTCGTATTCCGTTTTCTTATGAGGACACGCTGATGGCCCCCTTAAATCTTACTACGCATCCGTGTCCGAGTTGTTACCTTGGCAATCATCCACAACATTTTGTCTATGGTGATAAGCGCTCAAAAATTCTTATCTTTACATGAGCTTTGTCTGTATTAGTCGTACACACAAGTGACACTCCAAAATCACCGTACTAATTTACCTAGCAGAGGAAATGCTTGGCTACTGATTCCCACAATTTGTCCTGTCCAGCATCCCTCAAGGTGTGAAGACTTGTTTTGGTCATCACAATGCAACCACCACCGATCAGGCACATGATTACTCTATTTGAAGAAGACATATCGGCATTCCCTCACATAAGTAAGCGAATAACATCTTTCAACTCCAGCGTTACAAAGCATCAGATCTGACGACCGCTTTTTTATTTTGCACCGCAATACTCGGCCGGAATAGGGATCCGCCTAGCAGTTGAATAGGTTGTGCGCTCTTTACCTTGGCTATGAGTCTGGGAGAGAGAGCTGACGAATTTTTTATAGCTCTTGTCGCGCTAAACCAAAAGTAGAAGACCAAAGGATATCTGGATTTTGATGCGCGTACCATTGTGTGGCAGCCGGTAGCCGTTCTTACACGGAAAACAGCTGGGTGAAGAGGTCGTCGATGAGTTGCCTGTTGCAGCACTGGCGGAGGGGGGCTGAGCAGGCAATCCCCGCAACATGACGTGGACTTCTCTTCTTGAACTCAGTTATTTCCCCACACCGATCCCGTCTCGTCTGTATCCTTGACATCAAGGCCACTGTTATTCAAACGCAGGAGGAAAAGGTTCAGAAGGATAAGAGTAAAGTTACGCGTGTGATGATGCCGTGTGCATCTATCCGTCGACAGTTTGCTGATCGGCAAACAACCAATATATATAAAACTGTGCGGCGATGCAATCTCCCAGCAACAACGACAAGGGTCATCGCAAAGGGCCAATTTCCACTCGATCACGCTGCATTGGAACGGAGAAGACGATCTTACGTCTTACAGCAAACTTGGTAGCGATGTGGTGCTTTCGTCTATCGGTCGGTACCTACCTTGTTAGATTAAGCCATGCATTATGGGCGAAAGTTGCACGAGCACTTGTCTCAAGGTTGAAACAATGGTCCGTCTTGTTTCAACCGAAATGCAGCAAGGCCGGGTACCTGTCGGTACTTTGGCTTGGCGCTCTTGGTCTTCCGTTTCATCTGCTACAGCCTGACTCGATTGAATGACGCAGTTGCAGCCTACTTCTTTTACGTTTGGTTCTGTTCCGGACTCCCCGATGCCAACTCACCGTCGCTAATGCAACCACACCCTTCGTTGTCAGAAAGGTTATGGGCGTTTGCGAACATTGCATGTCATGGAAGTGGGCACTGGACCATCAGAACTATGGGAAGCATCATCGGAGAATTAAACTTGACGGTTGGCTTGTCAGTCTCTATACGGAAAGTAGCACGGACTGGACATACAATGCCTACTACACCCCGGCTTGCTTTTTACGCTTGGCCTCATCAGAATACCCTCCCGATACTAGAGCAGGTAGGTAGGCCAAGTAGTCCTGATTCACTCCACTCTTCTGCAGAGGGAGCACAATCTTGTGTTCATGACAGTACGCAGTCATGTATCTGCATCTCATACTCCTGATTAATTCATGAGCTCCGCTTCTCAAGAAGGTTACACATGCTTAATATCGATTGAACAGCAGTCGGCCTTTGCAATCCTTTCTAATCTGCTTTCCCCACAAGATCTTCCTATTGGTGGTCTTTCCTCTCAAGTCACCGCCAAGTCTAATACCTGGGAGGACTACCAAACAATAGCGCCAAAATCCACATGACACGCGTGCTTTCGGAACATTTAGAAACTAACGAGGCGTCTGCTGGCACTAGTCGATGCCATCAACATCGGCTTCAACAATTTCCCGGTCATGCACCCCAGGTTGTGGACATTGCTTGTCCACGGGACCAATATGGAAGGAGGGCTTCTCAACATGCTTGGTGGAGGAACTTAGCTCAATCAGATGAATCAGAGAAGCCCTCTTTGATTGCGGAGGAACTCGCCAGCGGGAAGCCGAGAGGTTCCTGACTTGGTGTACCTCCTATTAAGGGCAGCCCAAATGACGATCATGAAATCGAACCCAGTCTAGAAAGTCTCAACAGCTGGGTATATAAGATCTCTAGTGTCGCCATCGAGAAAATCTTTTTTCAGCATCATTTCGAGAGAGCCACCCTTCAGTACTATCCTTCAACCAAGAGTCGATCTCTTCCCTTCTTTGCTTTCTCTTCGATATACCCCAGACATTGCTTGCAATCGCTCTCCAACAACGAACGACTAGCCACATATCAAGATGCACTTCCTCAATATTGCAACTGCGGCACTGACCGCTGCCTCCACAGCATACGGTGCCCCCCTTGAAAAGCGTGCTGCCAAGGTCGATGAACTCGTTGGTTTCGCTGCTGGCACAACCGGAGGTGGAAGCGGTGCTGGCACCACTGTCAGTTCTTGTGCCCAGCTTACTGAGGCGGCCAAGGCCGGAGGTGTGATCAAGATCAAGGGGACCCTCACTGGTTGTGGTATCGTCAAAATCGCTACCAGCAACACTTCCATATTGGGTGTTGGGAGCGACGCCGGATTGACCGACGGTGGATTCCAGATCCGCAAGGTCTCCAACGTCATCATCCGTAACTTGAAGTTGTTCCGCGCGCCTGCGGGTAAGGATCTGATTGACATCGATGAATCCACCAAGGTCTGGATTGATCACAACGACTTCTCCTCCGTTGGCATGACCGGCGACAAGGACACCTACGATGGTCTCCTGGATGCTAAGCATGGTGCTGATGAACTCACCTTTTCATGGAACAAGTTCCACGACCACGTAAGTCAGATCGAACTCCCCATCACCATGACCAATACTAACAAAGATCCAGTGGAAGGGTTCCCTCGTTGGCCACAGCGACAACAACGGTGCGAAGGACCGTGGCAAGCTTCGTGTCACCTACCACCACAACGACTTCGTCCGCGTGAACTCGCGTCTTCCATCCATCCGCTTCGGTACCGGTCATATCTACAGTTCTTGCTACAACGGTGGTATCTCTGGTGTCAACAGTCGCATGGGTGCTCAGGTTCTGGTCGAACAGACCTCTTTCACCGATGTTGACCGTGCCATTGTCACGAACCTTGACTCTGACGAGGAGGGCTTTGCAACGGAGTCCGGCAACCTGTTCACCAACAGTCCCACGCAGATCACCAAGAAGGGCTCCTACAAGGCTCCTTACACTTACACCACCGATCCTGCTGCAGATGTTTGTGCTATTGTTGCTAAGAGCGCTGGTGTCGGCGTCGTTACCTTCTAAGCGATTAGTTGGACACGTTGGTATGAGTCGTGAGAGCGACGAAAAGTGATGAAATCGCTTGGCTTACTTTTGTACATACAAATATCTTCTTTGGACATACTTACTTTGTATATACGCATCTATTCTTGAATTATACCTGCGTCTTCTACTGTTCCCACATGTGCGGTCTTAGTTTCAGTGTTTAATGGTGATGACTCCAGACATAATATGCAGCATGTTCACTTTGCCGTTCGGACAATGTTGAGCGGAGACGGGAAGCAAGGTTTAACGGAGTGGCTAACAAATTAGATTGGGGGTTGTGCATTTCAGCATCAAGCCTTGGCTGTGAGGTACTGTTGGACCAATCTTATTTCCCAGATAAGTATGGCTAGCGTTCGAGTCTAGGTATATCATTGTCCCCCATCTTGCTTTGGCATCTTTCTCCACTTGCACTGTTTCTTCATCTGTCGTCTTATTCGGGTATGATCCAAGTAGCACACAACACAGCGGCGACAAGGCCAACGACACTGATAACGATGGCCCCTGATTTGGTTTCAAATTTCATGCCGTCTGTCGTGAATTGTGCAACAATGCCCTGTGTGAAGTTCGCCTCTGCTTCCCTAAGCGCAATCTCTGTCCAGTTTCCGCAGACAGTGTTGAGTGTTTGATCGGCCGCGAGCGCGGGCAGCTTCTTTATTGCAGCGTCCATCATACGAGCATTAGAAATGGTCCCGACATTTGACTTCTGCAACAGGATGGTTCTGTAGGAACTGTTGGCACCGATGGTCGACATATTGGCTGTGCGTTCGTAATCAAGGCATAGGTCGGCCTGTGAAGGTGTAGCGGAGACTTGCCGGACTTCAAGTTTGGCAGCTGGGTAGTGGGTTTCGGGGGCTGCGGCTACAAATTGGAAGACCGAGAGCAAGACGAAGAGATTGGCGAAAGTTGATGTATACATGATGACTCGATGCCCTGTTATTCCACGACGAAAATAAAAGTATGAGAAGCGTTGAGGAAAGTGACCAGCACAATGAACGAATAGAATGATGAAAGACGAAAAGAAAGTTCGCAGACAAAGTGCTGCCTGAGGTGCCAAGAGTGATGGAGGATGAGGGACGCGGAACAGGCAACTTCAAGATGATATATGAGGCTACGAGAAAATGATCGATGAGTTCATACTTTGCTGCGACATGCATTGCCAGATGAGCGCACATATGAGGCTCTTGGTGTGTCAGGTCACATGCACGCATTAAGCGCCCCTAGTCGGCGCTTCCCCTGTCATCACCAAAATCAGGCCCGTAGTGTCTTGTCTACTGCCAAAACAAGTCCAATCAGTAGGAGAGCCGTGTGAACCATCCCTAGCTACATTTGTTAGCTACGATCAATGGCATGGCGGTGAGGAGATGAACCGTGGTGGGCGTCGTGGTTGGAGGGGCTGGAGGGGTTGGAGGAGACTGCGGTTCCAACGACTTCCGCCGCACCGACGGGACCCGCCAATGCACGGTACTCAGGCAAAACAGGTACGCCATACTTATGACTTCATTCCAGCCAAATAGTATCAAGTCTGAATCCAGATGGAGAAATGTACCGTACAGTAGTTCATAATAAAGAGGTGATGCTCCCAATGGTTCCCCCCGCCACCCCCCCCCCTGGATCACGCTGCATTGCTCCTTTTCCCTTTTTCAGAGAGAACATACCAACCACCATTCCGTCACTGTTGTCCTTTGACAACCCTCCTTCCCCATGACGAGATTGAGAAAGATTGCGCACTGTGTGGGCTTTCCTTGCAGGCTTTCAGGAAGGCATCAAACGATTCTTCCTAGGCAGCATCTATGCAAAGATCGTGGCCCCTGCTGACAAGGGCAATACAAGGCCGCCCAGAAGTCGAAACAGCCTCCTGGATTGTGACCAACGCCTGCTACTGTTAGTAGGTATCGCATGTTGCGCTAATCTTCCATAAGCACATGAGCAGTTAGTGATCAAGTCTCCGAAGTCATGTTCAGGATAGCGACCATCGCATCGATCCACAGGAGATAAGAGCCAGTACTATTGGGAAGTAGTTCGTGCATGAAATTGATGCTAAAAGCAGACGGAATGCTGCACTTGGAAGGCTGTGGAAACCGCATTTGCAATAGGATTCAAATGATTTCCATTTGATAAAAACATATGACAAGCATACCTCAGTCAGACTTCTTGAAGGACTGCGGTTTGCATTGTGAAGGAAGATCAAAGTAATGAAAGCTTATTGCTTTCCCATCACATGACGGTCTGAGATGGCATGAAGTGATCACTTTAGTGTGATTGTATTGACTGGCATTCCATATACACAAGATGAACAATTGAGAAAGAACCGGTACTAGTTCTCTCGCAACCAAACATACTGTTCAGGTTTCAGTCAGAACTGTCTTCCGAGGTTTATTAAGAATTGCACCTATGATACATGATCATCTAGGCCATACGAATTTGTAATGTCAGTCTCCGCTCATATATTCGTCTGCGACGACGAAGTCCAAGACAGACATTCAGCATTAATCCCGTTAGGTCAAGCAATTGCGAAGACCCATCAGAAGGTAGGCGGTATCACAAGGCAGCGTTCGCCGTGTAGAGGTTCTAGAGGGCTTCAAATCTATCATTACGAAAAGCAAATTCTTCTACCGATTCAGAAGGAGGATGACGAGAGTCTTATGGCAAGACGAACTCGAGGTACTGTCACTATAGCGGGTATGGTCATGGAAGTGTTAGATCATAATCGTTCCAAACATCACTTCCATTGGTTGATGTTGGCTGTTCCACCGTTCATCTCTCATTCCACTAAATCCCGGCTTTATAATGCCAGAGCAACTCAAACACTTCCCGTGAGTTTTTTCTCATCATCATGAACCCCACTGCTCTCGGTAACATATTACCACGCCTCCACACTACCCATACTTTCATACTCGAGCTGGCTTTTCACGCAAGGACTTTCCTCGTGTATTAATCTATCTCTGAAACTTCTCAATGTACTGGAGTCCCTCGCATCTTCGATTTGCACGCGCTTCTCTCATCTAATACATCGTGGATGTACACACTTCTTTCTGGCCATCAACATGGCCTTCATGGGCACGACTTGTATGCTAATCTGTACATACTGTCGACAACTGCGGTATACGCCAATTTGAGGTGTGCAGATTGCGCGGGATACCACCAGCATCGGATCCTGCGTTGGGACCAGGTGCGCAGAAGGCATAAAGTAGTCATGTGCCACCGAAAGGGTATCCCCGCGATAGTACAATTTTCGCAGTCGCTGCGGTCATCAGGAGGGCTACGATAAGGCGTTGGAGACTCTCTGGCAGGGTCGAGACCTTTCCAGGGAGAGACGACGAAACGACCTAGCTGAAGATTGGAACAACCGGGACATATATCCCATTTTTTGCGTCCGAGTTCCATGAGCAGGCTGGGAAACGCCGTGAGTACCAAGAGACTCTAGTTGTGAAATGTCAAGTCACCTGGTAGAACCACAGGATTGACCTTTGCCCTCTTATAGCGTGCGTGTATCTTAGTTGTGTGACTGTACCTGAACCTCCGAAACACCAGAATTGTTCTTTTTTGGGTCGAATCCATCCAAATAGTATGGTTTCTGTTCGCTAGTTCCAACATGCGTGAGGCCTTGGGTACTCGTACTACTTTTGAGTGAATTTGATCTGTCCATCTCGAAGTTGTCGCCGCCGTTGTCTACAAGTCGCTGATGGTGTGTTACGCGGACCTCGTTCGTGACGAAAATTTGGCCAAATGAAGCAATGACCGTGGGCCAGAAAATGGGCATGGAGGCGCACATGATAGCAAAATCCACCTCGAGACACGAGATGATGAGGACTTGGGGATACCACCAAGTGAAGTCGAAGCCTTGTTCCGTATCCCTGCTGTGTTTGAAAGTGGTCCAAAGGCGAAGAATGGACATCAGTACAACACTGGAGGGGTTAACCACTAGACGGAGCCCGGAAGCGTCTGGAGTCACTTACATTGAGCCAAGACAGAACAGTCCAGTCATAGCAAATAGTTGCTTTTTTCCTATATTCCGCTTGAAGTACTCCGAAAGCGGAATAAGGAAAATGGCAACATCGAGAACCATGTTGGAAATGGAAAAAGCTTTGCACGTGTCAACTTCAGCAAAAGCCAGGGCAGCGAGGTGTGAACTTACAGAGAACTGCAATCTTAGCCTCATCCATGTTGTCATATCCGAAGCCATAGCATTTAGGTGGTGGGTCAGTTTGTCTGTTCCAGAATCCAGAGATCGGAAAGCATGGTACCCAAGTCATGAAAGCGAAGGCCGAGCCCCATACGATGACAATGCCAAGTAGGACGAGGCAGACGTGGCGGCGCAGACCGTCGCGGAAAATTCTCAAGTATTGGAGAAGCAGTGAGATTTTGATGAAGGCTGTGGTAGTGTGGTAGGCGGCATTGGTCACATATAGCCACTGCATCGTCTGCTGGATCAGATTGAGGTTGTAAATCAAATGGCGTCCGAGACCATATCTTGTGCCTTTGCCAGTGTTAGTGTGCAATGCTGTCTAGAGGTGAAACGGGCTGAGGTACCTCCGAGAAAAGCAATCACTGATACAAGGTTAAACAAGGCTGCAAGGACGACAAAGACATCGTCCCAACCTGGTTCACGGACAACACGAAAACGTGTATGAAGCCGGAAACCCACGAAAAGCCAGCTCACAACCTGTTCAAGTCAGATCTAAGCATACGGGCGATTACTTCCTCGGGCTGAACCTACATGGAAGGATATTGTGACGCCAAACATTGTGCTCTTATGATTCGCAAGCGGTAAAGGCGCATTTCGATCAGGGGGATGTGCCATCATGGTCGCGACAATATTGGCAAAATGCTCCGTCATGGTGACAATCAGGCCTTTTACAGTCAACCGGGTGTGTGTAAGAGATGGCAAATGTCGAAGAAGTGGAGAAAGCTTGGTAAAAGAGTGTAAATCCTCACGGGCGGCAGTAGTGGTCGCTGTTGTACTATCCGCAAGCTACAGAGTTTCCCACAGAGCTGAACCTTGCAGTCAGCCCTGATCGGCGCGCTTTGGTCTTTGTCCTCAAGCCGCAAAGCCACATGGAAATACGGACAGTCTGACTCGTGAATCTCGCGTGCCCAGTAAGGTTCTCTCCCTAGGTGGTGCTCCTCGGCGGTTCTCTCGAAAGTGTGCACCGACCTATGTATGTACACAGTAGGACACAAGGCAACTTCATTGTGACAGGTCGATCATTGGACCGGCAACGGCTGCAAATCCTCTAGAGGATATAAATGGATATGACATGACACCTAGTTTAGCGATGCCGTCGATGTGCAAGATGAACTCGTAGTAGCATCATCGGGTGGTTGTCCTTGGGGATTCCAGGCAGTACCGGTAAGTACCGCTCAATTCACAGGTGTGGCCAGCAGCAATTTCCAGCAAAAATGACTGCGGACTCGGGCGAACACAGTAAGCAGGATTAAGGCCGTCTGTAGTTTCATAAGAAGCACGGGAATGCCGGCATGGTGGTTGTTGAGGCTCGAAAGATCTTCGGGCCTGGGTCGAGACTGCAAGGTGTTCCTTGCGCTGCTCGTGTCTAGGCAGGGCAGGCCGGGGTTCTCAAAGCATAAAAGACGAACCACCGTGGTGCCCTGTGCCCAAGCTTGTTTCTCGGAGCGTCACGCTGAGAACATACAATACTTACTCTGTATCTCGATTGAGAAAAGGCGGGAAGCATCAAGTTTAGGTAAGGCAGTGCAAAGCTTCGGCCATTGGAAGACGATGAGAGAGAGGTCCCAGGTGGTCGTCACATGAGAGAGAACATGTTTGCCCAGAACGCGACGCTCCATGATCCTCTCTGTGCACACCTTGTCCTAACTATACCGTACTGTGCACGGAGTAGGGTCTAGGCAGCATAGTAAGCTTCTGGCGCCGCCCGCGGTAAAATAGTACATGAAATAAGCAGGGCACTACCACATGTGGCATGCAGATCACCATCACGCAAGATCTGTTCGCGGTCACCCTTGTGTAGTCCGCGCCGATTTCATACCACTTCTTCTTCTATGTAGCAGCTGCACCGTAGTGCGGCAGACCCTTCCCATGTCCGAGCAAGTCTCCATGGGCTACGGTATGACTATCCCCATTTCTCGATAGGCGAATCAACGGCAATCATATCAGACATGGCTCCCAAATTTTGGCGGTCTGACGCAGAGGCAACGAAGGCAGCCATGGCGTGATTACATCAGGCCTTCACGTGCAGTTTGCGAAGCTGATTGCTCGAGACGCTATCAGAAGTCGATGGAAATACATGACCAGGGGATGGCTGCGGTCGGTTCAATTCTGTAGCCGGTGACGGCCGTGGAGATGAAGGAATGGACCGTTTTTGCACATCTGTCGGCCGTTGTGACGGCGAACTGGGCGACAGATCCTCATAGGACTCGTCGGCTTCCTTTTCGAGGTCATCGAGGTCCTGCTCCAGGTCCCGCAAAGCTTCATCGGCGGTCTTGCCTCGCCTTTGATGTGTCCTGAGTACGCCACCCCATAGTGTCTCCAGATCTGTCTCAACCCTCTTCTCCTCGGTGAACATTTGCACCACAATATTGACACCCGGCCTAACGTCCCTGAAGCCAATGAAGTGTGAGACATCGTCACCCGGCATCTTTGAATCTTCTGGGTGCGCTTCAATCTTTCCCAGCGTGCAGCAAATCCATCCTGTGCGGATGCCATCGTCGATGTTGCCCTCAGGCGTTGCTCCCCCAACGTTGGCCAGCATCCTCATGCGCTTGGCTTTTCGTCTCAGCTTAATCTTGAGCTCGTTGCGACCCAAGAGACCAGCTGCATTCGCTTCCAAGCCATGGTCTCTTCGTAAAAATCGACAGAATCTGTCGGCAGCCACATGGAGGTGTTTTTCTGAGCGTGCAGTGCCGATAATCATGATCAGTTTTGGCCCCAATGCAGGTGGAGGGTCTAGATGTCGCAAATCAAGTAGTGATAGGTCATCGAGGCCCGCCGTAACTGATATATATTTAAGGAGGGTCTCGAGCAGCGGTGGTGGGTTGGCTGGAAGATCGGGGATCTGGGCAGGCTGTATAGGCGATGGCACAGACACTTGAGTTCGCAAATACCATGGAATAGAAGTGGCTTGCGGCACAGCAGTAGGCGATGTCGTCTGTTGTGAGGGTTCCAAGGGCTTTGGTCCATGATTTGGTGTTGTAGCCTTGACTTGGTTGTCTAAGGATGCAATATGGGAGGCGTCGACTGGGGGATCATGCTGCTGATCGGTCCACTTTGCTACAATGGTGCTGAATCCGCTTCTTGATAGTCTGGATGATGTTGTTGACAAATTGATGGAGCCATGTGCCAACAGCGCATTCGGTTTGGCACTTTGGGCAGCAGCCCGACGACAAGCATGACAGATGAATCTGGAAGAAGCTACACGCGAGAGCGAGAGAGACATTTTGGCAGCCTGGATTGGGGAGAGTACTGGGTACTAGTGTGTTAGCAACACTCTATACTGGTCGCTTGGTCGCTTGGTCGCAATCTCGTGCTGATGATGTCGTTCATCCTCATCGCCAGTTCGCAACTTTTGTGCACAAATCCATGTCGGCGGATTGAAATGCCGACCGGCCTGGAGACTTGCCTCATTGGGCATGGGATGCACGCGCCACTGCACGTGGTGATAAGACAGATAAGAAGGTGGCGCAAAAGTCCCATGACTGCATGAGAAAAATATTGGGTGGGCTGGAGGGGAGTGAATTTCCAAAGCAGACAGTTTGCCTCCATTCTCGACTCCAACGGTGGGGAATCGACAAACAGTAGGAACAACAACGAATAACGAAGCAGAAGGAAGCAGGAAGAAGAAAGGAAGAAAAGAGAAGGATTGGATAAGACTACACTACACCACTCACCCCTCTCCTTTCATCCTACACAGTGCATGGGAGGGAGAGCCATTTACCAGTGCACACCACCAGATCCAAACAGCATAACATCTCCTTTCCGCTCTTAACAAGACTCTGTTGGGAACAAGACGCTGCGCAATAGCCATGGAGGTGGACAGCGGGATTGCCTTTACCGCAGCGCCCAAGAATGCCGCGACGATTCTCTGCGCCGACTGCGGTGCGGCCGTCGACGGCACGCTAAACGGAGCCTTTTGCTACGATTGCATCAAGCTGAAGACGGACGTCACCGGTGGCATCCAGCGTGAGGCCATTCTCCTCATGTGTCGTGACTGCGATCGATGGCTTTCACCCCCGACCAGCTGGGTCGTCGCTCATCCCGAATCACGAGAGCTGTTGGCGCTCTGCCTCAAGAAACTACGAGGACTGAACAAGCTGCGCATCATCGACGCCAGCTTCATCTGGACAGAGCCCCACAGCAGGAGGATCAAGGTTAAGATCACGGTCCAGAGCGAACTCAACGAGGGCGCCATCATGCAGCAGACGTTCGAGGTCGAATACACGCAAAATTACCAGCAGTGCCCCGACTGCGCCAAGAGTTATACACACAACACATGGAGAGCCTGCGTCCAAGTACGACAAAAGGTGCCGCACAAGAGGACTTTTTTGTACCTCGAGCAATTGATTTTGAAGCATGCGGCGCACAAGGACACCATCAACATCAAGGAAGTTCATGACGGAATCGACTTCTTCTTCGCACAGCGAAATCATGCCGTTGCGTTTTGTGACTTCCTCAAGGCCGTCATCCCCGTCAACGTCAAGCGATCAGAGGAGCTCATCTCACACGACATCCATACCTCGACCAAGAACTACAAGTTTTCCTTCTCGTGCGACATTGTGCCCATCTGCAAAGACGATCTTGTAGTCCTGCCCATCCCGCTCGCCAAGAAGATTGGCAACATCGCTCCTCTTACACTTTGCACTCGTATTGGCACATCGATACAGTTGCTTGACCCTGCTACCCTCCAGACTGCCGATGTTGCGACCGACGTCTACTGGCGGACACCCTTCCGGCCTCTAGCCGACGTACAAGAACTGACAGAGTTCATCGTTTTGGACATCGACCCACTAGGCAAGCAAGTAGGAAAGCATTTTCTCGCCGAAGCCACTGTAGCCCGCGCTTCCGACATGGGCCTCAACGACACCACCTACTACTGTCGCACCCACTTGGGCGGAATCCTCCATGTCGGCGACTCGGTCATGGGATACCTACTTAGCAACACCAACTTCAACAGCGAACTGTTTGACGTGCTGGAATCGAATAACAAGTATGCTTCGCAGATACCCGACGTCATGCTCGTCAAGAAGTTCTACCAGCGATCCAAGAAGAACAAGAACAAGCGTAACTGGCGGGTGAAGCGGATGAACAAGGAAGAGGGCGAGATGTTGCCGCGTAAACAAGACCAGGCCAGAATGGAGAAGGACTTTGAGATGTTCCTGCAGGACGTGGAAGAGGACGAGGAGCTGCGTGCGACCATGGCCCTGTACAAGGCACAGCAGGAGCAGAAGCAGAGGGAGAGGGATGTGGATGCTATGGATACGGAGAGTACAATGGGGGATGACGAGGACGATGATGGCTTGGCCATTCCGATGGAACAGTTACTGGACGACTTTGAAGATATGAGGATGCAGGAGTGAGGTTGTGGCAGGGGCGATGTGGACGTGCATTGGGGTGGAGAGCTGTCTTGTGTTTGCTGCATCGAAAGAGGCGTTTGTTTGTGGAGGGAGGCTTGGTCTGTATTAGAGGTACAACGAGTGCACACCTCTTAGTTTTCTGTCCACTCGCTTCCTAGAACGCCATTGGAGACATGCTGTATTTGCAGACGCATCGTGCTTGCCCCGACTTTTTACTCGTTGACCTTCTGGCCGAGTGGGGGGGATGTCCGTTTTTCTTCTTTCTAGATTCCATCAGACGGGCACAATGGACAAGATTCACAGACTCGATGTAGTGAGTGAGAGGGGCCATTCGGCCATTGCTGGGCGTGCAGCGGAATCGGTTCCGCTGGTGCGGGTGTGATGGGATGGGCACTCGAGGTCAGTGAGTGCAATAGGGGGTGTCAGGACTGGGCGTGTGCTTGTGTAGAGTACCCTACTCTAGTACCATGGAGATGGAGTCATGTAGTATTGTCCTGTCCTGTACCTACACCTACACGGGACATGGCGGTAGTACTGCATGTCTACTGCCATTGTAGGTACCGTGCCTGCACTACACCTGTATTCTTCCACCAGAAAGAGAAACGGGCTGTCGAGGCACTGCGGTTAACGCCCCGCCGGCCCATCCATGGCACATTGCCTCCATGCATGCATGGATTCCTCGGTCTTGGCATAGAGCTTAGCCAATCCTTGTGGACAGGAGTGGTTGGGCGTTGCAAGGCTGCAAGAGCCGGGTGCACAGGGTGTTTGGGTGTTTGGCCATCCAGGTGCATGGCCAGAGGTGGTGGATGGCAGAAGACTGGCATTGTGCTCGAGGGTACTACTCTAGGTATAGAGTAGAGTACTAGAGTGGCAAGTGTGGAGGGGAGAGAGGGGAGACTGGGAGCCGTGTTGACTGACAAGCCCCCCTCCTCTCCGCGGCCCCGGAGCAAAGCAGGCGGCGGTTGGGCTGCCATGGGATTTTTGCTTGGGGGAGGTGCCCGGCGGAATGGACGCGACCCCACGCCCCCCGGCCCCTTCCCAACAAACGGCCAAACGGCCAACCAACAGGGAAGAGGGGCCAGGGATAGTATGTCCCTCTACTAGCACTCCTCCCAAATGTGTCCTCTGGATGGTACTACTACTACTACTCTACTACTACCCAAGTACTCTACTCTAGTCTCGTAGTCTCTGGGCACGAACAGGACTCTCTCTAGAGTAGTAGAGTAGAGTATAGAGTAGTAGGCACTCTAGACTCTGCATGTGGACATGGCCCATGTCCCTGTGTATCCATGTGCTGTTGTTCCTTACTGCGGGGGGCTACCTGGGTAGAAAGCAGAAGCAGCAGATAGTAGGTAGTACTACTCTACTGCCTGTCGTCGGATAGCCGTACGACTTGCTGTACTCTGGTACTGAGCGGTATGGTATGGTCCTGGAGGAAAGATGGGCACCTCCTCCCTGTAAGGTGCCTACACTGTAGTACCACCACCCTATCTGCAGAAGTAGTACCATCCAAACCCTTCCCCCCTTTGTCCGCCTGTCCTCCATCCCCGCCGCCCGCCGTCCCCCTGTTTTTCCTGGTTGATTTCCCAAATGGCCACGGAGAGAGGTACTAGGAGTAGAGTACTACCTATCTAGTAGGAGAAGGGGGCGGCGAGTGAGGGTATTTGGCCGCACTCAGCCGGCATGCATGGCGGCGGATGATGCTCGTTTGCCATGGTCTTGCAGGGGCTCGCCAGCCAACGGGCCATGAAGCCAGCCGGGTCAGCATGGTTACAATGCTCTCTCCAGCTCCCTGTACCGGCTGTGCAATCTACCTATCATCATCCATCATCCATCATCCATCATCCACCATCCACCATCCATCATCCACCATCCACCATCCATCATCCATCATCCATCATCCATCATCACGGTCCTGTTCAAGTCGTCCGCGGGTGTGCATGTGCATGTGCATGTGCATGTGCTGGCTCACACCAACGAGAGTGGCCACCCAGCCCACAGCTAGCCAACAGCCTATACCCGGATTGGGGAGACCCGCCTGGTCGTCATCAACGGGCCGCCCTTTGTCTGCTCTGCACTTTCCCAACTCTCTGCCAGTGAGGACTACAGAGTACCTACCTACCGGCATCGGGTACTTGTATACAACACGTGTATATATATAGGTACACACATCTATACTGCTCTATCCATGTACATTTCCTCCTCCTCCACCCTACCCTACCTGTACCGTAGTGCCCACCTACGTGACTCGCCCATCCGCCCATCCGCCACCACACGCCTTGCCCGTCCCTGAGCCATCATCACCGCTCCGCCCATTGCGAGTCGACGGGACCGTCAAGATCGAAACAAGAAAAGGAAAACCAAAAGCAAAACAAAACGAAACAAAAGAGTACAAACAGACTAACAAACAAAACAAACAAAACAAAAAACAACAAACAAAGTCGTCCACACTTTGCCCGTCCTCGCTCCTCTCGGCTGGTACAGACTTGTGCTGTCGCGTCATCGCCATTCCCAATAGCCATCATGTCGACCCCGGGCGAGTCGGGAGCCCGACAGGATTCGTTCGACGCTCGCCGCATGAGCCTGGGCAAATACGTCAAGAGGATGAGCAGTGTGTTCAAGAGAGAAAAGTCGGGCAAGAGTCTCGTTGCCCCCGCTCGCCCAAGCCCCGTCCCAGCAGGAACAGCGCCTTCCTCGGCTGCACAGGCGACTGACCCAGCTCCGCGCAAAGAGGAAGTCGCACCCACCGCGTACGTCTCCCGGAACATGACCAACCTACCAACCAACATAGCAACATGCAGACGTCCATCCTTTTGGTGACAGAACCCTTCTTGGCTGACGTTGTATACAGGGCCCTTGCTTCTCCCCCCACCGCCATCTCTCCTTCTTCTCCCCCTCCTCCTCCCCCTCCTCCTTCAGCCATGATCAAGCAGCTCGACCGCAATGTCATGCAGCAAGAGCGAGCCCGCGCCCTCTTCGCCAAATATGGCCTCACGCTCGACGCCCATGACTGGATCGTGCCCTCGGCCCCTTGTTCGACCGTTCAGCGGGTGGAAAAGGCGATTCGGCTGCGAGTCCACCGTAGCTGCCACCGCTGCGGAACCATGTACGGGGCCGACAAGACGTGCCGGCAGTGTGAGCATAAGCGTTGCAAAAAGTGCCCACGCTATCCCAAGAAGAAGACGACGACGACGACGACGACGACGAACACGACAGCCATGGCCGACAAGGACAAGGACAAGGAAAAGGGAGGGGACAAGGAGGTTGCCGACAAGATCAAACGACGCAAGGTGCTCACCATCACCACGCGCGCCGGTACCGAGCTGGCCTACCAGCCGCCCAGGCAGCGCGTCAGACGTACCTGTCACAAGTGCGAAGCCCTCTTTTCGCCCTCGACGGCTACCGTCTGCGAGGCTTGCAAACACGTCCGATGCACCCAATGCCCCCGCGAACCGGCCAAACTCTCCAAATGGCCGGCTGGCTACCCGGGCGATGCAGAGCCGGACAGTGACTCGGAGGCGGAAAAGCAACTCGACAGGTTCAGACGAACATGGCGGAAGCCGCGGACACGAGTGCGATGGCAGTGCGAACAGTGCTACACCCTCTTCCTCAACCATTCCCCCCAGTGTCCTGGCTGTGGCCATGAGCGCTGCGAACACTGTACAAGGTCACCGTGAGTATACAATCATAGCCTTCTCTTCCTCCTCGTCCAATCCACACATTACTGACAAGCACCTCAGCAGCAAGAAGAGTAAGAATGAAGAGCATTTTGACCCCCACATCGTCGCCGCTGTCGAGGCAAAGCTCAGAGCTCTCACGGTGGACGACTCACAAACCTCTGGAAACGAAGCTGTCTAGGTAGTGTCGGCCAGCTTCAACTGTATCCCATGTTGGTTTCCTCTTCTCTACTTTCGCCCTTCTTCCCCTACCATTACGATTGATATCGACGTAGTTAGTGGGCCAACAGCAGCGGAAACGGTGAGTGGCACCGAGTTGGCTGCAGATATCATGACATGTCCCTACTCTCCCTGCTATACAACCATGCTTGTGACACACCCCTACTCTCCCTCTTCCCCGCCATATAGTACGCCATGCTTATGATGCACCAACTCTCACTTGCTCATTGGAAACAAGTGCTGGCCGCATTCCACCGCTTCCCATTTTTCCCTTTCGCCCCCTCTTCTGTGTGCAGTGCGATCCGTCATCACCGTACAACACCAAGGCTACACCCGAACTAGGCTTGACCAGTCACTGGTAACCATGCCATGCACATCCATTGCACAACTCCACCTTCAAGCCGTTTCTGATCCCTGTGTTGGGAATCGCAGTCGCTTGCCTTGCACAGAGCATGTTGACATCCCGATGCCGCGGACCCGGCAAAAAGCTTTCTTGTCCCTCTGCCCTCGCCACCGACCACAGATCCTGGTCCCTCACTAACCTTCTGGCTGCCCACGGCCATGTCCAGAGCGCTGCCGAGTTCGGAGACCGTTACAGAGGAGCGCCCGCTTCACGCGTGTCGTGTTTGCACTCGTGCTCACGGCTCTTCACCAGCGTGTCGTGTTTGCACTCGTGCTCACGGCTCTTCACCAGCGTCAGCGCAGACCTACTCCACTCGTACGATGCTTGTCTGGTTGTACGAAGCGGCGTCCTTTGGCGTGCCAAGTGGGGGGGGACTGCAGGCTGTACAGGTGGCACGCGAAAATTGTGGCACGACGGATGTCAGGTCGCAGTGCTGGGAAACGCAAGGCTGCCTGCCATGCCGACCCGTTGATCCATTGAACTTATGGGGACCGATGGGCTCGAAAGGGACAATTTGGCTGCATCGTGTGCAAACCTTGAGCTATTGACTTGAAAACAAAAACACCCCCCCGCACGGTGATATCCTCTCATTCAGTGATGAGCCAAGTCCATCTCTGTCCGCAAGTCTTCCCACTGGATTGGCTCTCCAAAGCCTGGTAACGTTCAAGCGTCCCCCATCTCAGAGCTTGTCACATTCAGTACGCGCTTTCCTTCCAACCTATATTCATCGAGTTTCTCCAGTGCAACTCGTCTCTGGTCTATAGTGGCCTCCAAAGCTCCCTCTACGGAGCAATCCAGGCGGCCACTCATTCACTCACCGCTATAAGCGCCATTGGTGTTACAACATACATACCTTGGGGGGGAAAAGCAATGGGTTCCACCTGTGCCTGCTCGGGACTTGGGCCTATTCCCGATGGCGATACGAAGAGGATGAGATGGGAGTTGCTAGGTAACTGGAAGGTGGATTCAAAGCCGAGATGCTGCATGTGCATCTGGCTCCTGCTATTAACAGGGTGGCCTTGACGTGCTGAATAGAGTGGGGTTTTTTTTTTTCGATAACATGTCATCAATATCAACGACACTCATTGTCCTGCTACCTTTGCTTTCTCTGAAGAGCCCTCCAATGTGAAACCTAAAATATCGAATAGGTTGCACAACCAACTCTGCAAGCCATCTACCGGTCAATGCAGATGCACCTCGATCAGATTCTTGATCAACACCTCTTCAGCTTCTCCGTCCATGAATCCATGGACGTAGCTACCTCCTACGAGCATGTGTCCGGATGCATACTGCGGACTTGAGCTAGCTGACCGATCCACCAAGCCTGTCGGCCGCAATACAAAAGGCACAGAGCCACCGGCCAAAATCCAAACCTCATCACCTGGCATGATGTCAGTTGGTCCGATACCCATGTATCCCTCACGGGTCAAAAAGAAGGCATGGTTCATCAGCATGCAACGAAGCGAATACACAACCTCCGTGTCCATGTCCTCGTCCTCTAGAAACCTGGCCACCAATTGCACGTCCTCATCAGTCGCTCGCCGTTGCGGAGTCTCATCTGTAACCAAATCTCCAATGGCGGTCCTCCAAAAGGCTTCCTGATACGAAATTTCGTCGTCTGGATACGTCCTGTCCACCGACTCAGTGCTCAAGTAGACGCCTAAGAGAGCCTTCGAGCCAGACAACTGGGCCAAGAGCTCCTCATACTCTGTGTTATCCACGTTTTCGCAGATTCTCGCTTCGCCTACGCCTTCCACCACGCCAACCCTCACTCCTTGGAGTGACAGCACTGTCCCGTTACAACGCATCCTCTCCTCGGCCCACTCGACCTCACCAGACGCGTTGAACCAGTCATATCTAAAGGAGGGATCCCACCATGCATATCCATCATTGACAAGGTCACATCGTCTAAAATCAATCGCCCAACTTGGCAAATCCGAGCTTCTCTGCATCTTCAAACCAACAAGACACTCTAGCCCTTCAACCCACTCAATCAAATCCAGCGTAACATTTGCATACAGCGTGGCAACATCAATGGTATAATCACAATTCGTGATACTCGGTATCGGATACTCTGGATCCAATAGCCCTCCCAAGGCGTACACCTTGTCCCTCGGGTCAAGCGCATCGCGATACCGCCACCTGTGCAAAGTCTCCAACGGCGTTTCTCCTTCCTTGGTCAAATCGAGACCTAGCACCACGGGCTTGAAGCTCGCCATGTCAAACGAGTGGATTGGTGGCGGCCATTCAAACCATCCGGCCCGTGAGGCGGTCACAATGGTGGACCAGGGGATGTTGAGGGGGCCCCAGTGCAAGAGCAAGGTTGGGGGGAGCACGGCCTCTTGAACCGTCCATATCCGATTCCACCACGGGTTGCTCATGAAGACGTGGAAAGCGTGCTGGGTGGCGTCGATGAGGGACCGAGTGGCGATGCTTGGGGGTATGTAGATGGGTGGTGGCGTTGGCTGAGAGAAGGCAGAGGATGACGAGGAGCGTGACGAGGAGCGAGATGAGGAAGGCGAGGGTGTACGCGAGTTTGTACGCGAGATGGTGAGCCAGCTTGAAGAGGATGATGGGGACGATGATGTAGGCGGCGACGAGCATGAGGAGGAAGGTGATGACGAGGGCGACGTGTAATTCTCTGCCAGCAAGGTGATGATGTCGAACACCCCCTGCGCACTTTGTACAGATAGGCAAGCGGGAATCTCACCAAACCAAATCAAACATTGCGTGCAATTCTTGTAAATCTTGGTCATGAGATTGACCTGATGATTCTTCTCGGCCATGTTCTCTTGGTCAATGCATAGCTGATCTATCCACAACGTCCTCGATGTCGTTGGATGACGCAGTCTGACGAGGGCATCATAAAGACCTTGCGTCACAGCCATGTCCTTGCGCTGGGTCATGTAGATGGTCTTGCATTTGGGCCCATAGCCCCACACATAGGACAGCGTCTCATAGGCTTCTGGCGAGTGCAGGGAGCAGGTGCGAAGTGTGCATGTTATAGAATCGCCCTGGCCGGCATGGACATCAAGCACGCGAATCAAATCCTTTGGTTCTCCTGGAGTCTGGACGGAGAGGTCATCGTCCCCGATCTTGTCCAGGGGATTGTGCGAAGCCTGGGGACCGGCTAGATCTTCAGATGAAGTTACGAGCGCAGACAAGACCGGGCGATGGGGTACCTCTTGCGCTGACATTGGAGGCGAATGCCTTGACGAGACAATCCTATGAGCATTCCTTTGGCGTACAATGTGAACAAGTCTTCTTCCATGATCAGTCAGACTAGTACCGGTATGTGTGGTAGCCAAGCCTGTGAGAACTGTTGGTGGCTTGCTCTGACTACCTATAGCGCCGGGCGCCTTCCACCTAACTTACTGTATCTACCGTAAACATCTCCACCCAATCATGGCGCAGTCGGCAACGGTCCACCCAGGGTAGAGCAGCACCTGTGTCCAGCTCCATTCACTACCACATACAACCAAAGGCCATAGGATAGGAACAAAGTACGCTTCATTACAAGAAATCTCCGCCTTGACTAGCTGACCATGATTAGAGCAAGGCTGCACGCCTAGTGTCAACCTCACTCGGCCTTGAAATGGCACTGGCCCTGCCTTCCTTCAAGACACAACTCCTCTCAACGCTGCGTCTTTCTGCTGTCCCATGTATATTGTAAATTGTTTCACACATGCATCTATTTCATGGCCAATTCAATCAGCTGCATGTCTTCAACTGGCATCAAACTCGCCCAACTCTTTTTGGGGATAGCAACTTCGAGATCAATACAAGTATCGTGACACCGTTTAGCCACGTACAGAGAATATGTATATGGTCACGAAGCACTTCTTCTCAAGACAGAAATTTAGAGGGAAAGTCGGTTCATCTATCGTATACCAAGCCGTCAAGTTGTAGGCAAACTATGCATGAGCTCAGAAGTTCATCAAATCTGCAACATGATTAGTTTTGTGGAAGTCGAGAGAGTTGAGGATTTGACTTACCTCTGCCAAAAAGCGCCCGCTTGGTCCAGTCCATGGCCAAAAGACACCTCGTCCTGAAACTCACACTCTGCGCAAAGTATACACCCCTCCATAGATACACGGCCAAGAGGCCCCCACTCAACCCATATCCATTGTAATCAAAAATTGCGGCATTGCCGATATATGCCAGCGACCCAAGATGTTTATATTCAAACGTCTTGTACACGGCATCATCTAGATCCCCATAATCCACATCGTTCAGAGCCATGCCGGGCGCGGCCTGTGCCATCTTATTGAATTTTCGAGCAAGGTAGACGCCTTGTTGGTTCGCGCGCTGGGCGGTCGCGGGTAGTGACGTTAGCTTGGAATCAATTTGGTACAGCAACTCTCTAAGTTCTCCGAAATCGAGGGTCCCGGATTTATCCTTGTCGTATTGTTCGAAAAGTTTGTCGAGACGGCGGAGGTGGTTCGCGGCTTGGGGAAATCGCTGTTTGACGCGCTTCGCAACGCCGCGCCAATCGGAGTAGGTGATTGATAGATCTTGTGGGTCTTTGCCCTTTTCCCACGCGGTGGTGCGAAGGAAGTTCACGATGTGATCAGATACATTATTTTGAACAGTGGCACAATCGCCAATTGCATATACATCACCGAGAGGGGAGCCGTTTAGGCGAAGATGTGTGTCTGTTTCTAAAGCGTGTTTGTTATTCTGTCCGTCAAGCTTTGCGGCGAGACGTTTGCAGAAGTCGGTCTGGGAGACACCCGTGGACCAGAGGCAGAAGCCCATTGGGATTTCCTTTGTGATGACTTTGCCATTTTCGTCTTTTTGGCTGAAAAGAATCTTGTCGGCTCGGATCTCCTTGACGCGAGAATTGGTCAAGATGTCAACACTGTCGTGGGCGAAACGTGTTTCGGCGTATTGGGAGAGAGCTTCGTCGTAGGTGTTTAGGATATGGCTGCGAGACTGAATCACATGGACAGAGATTTCGTTGCGTAGGAGACGGGGATAGAGTTTGCACAGATCCTCGTTGAGCATGTCGTAGAGTTCGGCGGCGAATTCGACGCCGGTTGGGCCGCCACCGCAAACGACAAAGGAAAGAAGCCGCCGTCTTTCATCATCCGTTGTTGTCGGTAAACAGGCGCTTTCAAGATTGTGCACGACTTGGTTACGGATCAAGCGGGCGTCGCTGATGTCTTTGAGGAAGTGACAGTGCTCGAGACCTTTGACACCATGAGAGTTGGAGACTGAACCCACACCCACCACCAGCTTGTCATAAGGGACGTAAAAGCGCTGCTCAACACCCTTGGCATCAAAGGCCGAGCATTCGATGAGCTTCTCTGAGAAATCTACATCCTCAGCCTTGGCTTTGAGAAAATGTCCGTGTACCCTTCGAACTATCTTGCGCACAGGTTCGACGAGTGATCGCAATTCGAGCGTGCCGACGGTGGCTGATGGGAGCATGGGCGTAAAGAGGAAGGTGTTCGATGGCGATATGACAGTCACATGATATTCGTCTGGATTCAGTTGCTTCAATAGCGCCACGCTGCCCCATCCCGTCCCAAGTATAACCAACTTTGGCTTGTGTTTGACCTTTTTATTTTCGGCGCTGTCGTCATCGTCGACGAAACGGTCTGCAATGGGTAAGTTCTTAGGGCCTCCTCTTCTGGGGTTCAAAGCGAGTTCGGAGACGGGTATATCAGTTGCAATAGGGTCGTCATTGTACGTATACGCGTCGTAGATGAAGAAGGCGACTACGAGAGCGCCGCTCACCACGACAAAGGAGCCCAGGACAGCCGCTGTTCGGTAGGCCAGTTGTCCGACTCGCGATTTCGTGACGGGCAGCGGTTTTGTGGACAGTGACCGTATAAGTGTCGCCGAACTGGGCTTGAAGAAGGAGGCAGACTTCAGGCTTACTGCTGTCTGCTGTGTGCGGTTCGCCGGCCCTGCAGCCGTCGCACTGCTGGATGATGGTCGAATTGGACTTTGTAGTATTGATCGTGACAACCTTGTGGACGACAGTGAGGCTCTCGAGACCCGGAGAGCGGCGAGCTGTCGCGGCAGCATGGCGGCAGCAATGGCCTCCTGTTTTCCTTTTTCCTTTCTCTTTTTCCTCTGTTTTTTTTAAAAAATCCCTCGTTTCCAATTGCCTACCTACACAATGGTGCAATGGCTCAAATAAGATGTACGCAGAGGTGATTATGATTAATAGGAGAAGCGAATGTCTGGCAGAGGAGGATGTATCCTAAAACTTACTCGGAGCACGAAGTCGTGGAGTGACCATGCAGCTGGGAATGTTTATCGGTTGATCAGGATTACGTCACTTGTGACAGGGGTCTTGTGACAGGGGTTCATACCGCACGTTCACCCCTACCCCATCTATGGTCTCCCTTGACCGTCGCTTGTTGGCCCGCACATCATCCGCAGACTTCCATCGAGTCTCTAACTGCTCATTATCGTGACAGGTTGATAGCCCAATCCACTGGCTTGAACCTGTCCCGTTCGTAGGTAGTCTGCATCTAGACCTCGCTCATGACAAGGTAGTCGCCTCAGAGTGCATACATAGTATCTTACAAAGTCCTCGCTCTCCTAACAAGGCTCGCTATGCATACAAAACAACAATATGTACATAGATCTTGCACGATATGCTAGCACGACCACACACCAACCGTGCCATCCCGCCGCCCCTCAACAAGATATCCGTCCTTGATGCGCACATGTTCAATTACTGCATGAGATGTCTTGTCGTCTTGATCAACGCCAACACCAGGACCACAACTCCAGTGTCGGCCGTCTGTCTTGTCGTAAACTTTGACCACAGACTCACCAGCCGCCGAGACGATGCGGCGGGCATCGAACATCATGCTCGTGATGGCGTGATCGTAAGCATATGCATCTGCTATAGCGCCCGTGCGTAGGTCCCATATCTAGTCCTTCTATCAGTATAGAAAAGCGGCTGGGGGAGGTACAGAAAAAGACTGACTCGTATACTCCTGTCCATACTCGCGGTTACAAGATGCACATCATCAAACTGCAGCGAGGTAACCGGTCCTGTATGGCCCACCAGGCTCCTATGGACCTGACCGCTCCTTAAATCCCAAAGCCGTACCATGCCATCCGCCGTTCCACATGCCAGAGCTGCATCGAAGACTTGCACTGCACCTACAAAGTCGGCCGAAGCGTCCGTAGCACGGCCAGTGGGACGGAAGCTGTTCGTGCTTGCAGCTGTAGCTTCTGCTTGAGCAGCTGCCCAGAGAACATCTAAAGTTTGGACGCAACGGCCCTTGACCAGATCCCACTGACGTAGGGTCTTGTCGGCAGAACCAGAAACCAAAGTGTCACCACGGAAGTCGAGTGCCGTGACTTCATCAACGTGAGATTCGAGAGAAAATAGAGGAACGTCTTGCATGATAGTTGCGGGTGGTGGGGGCGGAGCATCAGATGGGTTTTCAAAGGCCAAACCGTCGTCCTCGCCTTCGTCTTCATCATTGTGCTTGTTGATTCGGTTGTTCATGGGTGCATACTCCGCTTTGCTCAGGTCCCAGAGGCGAATAGTTGCGTCCTTTGAGCCAGTGGCTACGATGTTGTCCTCAACCTGCAAGCAACGCACGGAGGAGAGATGACCCTCGAGCATGCCTATGCAGTTTCCCGCGCTCAGATCCCATACTCGTACTGTGTCGTCCAATGCTGCGGTGACGAGCATGCCCCACGGTGCGTCAAAGTCCAGAGCCGTGATGGAGTCCATGTGTGCGGGCAGCTCTTTGATCTTAGACCCTGCCTGTAAGTGCTCGTGTAGTATAGGCATAGATTTGCGATGTGCTAGTCTACGCTTGTTCTTAGTCCTTGGCGAGTTAATCTTCTGGTATATCGACTCCGACATGAAGTCGTCTGACGCTCCCTCTCCTGACGCATCCGAACGCGGACTCAGAGTCTTGGGGGCCAAAGCCGCTTCATCTTCCAGCTCTTCTTCCAGGTCCTCGATTTGGTTGTCCACATTCAGCAAGTCTTGTTCAAGCTCCGACTCTTCCATCTCTAATCCAGCCAAACGATCCAGCACCATTTTGCGCATGGTGTTGAGATTTGCGATTTTGTCATCGATTTCGTGGATTTCCGCCACACACATGTGTTTTCGCACGGCCATCATCTCTAGTCGGTGTGTCATACTGTGTCTCTGGTTACGCAGCTTCTGCATAGAAGGCGGTACGTTCTTGTCATCTTCATCATCGCCACCGCCAATCAGTCGTTGCCCGCGCGCATTGTGCCTGCCGTGCTTCTTCCCCCGGGTGAGAGGCTCGTCGGGGACACTGGCTTGGAAGCCTTGGAAAAGAGAGAACTCGTGATCGTCTTCGGGTATATTGTGCAGGATATCGTCGGGGATGTAGGCCAGCGCTCGCTGTTGAATCTCGGGAACGGAAATACGCGACCGCACGATTTCGCGGGGAGTGGTTTGGGCGAAGGAGAAGACGGATCGTTGTAACATGGGCCGTCGAAGTTCGCGGTGGAGCTCCCCCAGAGCCGTCTGGTAGTGTTGACCCACGGCGTCGCCGCCGATCAAGCTGCCCGCCGTGGCCGACACCTTTTTCCCAAAGGCTTGCAGATGGCGCGTCTGGAGACAATGTTAGCATCACCTGCCGGAAGGCCAATACATGGACATGGGAACGGCTACATCGGGCAGTGCACCCATCAGGCTCGAGCCTATGTCGCTGTCTGGAGATTGTGGGCGCGGGCTGGTCGATCTGCCACGTCCTGGCGAGCCATTGCGAGCGTAGGACGAGGCCATGCGAGCAGCAAGAGCAGAGATGGCAGCAGTGTTGAAGAAGCAGTAGCAGAAGTAGTAGGAGCGACAGCGACAGTTACGACTAGGATCAGAAGCGGGTAACGACAGTTAGAATTGTGCGCAGTGCAACGAAAGGCCGTCTTAGATCATTCTTTGTGGGGGTTGATTTTCAAAAATAAAAATAAAACTATACAAAAAGGTGACAGTGCGAGTTAGAGCAAGATACACGACAGGCCAATGCGGGGTGAGGCGGCCGTGTAAACGATGTGACAAAGTTCGCGTAACTCGGTAGTAAATGGCGACGATGGCGGCTATGGTGGTGGTGGTGGTGGTGATGGTGGTGGTGGTACATAGTGGCAGTTTCATCCTTCATGCAGCTCTCCCATCGGTAAGGTGCTGCGTCATTCCGCCGACCGACCGACCGACCGCCACCTGCCCGCTGTGTCCAAGCCGGGAGCCGATGGTTAACTTGAGAGGAGGGGGGGGGGGGGGGCCGGGAGCTGTGTGGGGCAGGGAGTAAGACGGGGGGAAGGAGATGGACGCTTACCGGTACAGCCCGTACCAAAACGTTCAACATTCACCCAACTTTACTTTTGGCGGCTGATTGAGCCAAGGCAGGTGAGAGGCAGGTGACAAAGGCCGCATGAAAACTAGCAAATAACAAATAACATCAACTAAGCCACTCGACGCACACATGGATGTAATTGATCTATCCGACGCTTCCAAGGCGCTCGATCTGGCCAACATTCGCTTCCAGCTCATGTAAACACTCCCCACCATCCCGCCTACCAGCCGACTAAGCAGCTCCGTAACGCGTTGCCTTGTGCCCATGATGGTGCCCCGCGAATAGATGCTGACCACAACCATTGCAGCCGCCTTGAGGACACAATCACCTTCTATCTCATCGAACGCGTCCAATTCCCCCTCAACTCTGCGATCTACCAGCCCGGCGGCGTCGACATAGGCGAGCCCGACATCAGCCTCTTTGACTGGATGCTGCGTGAACAGGAGCGCCTGCACTCCCTCGTCCGCCGCTACCAGTCCCCCGACGAATACCCCTTCTTCCCAGACGCCCTGCAAGAGCCCATCCTCAAGCCCCTCGACTATCCGCAGATCCTGCACCCCAACGACGTCAATGTCAATGCCCTCCTGAAGGACTGCTACATCAAATATATCCTGCCCGCAGCTTGTTCGCAAAACGACCGTGAGGACCGCGGAGAGTCTCGAGAAAACTACGGATCGAGCGCGACGTGCGATGTCCTCACCATTCAGTCGCTGTCACGCAGGATACATTTTGGCAAATTCGTTGCCGAGGCCAAATTCCAGAAAGAGCCCGAGCGATTCGCAAAGCTGATCAAAGCAGAGGATCGACAGGGTATTGACGAGGCCATCACGAATGCAGCTGTGGAGAAGAAGGTCTTGGAGCGACTACGCTTGAAAGCCAAGACGTATGGCACCGACCCTGATCTGGGCGCGAATGGCAGCTCCAAGGTGAACGCTGATGCCGTCGTGGCCATGTACAAGGATTGGATAATCCCATTAACCAAAGAAGTCGAGGTCGAGTACTTGATGCAACGGCTCAAGGGCACTCAGTGGGAGTAATCACCTCAATATTTGTGCATACGCTCCCGCGTACAAAATCTGTACACTATAATTTAGATACATGTTGTACAGATCTAATGCCCCTGCGTCTTTGAAGCTCGATGCTATCAAACGTCCTCGCTCTGCATTACTTGTGTGATGCGCTGTGTTATAGACTGGCCTTAAGGGAGAATATAATAAGCGTTAATAATAGTATTTAGTATCTTAAAGGAGAGGTAAGCCCTCTATACCTTTTTATAGGTGTGTAGCGTGTTTACTTAGTAGTAGTAGTAGTCTCTACCTATCTTTTATTAGACCTAGGCTTAGGTATAAGCCTAAGCCCTTTATATACCCCTAACCTTCTCTAGAAGCTATTATAAAATTATCTTCTTAGGGATTTAGAGCTATATCTTTATCCCTTTCTAATTTATACTAGGCTTTATTACTATATCCTTAGGCTTTATTATTATATCTTTTATATTCCTTCTTAATATAACAATAGTGCAGAATTGTTTGCCTATTATTTTATGCCAAGTTAGCCCTAATAACAGCCTAAGTTGCTAATGTATGTAGAGAGCAGCTCGCCTATATTAGAATAGGTATATTCTTCTTATCCTTTTATACAAGACCTATAGGTATAGGAATCTTATCCTTTTCTATACAGACGCGCACTCCTATATGCCTTCGAGTCGTATAGGATACCTTTTGGATGCCCTACCTACCTGCGTCGTTACAATTAGTTCATGCGGGTATTAGAATATCTGCTAGAAGAAGGTCTTTCCGCTACAAACTGCATATCACCTAAGGGTCTGCGACTAGGAGGTCAAAGAGTGTGCTTAAAGAATAGCGAGTCTCGTTAGACTTGGCGCACAAGACCAATGTGGCGCGCATTAGAGGGTAGCACCCAAAAATCGCTTAGTTTTGATAACAAGAATATACTGTACGAATTAAACCGGACAGCGGAAGTGCAAAATCGACTCAACCCCATCCAGAAGGTGATATGTCTCGACACTTGGCAGGCCCGCTCTTGCTCTTGGACCTTCTCTTTTGAACACAGGCCTGTATGTCAGAGTGGGTTCACGATGCTTTTGCGTCTAGGATATCAGTATAATAAATACTTGATTGCCAGGGTCATGTCTGCTGTTAGTCCCTCCCTTTCCTCGGATTCCACCAAAAAATGAAGATTCAACATGGCATTACGTTCGCGTGCGCTGCGCATGTCTATGCGGCTGCGTTTCCGGCCACAACCTATGGCGACAAATTACGGCCATTTGTGTCTTCCCAAGAGATCCAATCTGCAATCAAGACAGAAAAGTAATTCACGGTATTATTTTTTTAAACATGTTTGTTGATCAAATCCAGGTTGATGGGCAATTTGGAGGCTTTTGATTCAATCGCCAAAGCCAACGGTGGCAATCGAGCTTTTGGCCTTCCAGGTTACGCTGCATCAGTTGACTACATCCTTTCGAAAACTCAGAACACGAACTTCAAGACATGGGTGCAAGACTTCCCCGCACTGTTCTTCAGAGTCGAATCGATCAAATTCACCGTCAGCAACACATCCTACCATGTCATTGGACTCTCCTACTCTCCCTCTACGACACGTGAAGGTCTGACCGCACCTCTTGTTCTAGGCGCTTCTGGTCCAGAAGGATGTAATGTGGCTGCATACGACAACATTGATGTGCAAGACAAGATTGTGCTGGTACAGCGAGGCACATGCCCAGACGGCACGACCCTTGCCGGCAGGATAAAACCAGCCGTTGCCGCGGGCGCCGCGGCAGTCATCCTATATTCCGATGTGATCACTCCCGTGACTGGAGGCACGCTATCCAACCCTAATCCTGAAGAGTATAGACCTTCTGGGTATATCAACTTGGCCGACGGTGAGCCTCTTGCGGCCCGACTCCGCGCTGGAGAGAGCCTGGAAGCGTACTTTCAACAGACTCAGACTGTCGAGACACGCATCACACAAAATGTCTTTAGCGAAACAAAGGATGGAGATCCATCCAACGTCATCATGCTCGGTGCTCACCTCGACAGCGTTCAAGCCGGTGCCGGTATTAATGATGATGGTTCTGGATCTACACTCATCCTCGAGCTTGCCAAGGCCCTTCGCAAGTTCCGAGTGAAGAACAAGGTCCGCTTTGCATGGTGGGGCGCCGAAGAAAACGGACTCCTAGGCTCCAAGTACTATACCCAAAATTTGAATGTTACAGAGGCAAACAACATTCTTACCTATCTCAACTTCGACATGGTGTCTCGCGGCTATTACGGTGTATTTGACGGGGACGGTAGTAGCTTCAATCTTACAGGTGCTCCTGGCTCAGGAGCCATCGAAAAGCTCTTTGTGGATCACCTTACTCAAAACGGGATCAACGTCACCGCTGCCCGCTTCACGGGGGGAAGTGATTATCAATCATTCATGAACATTGGCAAGCCAGTTGGTGGTTTGTTCACAGGCACTGGAGTGGAACAGGATCCATGCTATCATCAGGCGTGTGATTCTATCGATAACCCGAACCCGACCACACTCACCATCAATGCCAAGGTACGCAAGCATCCGTTTTTCCCCTTTGACTCGAGGCTAATCTCTTCAGGCTGCTGCACACGTACTATCCATCCTAGCAACAAAAGGGACGGAGTTGATTCCCCAGAGTCCAGTCAATGCCAGTATGATCACCTCAAGAGGTCTTGTTGGCATTGAGCCCCAATGGACAGTCCCAGTCGAGGGTGACGATCATTCGTCAACCTGTGGTCATGAGATCTAGGAGTAATTAGAGCCAGTGCTATTTACTTGCAACATCGTTAAAGAACACACACTTGCCGTATCTCCTATTTCAGCAGTGCAGACCCTGTATTGTTGCGCATATGATTGTCCTGTGAGAGGTAACCGTTCCAGGTCCACCAATGGATGCGGCAAACGCTGACGGTCCTCGTAGTAGGGAGAAGGTTCAAATTCATGCAAGATCCTCGTCTATTTCCAGAAAGGCTCGGGTAAGGCACTTACATACTTGATATACAAGCAGTAGCATGATTAGTGCAAGATGGTAGTACTTCACATCACTATAGCTCTGAAACTTCAGCAACCTATCTGCGTCTCCTCCCCGTGTTCCATGAAGATGCTTAAGTCTCGGACATGAGGCCGTGACTCATATATACCGCTAACTCGTTTCTTCGAGATAAGATGACCGGAACGTAGGCGCATCTTGGGAAGAGATCAATCGGTGGATTCAATCCTGGTGCAGCAAGGGCGTCTGCTCGTCGTCGCCTGCCAGCGAACCAGGCAGATTCCCCCCCGTAACAGCCTTGGCGTCTTTTCGTTGCCTCCACGTGAAGATTAGGCTCATAACAAGCAAGCAACCTTGCAGACAGCCTGTAAATATAAAGAGACCCCATGCACTCCATCCTGCTGGGCCCAGTCTAGCATACAAGCTAGCAGCAAAAACAAAGCTTCCAGGGGTTTGTATGCACATCATGGGAATGGAGAGGCTCCCAATTTCCTGCAGTCTCCAAGTCATGAGGATCTGGGGGATGTACTGGATCGCGGCCAAGGCAGTCGCAAGCAGACCTAGAAAGTTTGCCCATGCTTGGACATGAGAGGGAAGCGCGTAGACGAAGACGACAGAGCCAACAAAGGCTACAATGAAGAAGGCAAGGGAGATGGCAAGAACGAGCACGGCCTCCTTCCAGGTAGGCATACTTGTGTCTTGCTGCTCGGCGGCGGCTGCGGGAGGGCTACGGGGAAAGAAGACGAGAAAGAGCAGCATGCTAAGAATCGGCCAAGTCAGCCATAGTACGTGTAGGCCAGGAATAGGGATCGATCGACGTACATGAAGAAGAAACACGACCACTGCACGCCAATTTGCACAATGCCCAGCAATGCAGCCACGCAAGGAAAGGAGCCAATGTCAGCACAGCAGGCCATGTCAGCGGTGCTCTGCGGAAGGGTCAAGATGTTGGCGATGCTGGCTGTGCCTGAGACGGTGCCCAGCAGCACAAACATGGGGCTGAGGCCGCGAGAGGAGCGTCGCGAGATGATCTTGTAGTGCTGCGGAAGGTAGGATACGAGGATGCCCACGACGATGAAGAGGGACACGGCAAAGTTGAGCAAGTCTGGATGAGCCAGCTCGCGACACCTCTGTGTGTGGCCATCGGGAGGCGACATGTTCATGATGGAAGATTATCTAAGGTTTAGGTACTGGAAGAGGTAGAGAGGTAGGGCTTGTTGTAGTGGTGGTGGTGGTGGTGGGATCGTCTGTGAGTGTTTGGTGTTTTTATTATTATTATTATTTCTCTTCACTGAATGATGCAGTTGTCCATCGATGGATCCGTCGAGTCCTCACAGAGAGGTTGGGACGTGTTGGACGGCTTGGACGGGTTACGTGTTGGATGTGACGTGTTGGACGGCTTGAAGTGCTGACAAGGTTGCGTGGGTGGGTTGACGTGACGGACGTGTCATGTGCGCGTTGCCGCGGCAGTTGCAACCGAACGCGTCTAGGTAGTGCCTGGCCTGGTAGCAGGGAGTACGGTGGGTTGGGTGGTACCTGCCCTGATCAATGGATGGCTCTTTCTTGCCTCGGCTGGCTCCATGCTAGCGGCTGGCCAACACACGCCCTACATACCAACCGTCAGTCATGAGAGGCGAGGCCTGGGGAGCACTACACACAAAAGCACACACGCATACTCTACCACATTACTGTTCCTGTGGTGGTAGTCTTGTGGTAGCAGTATCACACACTACATACCACCGTACACTCACTCTACGCGGTGCTATCTGCCATAGCATACTGTGTAGTCCCTGCTTCTCTATTCAGACTCTCACCACCTACCACCTCGTGCAGTTCGCCATGCCATGCATGCAATCATGAGTAGCAACAGCCAATACTCAACACCTCATATATAACAACAGCTATTACAACAACAACGACGACGACGACGACGAAGAGAACGACAACAACAACAACAACAAGAACACGAGAACAAGAATACCAATCGCATCCATCCATCCATCCGTCCGTCCTCCATCATGGAGTTTCTGCCGGCCCTCCAGAATGGCGTCGACGACCTCAAACCCTCCCTTTTCGAGCTGCTCTCGGAACAACAGCTCGCCTCGCTCCTGCCACCCTCGCTCCGCTACCTGCTCGCCATCTCGACCCATCGATACCCGCGCTATCTGCTTCCCGTGCTCAACTCGTTCGATGAAGTATACGCCCTAGTCATGCTCCTCGTGGAACGCCACTTCCTCCGCACCTATGGCGGCTCCTTTACCGAGAACTTCTACGGCCTCAAACGCGCCCGCGTGTTGCGCGTCAAGGGCGGAGAGATACCGCGTGCCCAGCTCGGCGCCAGCGACAGTGTGCGCGATGCCGTCAAGCTGGGGCCAGCGGATGTCTGGAAGAACCTCGCTGTCCTCGTTGGCTTGCCATGGCTGAAGCGCAAGTTGGATGAGGGCTACGATGTCCACGCGGCTCATGCCAACCTCCTCGGCCCTGCCTACCAGCGAGAGCGCAATAGCCCCACCCCGGGCGCGACCATCAAGCAGAGGCTCATGCACTACTACAAATGGTTTCTGCGCAACATCTACCCCAGCGTGAACGCGGCCTACTACTTCTCCTTGCTCGTCTTCAACATGGCCTACCTGTTCGACGGCACCAAATACCACTCGCCCTTCATGTGGGCAATCGGCTCGAGGATTCGCAGACTGGGCGACGCAGATCACAAAGCCATTGCGCTGGCCACAGCCCCCACCAAGGTCAGCCCTGCGCGGCCGGGAGAACGAGGCTCGCTCTTCTCACCCCGAAACCTGGCTCGCACCGTACAGCCGCGGCTGTTGAGCTCCCTCAAGATCCTCTTGCCCACTAGCATATTTGCTCTCAAGTTTCTGGAATGGTGGCATGCATCAGACTTTGCACGCCAATTATCGAGGAAAGCGGCCGAGAACATCGACCTGCCGCCGCCCATCCTACCCTCATTACCGCCGACGGCAAAGCAGATGCTCTCCAACCAGAAACATGTCTCGGAAAAGATGTACGATCCGTCGGCTCTTACGGACAAGCCACAACGCATCGACCCCCCAATATCCTCCTCGACTCTCCTCCCCATACTGACTGTACCCTCGCCGCCCTCGTCACAATTTTGCCCCATCTGCGTCACCCCCATCATAACGCCAACAGCTTCGCCAACAGGCTTCGTCTACTGCTATACATGTATACATCGCTGGGTGGCAGGAGACCATGACCGCCAAATTGCATTCATGGAAGGCGCGGCTGGCTTCAGGAGGGACGGCCGAGGAGGCGAAATCGAAGACGAAGGATGGGGCACCGAAGAAGGTAGCCGAGAGGGGAGGTGGGAAAGTGGAAAGGGAAGAGACGCGGTCACTGGCAGAAGAGTCCTTGGTGGAACGGAAGGTTTGAGGCGGGTTGTGGTGTAGTTTTTTTTTTTAAGATTTATGTTCAGGATACCACTTAGCTGCATTGCACTGCAGCATTTATAATCACTTTCCTCTCTATCAAAGCACCCGTTCAAAGCCATGTCTCGCGGCCAAGATGATGTGCACATGCATAAGGCGTCTGTGAAAGGCTGCTGGAACACAGGGCGTGGAGCTAAGCCTCAAAGATCTTAGCTTAGAGACATCAAATGTGCAAGCGCGAGCCATTGCTTGTCATCCAGATTTTAATCACGACCCAACGTCCCTTCTGACTGTAACATCTAGCTCGCCATCGTTCCGCCCCAGTGTCCTCTTGGGCCAGTCATGCTTGGTTTTCAAGGACATATATGAAGAATCTGCTGGAGGCGGGAAATCTGCCGGATCTTCTACCAATGGCTCCACCATTATCTTCGTCTCAGGCGCATTCCGTACAAGACTTTGCAAACGATGTCACATCCCAGATGGAAGGCTTCGCGCAGTCACAGGACCTTGCCGAAGAGTCCATCGCCCGAGATCTAGAGGAGGATACTTTGGCTTCTGAAGATGAGGACACTGACGATTCTTCTTCCGGATCGTCCACCGTCCGTCAATTTTCCATGATAAATTCCTACCGTCGGCCGTCATATGCCAATCCTGGAGCCCGATCCACAGCCATGACATCTTCTAGTGTGCCAGAACGCAAATCCTTGTCCGCCTCATGGAAGAAGCACAGCTATCTATCGAAAAGGGAACGCGAGGCAGTCCGGGATGAAGAGCGGAGTTTGCTCCGTGATAACAACTTGATTCCCTCGAAAGAGCACAGATCAGGAAGTGCAGGTCCCTCGGATCGTTTGGGTAATAAATTGTCCTTTTCAGGGCTGAGAAGGACGAAAAGTACGCCGGATGAGGAGTCAGCCATCGATCGAGCCTCTGAGCGGACAGCTCTACTAAGAGGTCCGAATCAATCGTCGGATGAGACGTATGTCACGCCTCGGAAGATTCAGAAGACTTGGGGCGAAGCGGTAGCTGCCGGAAAGATCAACACCAGCTGGCAACGAGAATCCAAGGTTCTCGCAAAGAGCTCGGGGCCACTCATGTTGACCTTTTTGTTGCAGTACAGCTTACCGGTCGCTAGTGTGTTTACCGTAGGGCACATTGGCAAGACGGAACTCGGTGCTGTGAGCTTGGCGAGTATGACTGCTTCCATCACAGGATATGCCGTCTACCAAGGCCTGGCCACATCACTAGATACCCTCTGTGCTCAAGCATACGGCTCCGGACGCCTACATTTAGTCGGACTGCAACTCCAGCGCATGTTGTACTTTCTTCTCCTGATCACAATTCCAATCTCCGTGATATGGGCCTTTGGTACACAAATATTATCATTGATTGTTCCAGATCAGGAGACCGCACGACTTGCAGGCCTCTACCTCAGAGTCTTGATTTTCGGAGCGCCCGGATATGCCGCATTTGAGAGTGGTAAGCGCTACGTACAGGCACAAGGAATCTTCAACGCGACCATGTACATTCTCCTTATCTGCGCTCCTCTGAACGCTTTCTTGAACTGGTTCATGGTCTGGCACCTTGATTGGGGCTACATCGGCGCACCAATCGCCGTATCCATCACCGAGAATATTCTTCCCATAGCCCTGTTTCTATATGTGCGATTCGTCGACGGCTATCAGTGCTGGGGTGGCTTCGACAGACGTGCGCTGAAGAACTGGATGCCCATGATCAAACTTGCATTACCAGGTTTAATCATGGTTGAGGCTGAATTCCTGGCGTTCGAAATTCTGACACTGAGCTCAAGCTGGCTTGGTCCAACTGAGCTCGCCGCGCAGAGTGTACTCGGTACTATCACCGGAATCACGTTCCAAATCCCCTTCCCAATGAGTGTTGCAGCTTCAACTCGCATCGCGAACCTGATCGGAGCCACGTTGGCTGTGCCGGCAAAGACCGCTGCTAAAGTCGCAATCTTCGCTGCCGTACTAGTCGGTATTTTCAACCTCCTGTTGTTATCGATATTCCGAGAAGCCATTCCCCGACTGTTCACACCGGACGAAGATGTCATCAAGCTTGTGGCCGCACTACTTCCACTGTGCGCAACCTTCCAAGTCTTTGATGCACTGTCGGCCAATTGTAACGGCATATTGCGTGGTCTGGGTAGGCAAGAAATTGGCGGATATGTTGGCCTGTTTGCGTACTACATGGTCGGCATACCGATCAGCTTTGGTACGGCGTTTGGGCCATTACAATGGCAACTATACGGACTGTGGACGGTAGGCCCAATCATGCGAATGATCATCCACAAGGCATATGCTAATCACGATTAGGGGCCGGCGGTCGCTCTTGGAATTGTTGCAGCCATCGAAGGGTGGTTCATCTGGCGTTCGAGTTGGGAAAAGGCGGTCGAGGATGCAAAGGCCAGGAATGCTGCCAATTAGGTCAAGCATGCTGGCGAGACTGACATTTTCGAGCCAGTCCGTTGCGATAGGCGGATGGGGTAAGACAGCATCGCATATGTAGCCTAAGCTCAAACCGTTTCACAATGGTGAGCATCTCAATACAGCGTACTCGTGCCCCAAAACAAGACATTAGACTCATTGCCTAGAGACAATCACAAGACAGTCAAGACAGGCGAATGGAAGAGGCTAGGCCAGCACGCAACATCCAGTGCTGTACAAGGCCAAGTCAGCCGTGCCAGCAGTCTTGAACCTCTTCGCAGCCTTTTGGGAGAAGTAAGGAGTAGTTGAAATAGCAAGCAAAAGGTATCTAAGTCCGCCGCCAGCCAACGCCATCCCAACTCACGCACAAGAAAGAGCATCAAGGTATACTCTGCTCCATCTCTGTAATGTAGAGTTTGATGTGGCTTTCCATCTTGAGATACTCGTCGTGCGCAGCGTGTACCTCGTTCTCAATGTTGTCTTTGAGCTCCGCCATCTTCTTCTCGGTCTGTTCAATGCGCACACGACGCCTCTCCATCTCACGGCCCTTCTCGCTCCTCTCTTCGGCCAGTTTGGCGTGCGTCTCTCCAAGTTCTTCCATGCGTTTCCGCGCTCGTTCGGCTTCGTCGTCGGCCTTGGATTTGAGTTTGTCTGTTCGCGCGTTGATGTTGCTGAGTTGTTTCTGGAGAAGACGTTCTTGTCGCTCAACGTCACGCACATTATTACTGCGGTCTGCCAATGCATCTCTGTGCCTTCCGGCCTTGGCAAGTTCCTCTTCTTCCCTTGCGAGATCGGCCTGGACGTCTGTGAGAAGTCGGGTGCAAGAGGTGACGTCGGTGGCTACAACAGCAAACGAGTCTGTGGAGGTCTGGAGAGCGCGCGCACGGCGGTCAAGGGCGTCGATTTGGGTCTTGTCGGTCGAAAGACGATCGTTGAGGTCACGCAACGAGTCTTCCAGTGCAGTTGGACTTTGTTGTGTATAGGGCTTCAGCTTGAGCACCTCGCGTTGAACGTTTTCCTTGGCTTCGACCTTGTGCTGAAGCAGCTCCTTGAGGCGATTTTGCTCAGCCCGTGCCCGTTCTAGCTTGTCGGCAACGGCCTCCTGGCCCCTCTTGAGCTCAAGCAGTCTGTTTTTAAGCTCATTGTTACGCTTCTCCTTCTCCTGCATCAGCTTCTGAGTTGCTGCGCGATTGCGCTCCAAATCTGCCAGCTGCATCTCCTTGGCCTGCTTGTCATTGTATAGCTGCTCGATGCGAAGCTTAGTGCGTTCGGCTTTGTTGAAGTGTTCGTCAATGACCTCGGTTTGCGACTCGCGAAAGCGGATGAAGTTGATCATGTAGGAGAATATCTTGACCAGACGACCGTGTGTGGGCTTGTAAAGATCGTTGAAGGTGAAGTCGTGGATGCCACACTCGCGCAGAAGTTTTCGCAGAATGACGAAGAAGGCCATTAAATCGCGCGTGTCGCTGGTGAAGATGCGCTCTGCATCCTGCCCACACATGTCTTCGGCCGCTGCACGCACAGCGGGCGCAACTACTTCGCGTGTAGTGTTCATCAGCAGTTCGGCCAGCCACTCGAAGACCTTTTGGATGATTTGAGGGTTCGGCTTCTGCAGATCCGAGACGCTGAAGCTGATGCCAATGTCTGTAATGCATCCCGCAATTTCGCTGTCGGGCTGTCCTTTGTGAGTCTGAATCGCTTTGAGAGAGACGGATTCGCTCGTACCAAGGTCATGAATGCATCGTGCTCATTGGCTGCGGGGGCGCGCTGTTGCTGATGCTGCGTTGTTGTGCGCGCCATACTCATGCGCGGATGATACGACATGTTGCCGGGCGGGGTGCTGAATCTCTTTTGTTGCGTTATTGCTGGAGTGTGGAGTTGTGATGGATTGTAGCCTACACGCTGTTGTGCTAACAGTAATGTTTGTTTACCTCTCCCGTCCTGTTGGCTGGGCAGGACTCGTGGATGGGTCAATCGGCCATTTGCGAGTCTATGCCTAATCCAGATTAGTTTACTCCACCTGAACATCTAGTCATACTACTCGTTACGCTTACCAGGTGCACCTGCAGTACTGGCCCATTTCTCACGTGACAGCAGACTTTCATTTCCTGCAGCATGCCTTGCTGCCGAAAGTGTGCTTGCTTGGGCGCACTTCCATGCTCTTGTAGCAGCCAGAAAGCCCTCTCGTGTCACGCCCGATGCATGGACATCTACAGTAAATAGGCACGTTAGGGTGCGTACGGTATCTCCAGAGTGGGTACGCCTGGGCCATGACACCAAGTTTGGCCGAGCATCGAGCTCCCGTACGCCGTTCGCATCAATGCTGATCCTCTGCGCGGACCATGCCATGTTCCCGACTGGTACTGGTCATAGCCTAGAGTAACAGTACAAGCACATACTCTTGAGTAAATGGACACGACACATGTGCACCCATTCGATCTGAAACTAGTCGAACTTGTGGGCCTGGTAAGACAGGACTGAGCACGATACAGGAACGGGGCAAAACAGCAACATGCCACGCTCATCCTGTTGCACAGCCTAAGTTGGCTAAGTTGGCTGAAATGTAGACTCATCCAAGACGGAACCTTGAAGCTCCCGAGGTGGGAGTCGCTCGACTCGATATCGATAGAAGTGATCGAGTGTCTGCTTTGGTCCAGGGTAGTTGGGTGGATAAACTTGTATCTACTAGCTATTCAGTACTGTACAGTACAACGCAAGATTGTCTGATCATTGATGTCGCCGTGGTAGGAGACTAGGGGGGAGGTTGGAGACGGCGAATCGGGCTGGGATGATTGGGGACAGTGTGCGGCGAGGTGGCCCCATGGATGCGGCCACTGACCGTTTGCTGGCTGCAAGGCCGACGTGGCTTTCCATGTTCCGTCGACAGTCAATACTTTGGGGCAGCATGCCTATGCATGATGTCACTGTACGAGTGAGCTGTCGCTGCGAGGGCGGAGAACGACGAGCACTCTAGGCTGATCGGGAGAAGAGGTAGGTGTCGTTGAGCCCACACAGCAGCTCATGTCTGTAGCAACACACGAGACTACAGTGAGAGAGAGTGTGTGGGGCAGGTACCAGTACATACTCTACATACACAGTAGACAGCCAGGCCAGGCTGAGGAAGCAGTCCCGTCAGTCGCTCGGTGCATTGGCGGCGTCCATGTTCGGGCTGGGCGGGACGGGGATCGAATAGATGACCTTGGGATGGGATGGTGAACGAGAGTCGCATGGCATGGCATGGCTGGGCTGGGCTCGGACGATGGTGGCGCTGGCCATATCGAGCCTAGTCAGATGGGGCCTCTTAACGGTGGCAGCCCAAAGCCGAAGTTTCGACAAGATTTGACGAGCGTTTGAAGAAGGCCTGGTACACTAGTACAGTACGACACTATACTATACCTAGGCGGGAACCTTTCTATGTATACATACTTGGGCCTGTCAGGTGCGAGGCAGGGCCTACTGTGTTAGATGGACGGCTGCTCAGCCTGGGTGAGGATGACCTTGCCACACCATCCATGGAGGCGCTGCGGGCTGCCCACTGGTTTGGGCGCGCCAGTGACCGAGAGATGGACGATTCCACAAGCTACTCCTATACCTACTCTAAGTGTACTCTACTCTACCTAAGCAGTAGAGTACTGCAGTGTAGGGACAATACTATTGGCCGATGGGACTCTCTGCCCTCTTCACTCCTGAACTCTGAAGGGCTGGAGGGCTGGAGGGCTGGAGGTTGTGGAGGGGGGGGGGGGGAGCAGGGACCCTTGCAAGGGCGGTTTGGGCGAAGGGGGGCCCGAGCAGCCAGCCAGGCCCACAGCTTGGTTATGTATCGGTATGTGGAGTAGCCGTCTAGGTACTAGTTCTCTCGGCTAGTTTGAGGATCACGTTACTTGTCTTGTGCTATGAAAATAGCCAGGATGTAGCAGTGGCAAATCACATGATACTCAGACTACCCGAGCGCATGAGTAGAGAGTAACAGTGTATACTGTACATACTCTACCATGTACGGTACACATCATGTACTATACCTACCTAGTAGCACCATGATCCGCTCACTCTGGCTTGCTTTTTGGCACCTGCAGTTTTCTTTTGGGTATCCCAACACACACACACACACACACACACACACACACACACACACACACCGTGTGTATCGTACATTCCTTTCACATGGCCCCCTGTCTTCTGCACAAGGCTGGGCAGGTACCGGTACTTGGGTAGTAGGCAAGACGATACGAGTCCATGGACAGGACCCATCACATGTACACAGTAGTCTCGAGCATTCTACATGCCCATGCATCTACCTACCTACCTACCTACCTACCTACCTAGGTACACAGTCGTCAGTACTATCTCGTGCCTCTGCCGGGGTATCCATACCTATACACACACGGGAGCGCTGTACCTGCGCAGGGCAAGGCGTCAGCAGTCCAGGGTCTCGAGGCTGTTCCTTGAATCAAAGTCGAAAAGGGCCAGGCTAAGGTGTATCTTTGGTCTCGTCCAGCACACATTGTAGACTCTCCCTCGGACAGAGTACTGCGTGTTGTACTAGAAGTGTGGGTGGGGCACCTACCATGGTAAAGTTCACCCGTGCGACCAACGAGGTCCAGCCCGCAGCCGTCTTTTTCTTCCCAAGATTCAGTGGATCCCTTACATCACACACGCCTCCAGACTCGCCAGCAGCCAGCCAGCCCTCGGCGCCGTGAATGACCACGCTCCAGCTCGCACGCTCGCACGCTCCCTTGAGCTTCTCTCTTCTCCCGACTGACCCTGTCCTGTCCTGTCCTGCTATTCCTGCCCGTTCATCTACCTCCAACACCCAACCACCCTTTACACGCACGTACACGCCTGCCTGTCTGCAACGCCCACCCCTTTGCTAGCAGCTTCAGCCCTAGCCCTGGCCCCTCCACGTTGCCGCTCTCCGCCTCTGTCGCAACAAGCTGGGAAGGCTGCCCGTTGTTGTACCTACGCCAAGTCTCCAGGACCAGATTTGGGTGCCAGAATTAGAGCCACACAGCCAGTCGCCAGTCGCCAGTCGCCAGTCTCAGTTCCAGTGCCAGGCTGCAGCCGACTCCGCCCGCCCACGCGCGACCATGCAGCCCCTCCGCCAGCAGGGCACCACCACATCCATCATCAGATAGCAGCCGCATATCGCTATCCACACCACGCACACGCACACCTACACACCTACACCACGCACACATACACACATCAACGCCGCGTGACCGCGATCCAACCTCACGTCCGGACAAGACACGCCCACGACGACCACGACCACCGCCGTCGCCGTCGCCGTCGCGGCCAACAGGCACTGCTTCCATGCCGTGGCTGTTTGGGCGACGCAGCGGGAAGGCCGCCAAATTAAAAGAGGGTCGACCCGCGGCCGCTGCCCAAGAACAGGCAACCGCACCAGCAAGAGCCACCGAGAGTCTGCGACGGCGACCCAGTCAGCGCAGTGCTCGCCGTCGGAGGGGCAGCTCGCGGTCGACGGCCTCGATGCAGATTACGGAGACGGCCCTGTCTGCTGCAAACCCCTTCGCTACGGTGTCAGACGCACACCCACCCCCACACCCGCGCCCTGGCACCAGCGTCGAGAACATAACGGCGCTGCCTGAACAACGTCGCCTCGAACACAGTCCGCACCTGCGCCCCATCCTCCAGGAACACGGCGGCATTCCCTACCCTCCAAACGCCCACCACTCCCATGCCAGCCTGCCGCCACCGCCGCCTGCGCGTACCAGAGGCAAGCTGCAACGCCCGCAGTCCCTACGCAGGGATCCCCCAACCGATTCCGCCCTGGTTCGCCGAATTTCTAGTAGGCGTCGGAAAGACCACGACCCCGTCCGCGAGGAGCAAATCCGTGCCATGAGCATCCCGATGCCCCAGAAGCGACCAGCCGGCCATTCGGGCGCCATGCAACGACGAGACAGCAAAAAAGTCAAAGGCGGCCCCAACCAACGCTTCGACAGACCCTCCTCCCATGTCTCCCTGCCCTTTGAAGACTCCATTCACTCCTCCATGTCGGGCATCTCCGAGACCCGCGCCTTCCGCGTGAGCACCCTCGACATGTTCTCGCCCCGCCCCACGATTCGCTACTCCCTGGGCTCCCAGTATCACGCCGCCGGCCGCTCTTCACCCAACACAGGCGGCGAGAAGAATGACTCCCGAAGAGAACGCCGACCACTGAGCAGCAGAGAGGACGTGCAAACGAAGCGTTCGAGCAGAATCGACGACCTTGCCGACACACTAGACGCCGGTGCACTGCGCGAAATCATGGAAAGGGACAAACGGCGCCGGGAAAAGAAGCTCAAGGCCGACCACGAGCGTCTGCGACGGAGGCTCGAACGACGTGCCGAGAAGCAACGAGCCGCAGAGGTAGGCGGTACCCCAGGCACTCCGCGCAAAGAGGCCATCGGTGCTGTTGGCCTGGGCATCGAAGAGGACTTGTCGACGCCCATGGACGACGTTCGTCCATCGACTCCACCCCAGCAGCCGCGATGGTTGGAAACGCTGCCTGTGACGCCAAGATCTCCCGGAAACAACCAATTACCCACTCCCCTTGAAAGTCCCGTGGACGAACCAGTCGTGTCTGATGCTCGGGCCGTGCGATATTCCCGTGGCAGTGTATCCGCCCAAGTGCACGCCCGCGGGCCGTCGAATGTATCCGAATTGCCAGACCTCATCTCTGATAGGCCTGCACACGAGGACCCCTTTGCGTCTGCGGAACAGATTCATGACCCCACGCGAAGTGGCTCGCTCCATCCGGTCGAAACGGCGGACACGAATTTGATTTCCCAAGGAGGTTCGAGTCGACGACGCAGCTCAGAAGGCAAGCGCATGGGCGTCTTCGCATCGCTGTTCAGACGGGGCAAGCGTGGCTCCCAGGACCGAGGCCGAATCACCCCTTCTGAAGTCTCCTTTTCAAACACTTCCCGAGAGTCCATGTCCCGACAGCCCCTTCCCGCTCATCTGGTTGGAACGATGCCGGGTACACCACCCATCACTATTCGTAGGCCATCGAGCGTGCCGCGCCGCACAATGTCCAAGTTCAGAGAGGACTTACCAGAGTTTCCGCTGTCGCCGCCTGACTCTCGTGTCCAATCGCCAGAAGTTTCTTCGGTTGGCCCGCTTGCTGCTCGCCGAAGCCACCAAGCGCCTTCCGATCTTAGGGTTCAGTCGGTGAGCTCGCAATCGGGGCTCCGATCAGACTCGCCCGTTAGCCCAGGACTACCTGTTGGCAATGCCATGTCTCAGTCTCTTGCCTCGGTGGACTCGGAAGGGTCATGGTTATCTGGAAGACCCTTGAAGCGAGCGTCAAACAAATCGCAGGTTCATTCCAGCATGACCTCTTCGGGTCTGCAACGGAACGACGACTTCAATGGATCCTACGAGGAGCTTGGCATGGCTGATGATGAGTACTTCAAAAAACTTAGTCCTGTCTCTGACGAGCACTCGAGATACGCCCACTCGAACGACATCTTGGGCCGAAAGGCTAGCAGCACGTTGATGGCCCTTGATGTCGCGGCCGAATCCGAAGAAGAGACAGAGCCGGCGGCGGTGGTGGCGGAGGACGAGGACGAGGAGGAGGAGGAGGCAAAGATTGCCAGCGAAACCGCAGAGGTGGTCAAGAGCAGTATCGGGCGTCAACCTACCATTGTACATCGCCAAGCCCGAGTCAAATCTGCTGAAGGTTTACTGAGCATGTTTGCCGACGCACCAACACCTTCGCAAGATCCTTTTCGCGACGACGGGGCCAATGGCGCGGCTGAAAGCCCAGACTCACCAGCTTCAGATGGTGAGCCGATGTTGTTACAGCGGGCTAAGAGTATCGATCTTGGAAGGCAGCATGTCCGTCATCTCAGCGCCGGCTCTGCCAGGCTCTTGGATATCCAGAAGCGATAGAGCCCGTCGTCGCACACCCCGGCGCTCTCCAGCAGGAGTAGCTGATTGATTTCCAACTCCCGTTTTGTTCTCAGGAGACCGGCTTGCCAAGCCCCGCCATTCCTTTGGCTGTTTTTTCCTTTGTCTCTGTCGGTCATTACCAAATCCCACTCTTGTCGCTCTCTACCTATTTCCCATGTTATTTCCATGATCTGGCTTGGCAGCTTCTGATTTCCGGGCAGCTTGGGTGTTGAATCTTTCTTGCACACCCCCCCCCCCCCCGGGAACCTTGTACTATTTTTATTTTCGACGTCGGCTATTGGGAGGAGACTGCATAGCAAGGCGTTGAAGCGTGATCCTGGGTTCTATTCTGTTTTGGCTGTGATACCATGTGCTGCCTGGGGCGGCTTTTGTTCACTTTCTCTCTTTCCCACATGGTGGTACATTTTAGGGCATCTGGCAATGGGGTATTTGAAAAAAAGGGCCTGGTATTTCGTAGACGTTCTGCCTCGAGACGGCAACCTATCTTCGTTGTATACTTTGTTTTAATAGATGCAGCTAGACGTCGAGCTGCGTGCCATCTAGAGTACTATGGTAAGTAGTATTGTTGCTTGGATTGAGCAGGACCAATGACAGCCCAAGCAAGCCATTGTTGGCATTGACCCTTTTTCCTCTTCACCACCGTCGTGCCTGTTTTTTTCTGGTACAGTTCCTTCCTCCATGCGTGGCTCAGTCGGGTTGCCACCGGGGCGCCTATACGGCAAGAGGATAGGCATGAGTGCTGCTACTCTACTGGGAGGATATAGAGTAGTAGAGGTGCCATGGCAGAATTGGGCGAGTTTGCTTAACAATACAGGAAACAGCACAGCCATTGATATTGTATGGTGGGGCGAGGGCGGCCGGCTGCTCGGCGGGGGGGGGCAATCACGTCATCTTCCTACCTAAACCCACCTTTGGGTGCTGGCCTGTACAGTAATCCATCCTCCATCCTCATCAGTAAGCAGAAACGGCAAGCACAGTACGTTCAAGACTCCTCAAAAGCTCCCCCACCTAGTCGTCTGTCATTGCAGGCATACAAATTCCTCAACCCTCAGCGCTCCTGTAAGTTCTGCCCTCTCCTTATTCCTTGTGCTATTCCTCCTGCCGCCTTGTTCCGGGGTTTCTCTACGCATGCCCTCGAGCGCTTGCCTGTGCAGGGACTTTTCTCTCTCTCTCTCTCTCTCTCTCTCTTTTCTTTCTTGCCCGCGCCTTTGCCGAAAACCACCAAGCGCCTCACTGCAAATCGTTTGAATTGTAATCGGCGACGGGGTCGGCGGCCAGTGCATTCCATCAGCCAAAGTCTTATCAATCGCATTCTACCATATCTCCCTCTGTCTCGGTCTTTTGTTGCCGTGTCCACCTATATCATGTTGGCTGCACCTTTGTCCTTGCGCCTGACCAGAACTCTGCTTACCTCTGCCCGCCTGCAAACAGCTTCCATCAACCCCACCTCGACCTCGAATCTTTACCCGCCACTCTTCCCCCAAAAGTTCTTCTCCTCCACACCCAAAATGGCCGACGAAAAGAAGGGCGTCCACAATCTCCAGAGGTAAGTAGTATTTGTCGCACCCATGACGCCATGTCTGTCCGTCTTGCCTAGACGACACAGGCACCACGACGTCATGTGTTTGGGAAGGAGCCGAGGCTGATGCAAAGTGTGAATCATCGTAGCAAGACGGCATTCGACGAGGCACTGAACGTCAAGGACAGCCTCATGGTGCTCGACTGCTTCGCCACATGGTGCGGTCCCTGCAAAGTGATTGCTCCCCAAGTAGTCAAGTAGGTTCCTGCATACACGCGCCTCGCGAAGCCAAGCGCCTGCCTAACACCTGGTTGCACAGACTATCGGACAAGTATCCCAACGCCCGCTTCTTCAAGCTTGACGTCGACGAGGTTCCCGATGTTGCCCAAGAACTCGGAATCCGCGCCATGCCCACCTTCCTCCTGTTCAAAGGCGGCGACAAGATTGCCGAGGTCGTTGGCGCCAATCCCAAGGCTCTCGAGGCCGCCATTCAGTCCAACTATGAGTAGAGGATAATGGACACAAGCGAGCGAACAAAGGTCGACAGAGTAGCATGGGAAACACTGCAGCTTTGGGCGCACCTCAGATAGATGGCTCATTTGGATATTCGGGTCTTCATGATATCGTTCTTTACAATGACATGATCTACAACAGTACTCGCTTTCGTCTTCTTGCGTATCCTGCGTTCCTTTCCCTCGTGCTATTGACAATTACTATACTACGCTGATCGGCCTGGTAAGGAGTATGGGTAAAAGTTGTGCACATGGTACATCCCGTCTAGCCAGCCTGAAAAACGTAGACAGCTGTGTTCCTCAGTATCCCTTCTTCTGTGCCAAGCGACTGGCCTAGCTGGTTTCCCTCTGGTCTTTAGCCTACAGTCTCATTTACACTAGCTTGTCCTGTAACTACCTAGTTAGACTGACTGCAAGGTACGCTGAATACTGGGCTGCTTGGGCAAATGCGAATGTACCTGCATGAACGCACTTGAGGTCTGACGGTCTCAGCTCAAACATACCGCCACTAGCAAAGGTCCAAGGATGTATGAGCCCCCGTGCTCCAAACCATCAAGCATCGCTCTTCATAGCCGGACTCCATGGCAAGGCACTCCAAGAAACGAAATTCAAAGGCAAGTCATGTCATTCTAATATGGACTGACAATCCGGCGGTCCGGATTACTCCTATCCGAGTGGCCCGTGCAAGTGTACCATCAAGTAGGCATTTCCATGAAGATTCTCATCTTCCCACAATACAGCATACCAGTCGAGTGTTCCATTACACCACCGTCCTTTTCTTTTCCTTTTCCTTTTTCCTTCCTCCCTTCCCAACGCTCTTTGGAACCCTGCCCCCGAGGACCTCCTTCTCCCAGTCCGGCGGAATCTGACAATCTGATTATGCGTCTCCTTTTGAGCCTGGGCCTCGTCCTTGGTGGCCTCACGACTCTCATGTACATGTTAGAATCACACCTCCCCAAATTCTACCTCTTCACTCCCTCAGAACTACACTCGTTATCCCTAGAATCCCTCTCCCTTCATGGAAACGACACGAGTGCGGTGGTTTCTCACATCGTCTCTTCTCTCGCGTCAAAGCATCCCGCACACGTGAACTTGGACGAAGAGTGGATGTTCAATAATGCAGGAGGCGCCATGGGTGCCATGTACATTATTCACGCCTCTATTACAGAGTATTTGATCATCTTTGGCACAGCGGTTGGGACAGAGGGCCACACGGGCCGTCACACCGCCGACGATTATTTTCACATTTTGAAGGGCGAGCAAGTGGCGTACGCGCCGGGCAAGGGCGTGTACGAGCCTGAGAGATATCCACAAGGTAGCGTTCATCATTTGAAGAGGGGCGAGGTCAAACAGTACAAGATGGGGTCGAGTTGCTTTGCGCTGGAGTATGCGAGGGGATGGATTCCGCCGATGCTATTCTTTGGCTATGCCGACAGTAAGTGCTTGTGTTTCTCATCCTCAACCGGCCAAGATCTTGTGGCTGACGGATTTCCTATAGCCCTTTCGAGTACATTGGACTTTCCAACTTTGTGGAGGACTACCTGGGTTACGGGACGGGAGATGTTGGGAAACTTGGCAGTTGGCAAGTTGTAATGAGCTTGACCGGTCGAAATCTTTTGACCGAGTTGGCAAAGGGCGGCTCAACCCTTGACTTCACTCGTTGAGCTGCAAAGGATCAAAACACGCAACGGTTATCATGTCACCTAATCCCAAGTTTAAGCAATTACTAATTTCCTGGTGTCAGCCGCGTGTGTGCTATCAATTCCTGTGTTGTGGTTGCTGCGTGCGGCTGAGAGAACCCCTCACGCTTCCAATTGCCCCATTCGGTCTTTGGTCATGATCCCAGAGTTTTACGACCTCTTGGTTCAACCGGACGTCTTTTCCTTTCAACATTGAACGTAAGCAGTTCCAATGCACAATAAGCGCACCTGCACTCGTCAATGCTACCACCGGCTCCTGCCAGCCCTCCTATGAGCCGGTCTTGCCATCACGAGCGCCATTACTAAGATACAGCGACACCACTGTCAAGATCATCATCACATACCCCACTCCCACCGTCCATCCACCATGCCATTTGGTCCCTTTACTCTGAGATGGCTAACCCCATTTCCCAACCCTCCGACCCCCTCTTTATTGCCATCTGGCCTATCAAGGTCTTACCTCTCCACGCCCAACGGGCCCCTGGAACTCCTCTCCACCCTACCCTCTTCCCCTTGTCCATCTAAACCACCCCTCTTCTTCGCACACGGTGGCTTCGGAAGTGCTTCTATTTGGCAAAAGTACATGGTCTACTTCTCCGATCGTGGCTATGCTTGTTATGCTGTTAGTTATCGTGGACATGGCGCAAGTTGGTATCCTGCCTTCTGGAGCCTGTATTTTACAACTAGAGGAAAAATTGCCCAAGACCTGGTAGCCGGCATCAAGGAAGCGGAGCGTCTGGAAGCAGAGAGATGCGGCAGTCAGGAGAGGGTGCCTATGGTATTGATAGGGCATTCTGCAGGAGGAGGCCTGGCGCAGTATGTATTAAGTCGGGGACTGGTGACGGTACAAGGGTTATGTTTATTCGCCGCTATTCCAGGATTTGGATCGTAAGTGGATGCGGACTCGAAGAAAATCGATGAGGTGAGTTGTGTAGGTGCCATGAGACAGGATGGCTAAGAGAGGCGAGTAGATACTCATGCTACACTTTTTGGCTTCCGATGGCAGCGCTACAATTCTTCTATCGCCTCTTCCATCCAAAATATATCCTCGCAACCACGCAGCAAGTCCAAGATGCGTTCTTTACGCCCTCGACACCCAAATCTGTCGTGGAAGATCTGCAGCGCCAACTGAGTCCGTACGAGTCCATGTGCTGGCCTCTTCAGGCTCTCAACGCCTTCGTTACAGGGCCAGATGTACTGCAGCGGATCACAGGATGGTCGTATGTTCATCGGTCATTGAACCAGGGTACGACTTCAACGTTGCCAGCAAGCGGGGTCACGCCAAGATTATTCGTTCTTGCTGCTCAGCACGACGTGCTCTGTAGACCGGCGACTCTCTTAAATACAGCAAGGCATTACCGCAACGCATTTCGACAGTGCTTGGAGATGAGAAAGTGGCAAGGCGTTTCTTCGGAAACCTTGGCGTTGGCAGATGACGATAGCCGTGATGGTGTGAGATTCAAGGTAGTGAAAGGGGTTGCTCATCATCTGCAGAATCATGTGGAGTGGGAACGGGGTTCAGAAGAGCTGTTGAAGTGGACAGAGTTGCTGTAGATAGATTTTACCCATGGTTGGCTGCGATGAATCGAGACGGTGGAGTATATACCTAATAGAATCGAATGGTTAAAAAAAGGGGGTATATATTGTAAAGCTAAACTCCTCGAAAACAAATTCCGGTGCGTTAGAGCATCATGATTATCTCACTGAATTTTCCCATTATCCGGCCTGAAGGACCCATTGCGAACCATTGCTACATATAGTGAATGAAGTCCGTTACCATGATTTCTTTGCTCCATGCCGTAAACGCCGCATCCCCTCGAGATGATGTACGCAACCATGTTCGCATGCGAATGGGAAAATGATGGAAAGATGAGATGGACCAGTCCCAAAGACTGGGATTGGTCAAATGTGTGGCATGGTAAATCACCAGCCACCGACGAAGGTTATGAAACCGTCAACCATGCTGATCCAGTCTTGGCCATTCAGCGTACCAGCCTGTCTCTTTTCCCATATATCTTGTACCAGCTTGCGTAGGAAGACGATGGCTTTCTCACCCGCCTCGGTGGTCCCGTCGTTGCGAAGAAGCTCGACTTTTCCGCCGACGTACTTTTCGCTAAGATCGATGTGGAAGCTCGCGTCTCCGTCGGGTGGCGAGTACAGGTTGGGCAGATTATCAAAGGCTGCGGCGCCCGGGGTGACTTGTACGAGGTGGCCGTTCAACATGACGCTCTGAGTATGTGTTCGGCGTGGCTTGAAGAGAGAGCCGCGTACAGAAAAGTTGACCAGACGCAGAAGACGGGCGCCTGGACCGAGGCGGATGATCCAGTCCTGGAATGCATCGTACATGATGCGAAACTCGACTTTGATGACCCACAAATTGTAGCTGTAGAAGATGGCAAGGGCTTCTTCGCGCACAAGGCGCGAAACGGAAGCAAGCGCATGTTGCATCTCGCCATGGAAGGTGGAAATGCAGTAGACAAGAGGCTTATGAAGGACCATGTTGTCACAGTTGCGGTAGATTTGGTGGCGGATTTCGGGCGGCAGCGTGAGCAAGGTGACGGGTGTGCGTACAGACTCAACGACAGATTGTGTTTGCGCCTGCGCCTCTGGCTTTGTCTCGAGCTCGGTAGTCAGCATGGCAGCCTTTTGGTAGGCCTCCCAGCTCGTCTGCAGGCTGTGCTGTTCGTCGAGCGAGATGCGGTCGAGGCTGTGATTGCGGGAATGGGAGGGCGACAGCGCAAGGTCCTCCATTCCATTGTCGTCGTCGTCTTCGTTGCCGTCGGTGGTGGTGATGTTGTTGTTGTTATCTCCGTCATGAATTTTGCTGTTGTTGGTACTCTTGTGGTAATGGTCAAGGTTGTGGTTATCATTATCATTGTCGTCGTAGTCGTAGTCGTCCACCACTCCTTGGCCAGCACATAGCTGCAGCTGCTCCAGACGCGGGGCATCATCAGACAGGCTGGCCACGCTCACGGGCAGGGAAGGAGAAGAGGAGTCGGTGGTGGCATCTGAGTCGCCGTCGGTGTCGGTGGAGGAGTCGGAATCGGTGTCGGTATCGAGGCGGAAGTCGTGGTCGTGATCGTGATCGAGGCCGAAGTCGAGGTCGAAGTGGGATTCACCGTGGTGGGCGAGGCGGTAACGTGCAATCTTGGGGGGCAGATAGTGCGTGGGTGAGGTAGGTGAGGGCAGTTGCGTGGCCGACCGCTTGCTCGAGGTGCGGACGAGGACGGTGCTGCCTGCGTGAGCCATTTGGCGCCCTCGCAGAGCCTCTGTCCCGCTGTCGTCGCTGCCTGTGCCGGTGTTTGTGCCGCCTGTGTTTGTGCTGCCTGTGTGTGTGCCTGTCCCTATACCCATACCCAAACTCATACCCATACCCATATCTACACCAACACCCACACCGACGCCCATGTTGTTGTTGTTGTTGTTGATACTGTTATTGTTATTGTTGTTGCTCTCAGTCCCGCTCGCATCACAACAGAGCCCGCAGCTGGTCGGGGCCACGGTGGTGTCGAGGGCCTGTAACTTGGGCGAGCGCGCTTTGAGCACTTCTGCATTGTCTGGCGGTGTCTGGCCCGTGACCGAGTATCGTCGCTGTGCCACCATGTTGTTGGCCGACCTCCAGAGAAAAGAGTTGCAGCACAGAGAAGGTTACTGTGAGCCCACAGGAACGAGGTGGACAGGGCCCAACTGAAAAATGTCAAGCCGTGGGCGCGGGGAGGGGGAGGGGGAGGGGGAGAGGGTGAGAGAGGGTGGGAGAGGATGGTGGTGCTGTGTTGGTGGGTGTGATGTGCTGGCAGCCTACTCCGAAAAAGACGCGTCCAGCGTGTCAACACACATACACTCACTCACTCACTCGCTCTCTCTTTTTTCTCTTTTTCTCTCTCTCTCTCTCTCTCTCTCTAAGTGTGTATGAGTTGCTCTTCCTCTGAATGGATGGATGGACGGGGGCGAGGCTTGTGGGGGGGCAGTACTGCGTGGCCGTCGCGGGCAGCTATCGATTAGACACGGTCGCTGGCTTGCACCTCTTTATGGGAACTGAAAACAGCGACGGTAGTTTATTTACTGTTTGTTGTTGTGCTTTGGGTTGCTGTTCGGTCCGCTTCTTGGTGAGAGAGAGAGAGAGAGAGAGTCGGCAGGTGAGCGAGTGGGCGAGGTTAAGGTGGGTTGGCTGGTTGGCTGGCCTAGGTAGCTATCCATCCACGGTAGAGTACCATTAGGAGGAAATGAGCATGGGCGATGCGCGTTTCATGACGCCGAACCTGCCTTCATACTTGCGACACCCTTTGTTGATAAAGTCTTGCCTGGCCTCTGCCCCAAACAACAAAAACAACACATCTCCACGGCAAGTCGCCCGTCTGAACCGGGCCGCATACGTGACTTGTCCATCGCTCTACCTAACCCCTGGTATTCTCTACTACCGTGTATACTTGTATACTTTGTGCCAAAAGGTAAACTTACACCCACCACCCATATTGGCCTTTGGTCTCCTTGCCAAGCAATGCATTGGTTCCATTGCCTCGGAATCATGCCTAGGTGCACTGCACATCCACAAGGCCTCACTGTATTTCCTTACGTGTCCGGCTTCACTCCGACGGCCAACTTGTCACAACTCGCATCCGCCCTTGCACATGGCATTCTTGTCATCATGTTCCATTGTGGGCAAGGCGTTTCTTTTCTTTTCAACAGGATACTCTTGAACACACCAACCAGACATGTCCGCAGCACCGCCAATACATAGGCCCGTCTTTGCTCCCACCTATCTATCCAGCTTCTCTGTCTCTCCCTCTCTCCATCTGTCTCTAGAGCACGAGCATGCCCAGCAAGCTGCCCACCGCCACCGTCACGTACGCGCCCATGACCAGTCCAGTATGCTCAAAGAAACGAGCCGCGCTGAGACTTGGGGCCCCAGCTTTGGAACTCGAACTGGCAGCTGCTGTGCCCCGGCCCGTCGCCGTCGGTACCGTGCCTGTACCAGCAGACCCCACGGCACTCAGCAAGGCTCCACAGCTAGAAGCCGTAGTCGCACTCTGAACCGATGCCCTTCCGCTGAAGCGGCACGCGTCAGCACGCCTGCTTTGGCCCAGGTAGTATTGGTTAGCTGCAAAAGCGAGTTGGTCCTTGGGGTCGCAGCCCGAGAAAGCTCCAAAGTCACCAGTGGTAGCGTTGCGAGCGATGCCGGAGCAGTACGCTTCGTCGGCTCCACAGATGTAGCCAAAGTCCTCGCTGTAGGCCTCCTCGTCATCTGACGTGTAGACGCACTGGAGGCTTTGCACCATACAGGAGCAGAGCTGGGGATTCACTGTGGGCGGTAGAGGAGAGGCTTGCGCAAGCCAGGACCCGCCCACCGAAGGGCATGCAGGAGCAGAGTGCGAAGGCGTGTAGGCACTCTTCTGCGTAGTCGTCGGGCTAACCGTAGCCAACTGGCTCTGCAGGGACGTGAAATCAGGGTACGGCGATACGCTGGCGTCGTTGTTGGTCAGTGAGACAAGACCGTAGTCGTTCACACCCATGAACCACTCGTACACGATGCCGCCGCTGAAGACCTCGGTCATGTTGCCGTAGAGGACTTCGACCTCGGTAAAAGGGCGGTTGGTAGCGCCTCCTGTTACGCCCTCGATACATCCATATTCAGCGAAGAAGACGGGTACGGGATAGTCGGAGAAGAATTGCACACGCTCGCCGTACGAAGAGGCGGCGTAATTGCTTTCACCGCACCATGAGTAGACATTGTAGCCCCAGAAGTCAATCGCAGTTCCGTTTCCGGCATTGCCAGGCTCGCAAGCAAAGTAGTGGGCAATCTCGTCACGCGTGGGCACATCGGCAGTGGCATAACCCACACCCAGCGTGCTACGGTACTTTTGGCTGGAAATGTACGACTTGGTGTCGCGGACAGCCGCCTTGACAAAGGCCGCAGCGGCAGTCTGGTTGTCGGAACTGACGTTTTCGTTCCCAGCAAAGAAACCAATCACGTTCTTGTACTTTTGCAGCGCATCGACCACGCCTGTGTATCGGTTGTAGAGGGTGACGTCCCATTCGGGGTCGTTAGACCGGATCGACGTGCCAGGCTCTCCCAGATCAGCAATGACATAGATGTCAGCGCTGGCCAGCTGTGCCATGCAGTCATCGTGGCTCTTGGTCGGGTCAATGGCATAGACACGGAGGATGTTGGTGTAGATCTGCTTGAGATACGGGATGTCGCGTCTGCACGCATCGCCGTCAGCGAGCGGGTCAGTATAGCCCGAGCTGGCGCTGGTGCTCCCGTTTGGCGAGTAATTTTGTTGGTACGCGACACCCTTGAGGTAACTGATAAGCAGAGCCGTCAGTGCACTGTGGGTCGGATTCATGTGAACCACTCGCGAACTTACAACTGCGAGCCATTGTTGGTGTAGAAGAAATGTTGTCCGTAGACCTCGATCTCGGGAATATCATCATAACTTGCCGCCCTTGTAATGCTGGCCAGCGCAGCCGCCGCGCACATGACCGTCTTCCACATGGTGGTTGGCGGTGGCGAATGTTTGTTTTCTAGTCAACGAATGGGTGGTGAAGCAAAGAAGCTTCACAGCAGAGGCTTGGTACACACAGATGAAGCTTGGCTGGAGGAGCGTCAAGACTCAAGAATGGAGAACGTCAAAAGGTCAGAGTCTCCGGAACAGGCGGGGAGTTTGAGAAGCAAGGGCAGGACGCGCGTGTCCTACGGCTCACTGCAGGTACAGTGGCCATTAACCGTTCACGCCTGGGTGGCTATGCTGACAGCTGGCTGTCCCGGCCCGGGCGGACATGACGTGGTGGCGACGACGACGACGACGACGACTACGACGCGAAGGATGGTGAGGTCGCCTGGTGTGATAAATGGTGCTGGATTTGGGCGCCCCTCTGTCGATAGTGCGTCGTACTACGTAGTTAGGCTGTTTGCAGGTTGACCTGAGCTATTTTGCGGTTGAGGGGTAAAAGGTGAGCCTCAAACATGGAAAAACAAATAACAGTATCATGTACCAAGTCACCTTCTACTATACTCAGGCATCGAGTATTCTTGGTCGCCACCACTTGTTCGTCACAAGACTGTGATTCACTGTAGTTCGGCCTCTGGCTTGCTGATGGTAATTATATCTTTCCCATCCGAGGTTGCACTGATCAGCGTAGTCTAATCAAGAGATGATGAATTTACAAGAGGAGCGAGCCCAAAATATAAACTTGTCGAGCTCAAAAGAGTCAGTACAGGATTTCGCTGTTACTCATTCGGAGAGCGGCGAGCTCATACTCGGCTTCCTTGACGCGGAAGCCTTTCCCGCTGTGCGCCCACGGATCGAGGATTCTGCAAAAGACCAAAGCATAGTATGTTTATAAAAAGGAGCACAGATGCATTACTACATTGGCTACGAGAGCCAGAGAACATTTCATACTAGAATAGCGACACACTGGTCTCATGGCGTACTACGGTAGACTCACCCAATGGGTATCTACCGTACGCTACGAAAGACCACTAACCGACTTTCCGGCTCCACATCATGATGCCGCAACACGAGAATCAAATACTTGTATGGTACAAAAATTGGTGTCTTCATCATGGCCATTGCATTTGCAAAAGCCAAATTCTATCGGCCAGCAGGCCCCGTGTCTATCCGTAGTCGACCAAGGGAAGCTCCCTGGTCACCACATGTAGAACATTACCATATGCAGGATATTACCATATGCAGGATATTACCATATGCAGGATATTACCATATGCAGGATATTACCATATGCAGGATATGGCCACAGGCAGGATACCATAGTACCACATGTAGAACCTTGATCCGTACCATGTTGTGGCACCTAGATTACCGCCAACGTACGTTGAAGCTTGACTGAGGGCCATACCTACTAGGTAGTCAAGCAGCCGTGCAAAGGAGCCGGCATTGAGATCGGCCCGAAGAAGGCTTCGCAGTGGTATCGGATCAGGGTTTTGCCATCTTGGGCTAACTTACACCAGAACCCCCTCATCTACAACAATCCAAACGGGTTAGTTCTCAGGTCCATCGGCGCATGAATCTCGGGATATTCTTGTACTGGTTGAATGTGGATACAAAGTATCTCTTTTTCGTCGTCAATCTCTGCAATCCTTGTCACTTTTCTCGAGCAAAGCGAGTGGAATAGTGGGCGACTTCCGGTCAGCTACCGTACCGTATGCCTCATCGTTGGCGCACATGTGCTTCTCAAACTAACTTCTTTTGTAAGTAGGTTGGGATGATATCAGCCATGGAGGTACTTTCAGTATAATCATGACCAAGTCTCATTCTTTTCTGACTCCTACTCGACCTCCCCGCTTGCCCCCGCTTGCCAACTTTACTCTTCTTCTTTCACATTGCAACCAGCTTCCGTTGCCTTTTGAAACACTTTCAGCATACGCTCCCACAAACTTTGGTATCATCTGTCAACATGGTGAAACCGGCCATTGTATTTGTCCCTGGTGCATAGCATGACACGACCTGCATGGAGACCATAACCTCTTCCCTCCAATCATCTGGTTATAAAGTGTACGCGCGCCAGATGCCCGCTGTGGGCAATTCCAACCCGCCGAAGGATCTCTCTGAAGACATCGCAGTAGCCCGTGCTCTCGTAGAAGAAGCCATTGGAGACGAAGGCAATGATGTGATTGTATCACCCCATAGTTGGGGTGGCACCGTGGTGTCCAGCGCGCTGGCAGGCTATAGTAAGAGAGAGAGGGAAGCACAAGGAAAGAAGGGAGGTGTGGTACGCACGGCGTATATCGCATCATTCATCCTGCCCGAAGGGGTAAGCTTGATGGAAGCAATTGGTGGTCACTATGCTCCATGGATGGATGTACAGGTAGTTCTTTCCATCCCATGATTCATTTCGACAGGATGAGGACTGACACAATATAATCTACCCCAGGATCCCTATGTCCTCGCAACGGATCCCAACATTTTTTACAACGACCTCCCCCTCGCAGAACAACAGCATTGGGCATCACAACTCAAGAGTCAAGCCTTAGGGACAATGTGGGCCAAGACTACAGCAGCAAGTTGGCAGACTATCCCTACCAGCTATTTGCTGTGTGAGGATGATCTGGCGATTCCGGCTGCGGGGCAGGAGGGGATGTGCAAAGCAGTCGAGGATGCGGGTGGGGAGATTGAGGTTACAAGGTTAAAGTGTGGACATAGTCCATTTCTGAGTAGGCCAGATGAAACGGTGCAGTGGTTGAAGAGAGTTGCGGGCAAGACGGCGTAGTTGCATGGTATGGTATTATCAGTCTTGTAATGGGCATGTTAACATCATGTACTGGAATTAGCATACTTGGGCTGGGATGACCGGTACCAGTACGCAAGAGCCCTCCCTGCTTGTCGATTGTACCGTATCCTCCAAGTCAACGAAATCAAGACCACTCAATTCGAGCTCTTCTAGCCACCCGATGTCGATTTTGACGTGGGCGTTGACGCGCGCTCATGGGCCCAGAGCCGAGGTAGGGAAGTTTGTAGATCACTAGCAGGGATACGATACCGGTAGGTAGCCAAACCTGGGGTAAGTGCGTCACTGCACCAGAGGGGAAGCTCATCACACGATGGATGTAGCCTCGGGCTTCACTCATTCCATCCACTTCCTCATCAGGTACTTCCACATTTCCCAGCCTCTCTTTATCAATCACCAGCCAATTGAGCCTGATTGACCAAATTTGGAACCTTTCAATGGCTAATCCACGCATTCTGACGTACGTCGATGGCTCGTTACCACCGCCTGTCCTTGGCTGTAGTATGCGGTATGCGGTATGCTAACATCCGACCCGCTCTAGATCCCGTACCTTCACTCTGTTCAGCTTGGCGGCGTTGGGTAGCGGCGGACTCTTCTTGATGAAGTCGAGAGCCAGGTCGTTGGCGGAACAGAAAAGGGCGATTGGGGACTATAGCGTGACGGTGGACCGATCCGGTGCGTTATTCCTATGATGCGCAGTTTCAAGACGCAACAGCGATACTGATTTGTGCTGTAGGTGGTGGCGTCTGAGCCAATCCCTGAATACCTAACGATGATACGATGACGACTGACTTGTGAAAATGGTCCGATCTCTTCGCGCCTACGGCGGCTTGTTGTGTAGAGCCTTCAGCGACTCAATAACGATCACCTTATCAGAGTTGCTGTATTCCAGATCCTTGCGTAACATGATTGGCATCATTCGCACTACAGAAAAGCACGACAAGAAAATGTTAGCTTTCATGGATATAGCCCACGCAAAAGATAAAGTGCGTAACACAGTCATGAAGATGCAATTATGGCTTCGCACGCTTCGTTGCGATTACTCATTCAGATCATCATCCTAGCAACACCATGTCTATTCACAGCCATTCGTGATTACAATGTATACATCGGCGCAGTTCAAGAAGTTTAAGAAGTTCAAGATCAAATTGTACCGAGTAGCGCCGGCCGATATAGTGAAACGGCGATTTGCATGCTCCATTGCTGCACAATTACATCAAAGAGCACCCCCCCATTCTATCAACAAATCAGCAGACGATGACTACAGGGAAAAGGATAAACTCAGCTGAATACGATAAATTCACTTTTACTTATCGCAGCAGATATGACGTGGGCTGACTCTCGACTACATATTGTATTCCTGCAACAGCCCTTGTCAGACACTTTTGGCCCACTTTGTTGGCAACTAAATATAGTTGCTCAGCCTCAGGCGCTCAGCCTTCCAGCCACCCGTGATCTATGTTGGGACAGCACCACTCCACTGTGTCCAAATGTAAAGATCATTTGTTACAATAGTTCAGCTCTATGATGGCGTCGAATGGACGGTAATGAAGTTCCTGTCTTTGCACTTGTCCCCCGGCAGAAATGCACGTCTTAGCTCTCAACTCAGCCTACATAACAGTGTGCGCTCACTGAGACATCTTTGTTTGGAATAGCTGGAAAAGCGCTACGAGACCTCCTTGCAGAAGACCCGCTCTACTTTACGAACCACGCATCACTCAATAGAAAGGCCGCGCACACGTGTGCTAGGATGATGGAGCCATGCTGAATTGTCCGACGAGATACCGCGGGTCAATAACAAAGCCTCGTTGCCTGTACCCTGAAACCTGGAGATCGTACTACTGTGTGATTTTCTGTTAAGCTATATGCACCTACGCTCTTGACTATCTTGGACTGCAGCACTAGGAAAATGGCCGACAGGACCAAATATCGTATCGCCACAGACTTACCAAATGAGAAGACAAATCACGGATACGACTCTAGTATTCCCCCTCTGGTAAACTTTCTCGCTGCAACAAACCATATCCGGAACCTATTCGAGAACAAGAAAATTTTGTACGGTATGACTGGGGGGTTCGAAACTTTGTGCTTGGGCTATCGTCGAGAGATGCTGGATCTGCACATTGCATATGACGACAAGGATTTTTTCCGTATCAAGAAAAAGCTACAAGCAGACAAACGGTACGTCATGACAGACTCCATTTAGAGACATTAGCCAACAGAAACAGCGTTGTTATATCAGATGGCATGAACCCGCTGTTCCCTTTTAAGATTCTAGTATGCACTGGGCCAGCATATAAAGACCTTGGCTGCCACAAAGCAGCAGCGATCGAGGTAAATATGATACCTCCAGGTAAACTTCCACCTCACGGCTTTCAATACTCAATATTAAAGAGGAACAGAATCATGTGGAAGTCCCCCAAGCGGCGTGCTGAGCAACAGCCTGGTCCTAGTGAGCTTGAAGAAGGACGGGCAGCTCAAGACGTATAACGGCCTGAATATGCTATACCTGCTTCAAACAATGTTACACTTATGCGAATCACGGAATCTTGCATGGGATCCAAGAAAAGATATATTGTTCTTATGCCGGATATATGGCAGCGAAGTACAAGCCATCCGGGCAAAGCTTGATGAAAAGTTGGTCGAGCGGAACTTCTTAGGGACACCCTTCCTTTCGAGACTCTCTCGTGAGGACCAACACAACTGTTACCAAGTGCTTCTGGGCAAAGAATCTCCTCCTCTTATGTCAATAAGTCCACCTACACCACAAGTTGATCATGGACGTTCTGTCTCAGACCCTGCCATTCGAACACTTGGTTTGAATCAACATCACTACATGCCAGAACTAGGCATTCGGAAAAGTCTGGACGTTCTCACTCCAACGCTACCAGCAATGGCCAAATCTCCGCGTAAGGACAGTCTCGTCGCTGGTTTAGAGTCACCAGGAGCGGTCATCGCGGCCAAGCCCACGACTTTAGGAAAACCTGCACCCAAAAGACACTCTCGCTTACGATATCGCTCCACTAGGAACACGCAAGTTAAGCCTGGCCATGGCAAGGATCAACGCTCGCCCCAAAGCTTAGAACAACACATACCTACGCAGCAAACCCAACCTGAAAAAGCTTCTTGCAATGGTATACCAATTATGGTACTGTCGGAAAGGAGTGAGACATCTGAATCTTCCCTTCCCGCGGAGGCCCAAGCTGTACCGAACCTATTTCACCCGTTTGAAGGTCCTTCAACTTGTAGCGAGCAAGATGCGGAGCCTCAACAACACCCACAAACTCTGCAGACAGTAGTTTATAAGGGGTTGCGGGATAAACGGCCAGTCCCAGGGGTCACTTCTGATGCATCTGCCACTTCGCCGGATTCAGCAGCGAAACGTTTCGAGCTTACCACCACGAGTCATATACAGGAAACTATAGCAGAGCTGTCTGCTGAAATTGAAGCTGCGTTACAGTTTGCAACCCACGAAATGCCCGACTATCAATATTCTTCGGAAGACCATTCTGACCAGAACCTAACGCAACAACAACTTAGAGCAAACAGATGTAGCAAAGAGTGTGAGCCTTTGAATGACCTTCCTGTCACTCTTATGGCTGGCTGGGGTAAAAGAGTGTCCTCTGATATCAAAGCCATGAGTGGTGAGACAATGAGACAGCCCGTCCTGGGGTTTACTGGAGGGGTCAAAACGAACGCCTCGAGATACTCGCGTTACTACCCCAAGCCAGTGTCTGCGCCGAACAGCAACACCACTTCGACTCAGCTAACACCTGTCACATCGACGGTCTACAAGGCCTATCACCCTGAATCATTGCCTTCAGTACTGCAGAATTTCGACTCTGCTAGCGCAGATAGGCAAGCTATTAGCTTGGAGGAACATGCAGATTTTGAGAGCGCCCGAGATTGGCTTCGAACACACAAAGGGGAACGTAACCACGAGTCAACAGAGGTACATATATCGCAAAACTCGAGCTCTTTGGCACAGGCTTATCAAGCCGAGCTACCAGACTTTGGGGACGGCTATGGGACGGGCACTTGTCGAGACGAAACAGAATACTGAAAGCATTGCTTTTTCCAGTGTCGCGACACCTGCCCAGCTCCGGACAGTGTCCCAATTTGCTCCGTTCTCCCTCGAAAGATCTCCTTGCATTCTCAATAGCAGTCTCACAGCCTGACAGCCAAGCCATATACCCCCAACCTACACACCACCGCATCCGCCTCATCACTCAGATAGCTATAATGCCTTCAGCTTTCCCGCTTGTGCACGTTGCTGATATGCACTTTCACAAATTATTGCGACGGCCGATGGTGCGTCAAATAAGGCAACAGAAGTATGCATTCATGTGCCCGGCTTGCTGAGGAGTAGGCCAATATTGGATGCGGTCAATTATTACGTCTTCATGGCTGGACTATAGGTGTGGCAGCGTGTGGGCAGTAGGAACGGAGGAGCAAGGTTCTGCGAGGGTTGCATTGAGAGAGGAGTGTCGTGGGGCGGTAGATTGTGGGTTCGCGGGTGCTGAGAAGGCTGAGGTTTGGAACGTTGACCCTACGGTACAAAACCGGTTTACAGTAGCTATATTTATCTAAAGTAGACTAAGAAGTAGTTTAGGTAGAAGAAGTAAACCTAAATAGGGTTTACTATACTATGTATTCCACTTTTACTTCTACTTCTATTAATCTACTAGTTTCCTACTAACTATCTAAGTATTTTACTAGTACCCCTCCTTTCTTTAAATCTTCTTCACCACCTCTACCACCTCCACTACAGTAAAAAATTGTTTACTATAGAATAGTACGCTAGGGGTTTACTATATAGGTGTAAACTAACCTTATATATACCTATAAATAGGTTTAAAGTAGTAGTTTACTTTTATTAAAGTAGTAGTTTACTTTTATAGTAGGGGTTTAAATTAAGTATAAAAAGTAGTTTTATTTCTATTATACGCTATAATACCTAACTAAGACTAAAAGGGGTAAAGAAGATTAGCTTTACGCTATACGCATATATAACATAATAATAAGTTATAATATTTTTACTAATAGGAGGTGGTGATAATAGAGGTAGTAATAATAGAGGTAGTAGAGGTGGTGATAATAGAGGTGGTGGAGGTGGTGATAATAGAGGTGGTGGCGATAGAGGTGGTGGTAGAGGTGGTGGTAGAGGTGGTGGTAGAGGTGGTGGTAGAGGTGGTGGTAGAGGTTGTGGTAGAGGTAGTGGTAGAGGTGGTGGTAGAGGTGGTGGTAGAGGTGGTGGTAGTAATAGAGGTGGTGGTAGTAATAGAGGTGGTGGTAGTAATAGAGGTGGTGGTAGTGATAGAGGTGGTGGTAGTAATAGAGGTGGTGGTAGTGATAGAGGTGGTGGTAGTGATAGAGGGGTATGTTTCAGCTCGCATGGCTAAGGTGTGGGCAAGGGA